GAATGAAGTGTACCTACCTGACTGCCTGTATCTACTGCATGAATGAAGTGTACCTGACTGCCTGTATCTACTGCATGAATGAAGTGTACCTGACTGCATGAGTGAAGTATACCTGACTGCCTGTATCTACTGACTGCATGGCCTGGCCAGTCAGAGTATTCCAGAACCTGATACAACGATCAGCTGTACCTCCGCCACTAGCCAGCAAACCGTGATGGTGAGGGGACCAAGCTATTGCCTAAAATGAAAAGTTTTACAGGGGTGTATATTTTCTTAAATTTGGGTATTTTTTTATTTTTATTCCTGCTTTATTTAGGTTTTTTCTTATGCTAACGTAGGGAAAATAAATGATTTTTAGGGAACAATAGTTAAAATTTGTGGGTAAAAAGTATCAACAGGATGAAAAAAACAACTTTACTTAACGTATATAATTTTTTATTCTTAATTACTTTAATAAAAACTTAAACTAATATGGACAGCTGAAAATAACTCTGTAATTTTAAGGATGCATCCTAGCTTCCAGGAATAGAAAATTTATCAATAAAAAGCAAAAACCGAGACTTTTTTTTGTTAGCTTCGTTTAATGGTGTAAAAATTTAACATAGCTTTAGATTGGAAGAAAAACTACAATTACAGATCACATGTCTTAGTTAGCATTAAGATTAGTCAGTAACAAATCAAAAGTTTCAGAATTAAAAAAAATAGTCAGTCAAAATTAAGTAACTTTTTATAAGTACAAACAAATGGGATTTTTTTGGGTCAAAATAATGAGGTCTTAGTTGACAACGAATCTTATCAGGATAGATTGACTGAGTGATTTTATAATACTAATGCAAAAAAAAAATTTAATGATAAAAAATGAAACGTTAGGTAACCCATGAATTAGTTATCTTGTTGGAGAACAAAAAATAAGTCGCAGCAAACTCTAATTTTCTATGTATTTACTGCTTATTGTTTTATGTATTGATTAATAGTAATACTAATTTAGTGGGGTGGGGTGGCTACTTGCTAGTGTGTAACACCAGTTCTCCTCATATCACTGAAGTTAAGCACACTTGTCCAACTGGATGGGTGTCCAGACTGGTGTTCACGGGTGCGATTCCCGAACTCCAAACAAACCTGTGGTTTCAAAAATCATCTGAAGCGACATCTGGTTAATCAGTTATGACCCCCTAACGGATGTAGGAGGACAGAGGGGCGACTGTCAACATATCTCGCAGCGAAAGGGTGCGTGCTTTCTACTCAACAATAAAAGAAGCTTGTAATGGATTGATCCTAGTGAATGATGATGAAGAGAGAAAAGGTTGACTAGCAGGGAGAGTTTATGGTTGCCAGTTATAGATATCTGGAGTTATCCAATCCGGGCTTAGAAATGATTAGGAGCAATGAGTGTGATGTTTCCCGTCTGTAAGGCACCCGGGCCTCATTCCAGTATATCAGAAGAATTCCTGCACTCTACTATTCTCAGGCCTAAGAAGCCCTTAGGCAGCTGGAATCTTTTCAGCCCTCTTCTCAGAATAAATGAAGCGTGGTCGGATGAATGTGCTACAATATTACAACTCCTGGCAGATCAATACAAAACCCAGACAACACCAACCTTTCGCAATAGAAAAATCCCGACATTCGATCGTAACATTACGATCATGTCCTAGGGACAAAAACATGTTTTTATTAAATACTATAAACAGATGATTCGCATAACACATATTAAAAGTTAGGTTTCGGTGTTATAGAATTTAAATAATTTTTAAAACCTTTATTGATAAGGAATTTAACTAAAAAGAATGAGCTAAAACTTTTAAAAATATAATTCTATCTGATTACATATCACCCTTCCAGGGAGGGGTGGTGTGCTGATAATGACGTTAAATAAAGTGATTAAAGGATCAGAGTAGACAGAAAAGAAGAATATCGGAAAAAATAAGTATCTGATAAACATGTATCAATTACTAGTCGCTGAAAAATAGTAATTTGTAAAATATTTGAAAATAAAAAATAATTTTGTTAAAAAATAATTTTGTTTGATTACTTTGTTGATTGATTGATTGATTAGTGTTAATTACCTTGACAGCTGCTAGATGATCTGTATAAGTCTGCATGGGTGATGTACTTGATAAATTCCAAACAAACAATTTGTTGTCGTTTCCACCACTAGCGAAACATGAGGATTAATTTCATCTTTAGAAAACATCATTTTAGAAAGCAACATTTTAGAAAGCAACATTTTAGAAACAACATTTTAGAAACAACATTTTTAGAAAAAAATTCGACAATTTTTTTTTCAATAAGCGAAAGAGAAAAATATTTTGAATATCATTCCTTATAATAAAAGTCAAAACTTATAAAATTTTTAAAAAAAATGTCAATTTTCAATAATTGTCCTTTTGAAATTAAGATTTTTCTCAACATTTAACAGAGTATTTAAAAGAGTATTTTGGTGTTTTTTTTTGGGGAAAAAAATGTGAAACATACACCCCTGAAAAGTATTTTTGATTTTTTTTGAGGGAAGAGTCTATCCCTGAAACGCTTACCTGGCTAAATATTGATTATCTGGTGACCACTTGAGCCCGCAAACCTCTTGTCTATGGCCGGCCAATCTACGCTCAGGAGCTAAACTTGGAGTTCTAATATCCCGTTGTAGGATTAATCTATCCCGGCTCCCACTAGACAACATATCTCCATTCCAGGCTAAAGCACCAACCCTGAACAAATATCAAATTAGATATAGAATGGACTCAGCTTAGACTTTGTGTCATGTAGGTTGAATTTGTTTTTTTATTTTCTTAAATTTTGAGTTGGGTTCAAGCACGAGGTTTGTTATGATGTTACGTTAGGTTTCGATTCTGTGTCACGTCAGATGGTGTTACGTTGGATATGTTTTTGTGTCACGTTAGATGATTGACTGTGTTACGTTAGCTTTTGATGTTACGTTGGACTTTGATTTGGTATTACGATAGATTTTGCGATTTCTGTGTCGCATTTTATTAATTACGGTGTTGAATTTACCTTTTCTACTTCAGTATTTTTTTAATTTAGCAAACTTTACGTAGAAAATGAAGACTAGAAAACAAAACAGCCATGTTTTTTTTTATACTGAACAGAAACATCTTTCTCTCTTAAATAAAAGCGTGTGTTAACCTAAACCTAAACTCTAACTAACCTTGCACTATGCCCCTCCAATACATTTAGTTTCTTGTTAGCAGTCACATCCCAGATTTGAACATATCCTCGATGTGTTCCAACAGCAACTAGATTCCCACGCTCTGCCCAGGACACCGAGGTAACAGTGTCGTTGTCTGTCGTCAAATCACACAACCGAGTTACCTGATTCAAATGCAGGTTGAACTTGAGACATTGAAAACAATGATTTAATGACAAAATCAAGCCCGAATTTAAATACAATAGACAAAATTCAACTTTACACAACAAACATAGATGCACACAGCCGATTACACTAGCAAAGCAAGGATAATGAGGCATGTAGAGTCCAAATATATTTGGTACAATAAAGTTGGATCGGAACGTGTTTATGTATAAATTGAGTTATATTAGGGCGTGGAGTGGGTTGTGTCGTGAATATCCAGTACCTGAGATGTGCAGGCCGACCACAAATATACACAAGCTCCGAGTCCTACACTGAGCACATTCTGTGAACTCCAATCCACCAGGTTCAGGTAGAAATCGTCCTGCAGCTCCGGTGCGTCCAGAACTTTAAACGGAATTTTAGAAATTTTTCGCGACGCTTTTCTCGGAGATTTCAGGAGTTTCTGACTTTTGGAAGACACGGGTGAGAGGGAGTAGGGGGAACTATATTCATTGATTACACTCGGACGTTTAGGACGAAACGAGAAGAGATTTTTGTCCTCTGTAATCGGAGCAAACGCTCGTCTTTCGTCCGAAGTCTCCTTGAAGTCCTCTATTTGTGTTCCTAGGACCTCGTTCTTGAGTAGACACGAGTACATGGAGAGGGACATATCCTTGGCTCCCTCAGCTCCATCCCGTCCTACTCGTTTAGTTGTTGTGGTTTTCTCCTAAACAGAAGATTGAATTTAAAGTAGTCGAACAGGGATCCGGAGAAACAGTGCCTTGAAAACTATGTTAAACTATGTTAAACTATGTTAAACTATGTTAAACTATGTTAAACTATGTTAAACTATGTTAAACTATATTAAACTATGTTAAACTATGTTAAACTATATTAAACTATGTTAAACTATGTTAAACCATGTTAAAACTACAAGATATGGGTAAGAAGGCCTAAATCTGTCTGTCCCTGATATGAGTAATATCATTTGTTTTATTAATTATGATGATTGGATAAAAAATGTTTAACCCTGAAGCACATTAAGAAGTTCTTCGGGTCAATTTTTTTTCATTCCAATTTCATAATTAACAGAACAAATGATTTAATTAATATTAGGCACAGTATATCAAACTGTAAGTTCGAAAATAAGTTATTTTTCCTTATTTAAGAGAATAGCGGATAGTGTTGGTTGTGTGTAGTGTATGAATGGGATTCTGGTATATAAACCAAATCCCGTCTCTACAACCTGACAATCTATCGTTCTATCAGCCGAACTGTGAGTATATCTGAACTCAACAGTCGAATATTCTAACGAACATTAGATTTAATTTCACTTATTTTTAGAGAAAAATTTTATGGATGTGAATATAAAAATTAAATTAGGATTATAATTTATTTATATATTTATGTTCCCCTTATTTTAAAGGAATTACCTGAAGCGTAAACTATCATTTTAGAATTTTTTTAATGAGAATACTTTCAATGGCGTTAAAGATGCCAAACATGAGTTATGGGATTTTTTTCTTTCTTTTCTTTCTTTTTTGTTCTTTTCTTTTTATTGTTCAAAAATAGAGGTGAATACTGAATAGCCTATTAACCGTAAATTGTAAAGGAATTAAGTTTTTATCCCAAACTCGGATTTTTTAAACAATGTTCCAACCCAATGTTGTAGAGATTTTCATGGTTCAAATAATCTAAGTTTGAAATATCAAAGGTTTACACCATCACATTGTTAAGCAAATTCTGTTTGCCCAGACTCAATTTCAATTAAAGTTTTTAGCTTTGAGACAGAAAAATAATCTGAAGAAAGAAGAAAGGAGGCAAATATATTATATATCTCTGCCTTGTGAAGAATTCTAAAACTTTATTTTATAAGAAACTAGTTGTCTTTAACCGAACTGACCTGAATAAGACTGAACGAAGTCTGCCAATTATTCCCTGCTCTGCTCGGTATAAATCTATCCCCGTATTTCTCCTTCTGTGGAGAGTTCACTGGGGTCAACTGCTTCTTTAGCATTCGCGGCTGAATACAAAAAAAATATAAATGCTCAGGGGAGAAAAATTATTTGTATTGTAACAAGAAATAATGGCAATTGCATAGAGCAAATGTTTTTTGACACATTCATACTTAGATGATTTAAAATATTAAATTATTAGTTTTGTTTGAGTTATGTTCTATTGTACGATTTTAGGCCCCTCCCCCATATATCAATCTTGTACATGACCTCGATTTCGATTGTTTTTCAACACAATATTGAATACTAATTTTGTATTATTTCAGGGTTAGTAGCGGTTAAGACAATTTCTAGGTCCGAGCGCTGCGGCTAAGGGGCCGAACGCTGTGGCAAAAACATGCGAAGGAGCCGAAAGCTGCGGTTTTGACAGGCTAGGGGGCCAGGCACTGCGGCAAAAAAGCATGGTAGAGGTGAACGCTGCGGCAAAATACAGGCGCTGCGGCTACATGTCCATCTTTATCTGTGTTGCATATCAGAAGCGTACTAAATTAATAAAAGGGGGAGGGGGCGTACAATAGCCGGGTCCGTCCTGGAGAACGATTTTTGGACCACCCCCCTCCNAATGATTCCTCAATTTTGTTATTTTACATTAATCAAAAATTTTAGTTTCCAGTGTTCATTGTTATTTGCTCACAAGGTCGTAATTTTAAGCGACCCTCCTATTCATGAAAGCACCTGTTAAACCTTTATCTGAGCAAAATAGCCATACATTAGGTTATAACTGTAAAGTATTCGAAGGAAATTGTGTTAAAAGAAATGAGTACCGAAAAGTTCTAAATTAAAAAATCTTACCGATGTGACAGGTGACATAACTGTGCATCTTTTCTGTGGTGAGATTTGTGAATAATTTATCGTTGATCCTGATATCTTCTTCCCCAACCTCTTCTCAAACTCAGTATCCATGACGGAGGCGTATCAGAGGGCGGAGCAACCCTGAAACTTTAACCTTCACTAGAATTCTTCTAATCATACATTGAAAATTTCTGAAAGTAAAAACCTAAAAATCTACATTTCAATTAGTAAAGATTAATAGAACTAACTCTGCCCACGTAGGATTGACGAATCATTGCAAAACAAAATATTCTTAAATACTCCGTTTTAACCTGCCCTTCCCTTATCTGACAAAACAAATAGTTCGTTTTCACGATTTTTCGTGAAATAACGCGAAAACGCAATATTCGAACTGAAGAGAAATTACGTATATTTAAAGCAATTAATTTTCGCTAAAAAGCAAACAATTTAATAAGAAGATAAGTCTAAAAATAACCGTATATTTTAAAAACGAAAGCCAGCTGTGTTGGGGGTCTCTACTCTCTGTTTAAAGTTTGGTTTGTAAGTTGAGTACTGGATTCCTATTGGTTGGAGGAAACTGTTTCTGATCCTACTATTGGTTCAATCAGACTTTTGCTGGCATCCTATTGGGTGAAATAAAGTAGATCTAGGCTTTTATTGGCGAAAATTTTAAATGCTGTTCTCTAATTGGTTCAAATTTATTTATAGAAAAGATCGTCTTTGTATTGATTGATCGATTAAAATAAGACTTTTGAAAAAATTAATGTTGAAATTTAATATTTGAATAAAAATAAAAAAAATTTATTGAGAACGGGGCACGACTTTATTTCACAAAAAAATTTTATTCAATTTGTTTAGAAAAATATTTCTTTAACAATTGAAATGGAATAACACGCGGCACTTGTTCATTTTTAATTTTATGATAAACGCCAAACGGGGAGGGAGTGAAGATTCTTCAGCGACCCTTTAAGGTGCTCGTCTTTAGATGCACGTAGAAATAAACGTTAATCAATCAAATCAATTCTCCGGCGACAAATTTCAAATGCATTTATTATTAAGGAAATGGGTAATTTCCTAGTATACGATTTTTGGACCCCCCCCTAAGAAGCAAAATGAATGTTATGGAAATCCTTCAGAAACAATTTCAGGACAGTGCTGAAAAGCTTCAAAGTGTTCAAAAAGGTAGTTTTTGTTTTTTATTTAAATTATTTCACGATTTATTTTATCTTTATTTCCTACTTGTTCTAGATTACAGTAAAACTTTAAGTGATAGACAAACTTTGGACAGTCAGTTAAATGAAAATAGACAGGTTAGTTTAATAATATATTAATAGCGTAAAGGGGGGGGGGGTTTAAACAGAATTAATGATACCCTAAAGTCTTCAAACTTTGTTTAAAGTCTTAGACTCCTATTAATGGATTCCTCTACCTTTATTTTTTTTAAATGCTTTGAAATAGGTTGTAATATTAAAATCTTTATTTGGTTCTAAATGTTCTTCGTTTACAAAATTTTATGATGTTTTTTAATCATTCACGCAGACACTACGATACTTCAAGTATTTTTCTAAATTCAAACTTTTTTCCTTCGTTAACTTTAAGCTATATTGCAGTTAATTATGAACTATTTAAAAACATTTTATAAGCTTGCATAATTAAAAAATTGTTTTCTTAATTGGTAAATTAAATTAGTCTGTTTCCAGGTGAAAGAGGAATTAGATCTTGCCACCGAAGAAAGCAAGATTTACAAACTTATTGGTCCTGCTCTTGTAACCCAAGATCTGGTTGAAGCCAAGAGTAATGTTGAGAAGAGGATCTCCTATATCTCCGGTGAGCTGAAGAGGAAGGATGATCAGCTCAAGGATATGGATAAGAAGCAGGACGAGGCTAGAGAGAAGATGCAGGAGATACAAACCCAGCTACAAAAACTCCAGCAAGCTCCAAACTAATCTTGTCAATTTAAACCCTCCTGGCTATCAGGGATCCACGGTTCTATTCCGGCTAATAGGGATCTCCTTTCTGCTCCTCGGGATCTCCGCTTTAAGCTTTACATTTCATTTCAGATTTTAAGATGGGAGAACGGAAAGGGCAGAATTTTTACTATCCACCGGATTTTGATCCGAAGGTTCACGGCTCCTTGAACGGGTATCATGGCGTGCACGCACTGCGTGAGCGTGCGCGTAAGATGGATCGAGGAATTCTTATTATTCGGTTTGAAATGCCGTATAATATTTGGTGCGGTGGTTGTAATAAGCATATTGGAATGGGGGTTCGATACAACGCAGAGAAAACGAAGGTTAGTAGTTTTAATAAATCTCATATTAGTAAAAATTGTCAGAAAAGATTGCATGATTTTGCTTTAAAAAGGTTCTAAAATGTAGTAATTATCTGGACATTGTGATTGTTAATTGTTATACATTTTCGCATTTAATCACTGAAGTTGGTTATGACCTAAAATAAAAATGATTCCTCAATTTTGTTATTTTACATTAATCAAAAATTTTAGTTTCCAGTGTTCATTGTTATTTGCTCACAAGGTCGTAATTTTAAGCGATCCTCCTATTCATGAAAGCACCTGTTAAACCTTTATCTGAGTGACAATGAGGAAGATATCGTCGTTTTACTTTCTTAAAACGTGTGGAATTCTAACAATTCCATTAATTGTCTCAGAACCATGACTAAATCGCTGTTATAGAAAAACAATTAAAAAGAAGTTATTAGGTACAAAAAAGCATTTATTTTTCATCCTTGAAAGGTTTAATGAGTAGGGGACAATCAGTTCTATAAATGAAAGGTCTTTAATAAGTACGTTTACAGTCCGTGTGATATATGTGGATATTGAAAACTGTCTTAATATCGTAGGTAGGAATGTACTACACGACCCCGATCTATCAGTTCCGAATGAAATGTCACCTGTGCACAAACCATTTCTCGATCAAGACAGACCCCGGGAACCTAGATTACGTGATAGTAGAGGGCGCTACTAGACAGGAGAGAAGGTGGGATCCAACAGAAAATGGACAGGTTAGGTTTAATTATATTTTTAATTGATAAATATATTTGTGCAGGTGGTTCCAGATGATAAATATATTTGTGCAGATGGTTCCAGACGATAAATATATTTGTACAGGTGGTTCCAGACGATGAATATATTTGTGCAGGTGGTTCCAGACGATAAATCTGTCGGGAAGAAGTTGGCCGACGACGCGATGTACAAGTTGGAACACGAGAGCAAGGATAAGGGGAAATCATCGGATACAGCTCCAAGACTAGTCGGGATATCAGATATCCAGGTAATATTCAATCCTAGATATCCAACATATATCCATCTACTAGGTTAGTAGTTTACTGGGTCTTCCGTATCCAGGACCAGGTATTATTGAAACCAATAAATCTAGGTACTAGACTAGCCAGGACATCAGATATCCTGGTACTAGACTAGCCGGGTTTCAGATATCCAGGTACTAGACTATTTGGATATCAGATATCCAGGTACTATACAAGCCGGGATATCAGATATCCTGGTACTATACTAGCCGGGATATCATATATCCAGGTACTAGACTAGCCGGGATATCAGATATCCAGGTACTAGACTATTCGGGATATCAGATATCCAGGTACTAGACTAGCCGGGATATCTAATATTCAGGTACTAGACTAGCTGGGATATCAGATATCCAGGTACTAGACTATTTGGATATCAGATATCCAGGCACTAGACTAGCCGGGATATCAGATATCCAGGTACTAGACTAGCTGGGATATCAGATATCCAGGTACTAGACTAGTCGGGATATCAGATATCCAGGTACTAGACTAGTCGGGATATCAGATATCCAGGTACTAGACTAGTCGGGATATCAGATATCCAGGTACTAGACTATCCGGGATTTCAGATATCCAGGTACTAGACTATTTGGATATCAGATATCCAGGCACTAGACTAGCCGGGATATCAGATATCCAGGTACTAGACTAGCCGGGATATCAGATATCCAGGTACTTGACTAGCTGGGATATCAGATATCCAGGCACTAGACTAGCTGGGATATCAGATATCCAGGTACTAGACTAGCTGGGATATCAGATATCCAGGTACTAGACTAGTCGGGATATCAGATATCCTGGTACTATACTAGCCGGGATATCAGATATCCAGGCACTAGACTAGCCGGGATATCAGATATCCAGGCACTAGACTAGCTGGGATATCAGATATCCAGGTACTAGACTAGCCGGGATATCATATATCCAGGTACTAGACTAGCCGGGATATCATATATCCAGGTACTAGACTAACCGGGATATCAGATATCCAGGTACTAGACTAGCCGGGATATCAGATATCCAGGTACTAGACTAGTCGGGATATCTAATATTCAGGTACTAGACTCGCTGGGATATCATATATCCAGATACTATACTAGCTGGGATATCAGATATCCAGGTACTAGACTAACCGGGATATCAGATATCTAGATACTAGACTAGCTGGGATATCAGATATCCAGGTATTACTAATTCTAAAAATCCATGTACTAGGTTCAGTGGGTATCCACTATCCAGGTGTTATATTGTATCCTTGATATCAAAGTAAGTCCAGTGGGTATCCTATGTCAAATCTTAATTTCGTTTTTAACCACAGATTTGTATTCCACAACTTATCTTAACTTTTAAATTTGGTAGAAATAAAATTTAGAAAATTTTCAACTCATCCAAAATTCATAATACGGCAGGAATTAATTCTGAGTTAAACGATACTTATACTTTTGAGTGTTAAAATGGTAATAGTTATCGGTTCATTATTTAAAAAGTATTTTTAAATTCCTTTTTTTAAGCAAAAACCATCCAAATTTTGACAAGAGCACCCGTTTGTAAAAGGACGAAGAGTGTGTTAAAAAAAATATTTGTTAGGATCGAGTGAAGGATGATTACCTGGCGAACCGTTTACTCCGGGACAGGTTTAGGCAGAGGAAGAAAGATCAGGCCGCCAGGAAGGAGAAGAACGAGAGGATCTTGGGTAAAACTGGACTCAAGCTGGACCTGGTGGATGAATGTCCGGAGGATGTCAAGTTTGCTCAGCTTCTCAGTATCCAGGTATACACTTGACACAACCAGTATCAAGATTCTAGATATACCTACAGCAAACCCAACCATCAGAGAAGGATTTATTGCATAGAACAAATTCAATTTTTTTTGACCTAAGCTTATCTTCATATAAAAGTCGAATGCAAAGATCACATAAGAGATCTAAATATTAGAAAGTTATAATTGTGTATTACATATAAAATAGCAAAAAGTCTTAGAACTAAGCGATATTTTCCGAGATCTCTCCCCCAACTCATTAATATAAGATTTTTTATATTTAAATATAAACATACTCTCAAACTTATGTACATGATTTATTGAGCTAAAAACATATTGTATTGTATAATTTAGACGTATTAGCAGTAATTTATTAACATACTACTAGCTGAAGTGCACGGCGCAGCGTTGCCCGTGAAAATAGATTTTTGATTTTTTTTTAGCTTATGTTACCTCGAAAAAGTTCAGCCCATTCGGTCCAGTCGTTTGGCTGGCTATAAGGAACATATATACGAATGTCTTGTTTTATTAAATAGATTGCAATTTTGATAGTGGAATTTTTAATTTCATTAATTTCTGACTAAATTATCTTGTCCCTATATATAAATGAATTATATACAATTAATCTTCATCTGTTTAGGCTCGGAAGGAAGCTGAGGAGCTGCAGAAGGAAGGACGGGATGCACTCGGAGAACAGGATATCTTCTCCACCAGCAAATCTAAACCTGAAACCATCTCTCCTGCTAGATCCTTCTTGAACAAGGTGGCAAACTCAAACCAAACCAAACTTATCAAAGATAAAGGTTTCGGGGTAGTGCTCTCTAAAAATGGCGCCAACCAGCTGGGAGTTCTACCGAAAAACTCCGCAACAAAAGTTTCAGTTGTTACGAACTCACAACACAAATCTGTGGAAATACGTGTTTTCTCCCATGAACCAAAATCAAATGAAATCAGTTCTAATTCAGAAAAAAATTCATTATCATTGTTATGTAATTATTCAGCTTCTAGCGATGAAAGTGACTAAAAACAATAATGTAGGATATGTACGATTTTATTTGTTAAAAATTTATAAACCTATTAACTAAATAATATATAAATAAAGACAGATACTGAAATTAAGAATTGTGATGTAAGCTATATACAGAAAATTGGGTTAAGTTTAAGAATTTAATGCGTTTTTTCAGACAATTTGTGTTTTTTGTTATGTTATGTTTTTTTGTCGATAAATGAAGCATTTCACAAAAACTATTATAGTTTGCGAATTGGTGCTCAAATACAGGGTGTCCTTCCTACGAAACATGACAGTTGATAATTTTTTATGAATGTTGTCTTTCATATAATGTACTAGATATCAAAGGCTTTTTGCAATTTATTTCGTTAAAAATTCTTTTACATATTTTACTGTGAAATCAATTTTACTATGGGATGACTCCCATATAATTTGTTTGTTATTGTTTTGGTGTCAAATAACTTAACAAATTATGGAAGAAGACATTCTAAACTATTCACCAACTGTCATGTTTCGTGGGACACCCTCTAGATACAAAAATGTTCTACTTTTATTAAAAGCTTCAAGTTCTGCACAAGTTTAGGAATTTGTGTAATGTAGAAAATGAAAATAAAAGTCTTAATCTTAATTAAAGTAGACGTTTCTATACATTATTTATGTATTATAATAATGTTCTTACCATGTTGAGATTTTCGAAAAAAAAGGTTTTTGGTGGATGTAAAAACCAAATATTTCTTATTGGAGATAAGAATGCTGGACGCGGAGACAGAAGTTCAGAGACTTGGAGACGTAACGAGAGGCACAGAGATTGTTTTGAGTTTGTTATTCTGCTTTTTAGAAATTAAAAGTCTGCGGAGATCATTTCGCGGGGCTCATGGTGGCTCATGAGCAACTCAACTAATCAATATTAGAATAAGATTTTAATGACTTCCAAGATAATTTTAAGAGAGATGCAAGAACATTATTACCGAGTATAACTCCCAGGTTTATTAAAGTTAAACATTTTTAGCATAATAGACCTCATGTACAATATTTGTTTAAATCTTGTTTAGCCCAGAGGCCATTCCTTCTATCAATATATTGGTTTTAAAACAACAAGTATGAAAGAAAATTTATTTTGACTAGAAAATACTATTGCATTTGCATCGGTTTTCCACCCAGCTGAACAATTTGGCCGGCATTTAACATATCGTCGGCCGTCTCCAGAAGTACTTTATGCTTCCGTCTTAAATGAATTGCTGCGTTCTGCTTGTATGGAAATCTTTTATTGCACATTGAGCACTCAAACTTGTTCTCTATTCCGCACTCGAACCTGATATGTCTGTTGAGGTTATAATTCCAGTTGTAACATTTCCCGCATTTCTGACATTTAAAGACCTGCTTTGGTTTAGCGGATTCCTGCGACCTAAACTGTGAATTGTCAGGTCGGGTTGGGGTGAAAGCACTGTGAGGATTACTGATAAAACTAGATTTAAACTCTCTAGAGTAAAGACTATTCTGTTCATCCAGCCTACTGAGTAGGTATTGAGGGTAGGGTAGGGCTAGAGGGAGAGAGAGGGTGGGAAAGTAGAATCCTAGTCTAGATGAGTCTTCAGCTTCATATTTAATATTACTGTTTGCATCCGGTAATACAGATCCATCCTCAGGACTCTCAACACTGGAATTTATACTTGGTTTAATAATATTATCTTATAGGATGAGAATTCAATGACGACCTGAATCTCTGAAGGTATGAACTATGAAGGTTTATTATTTTAGCTTTCGGACTTCAATATAGTCTTACTGTTAAACGATATGACAAAAGAGCACAAAGCCTAAAGCTCCAAAGAACCACCAACGTGAGAAAAAAGACTGATTAACTTCCATACAGTCGTCTCTGAAGTCCTATCCTTGTGCTTAGCCCTGTACTATAAAACCAATATTATATCAAACAAAGTATCCCTAATAGAAAATGATTCTAGGTCTGGTGGTTCAGGTTTGATAATATTAATAACAGGTATGCTGTTAGGACTAGACTGCTCTGACCCACTGACTCCTGCTCCTGAGTGGGCGAGACTAGAAGAACTGGATGACAGTGTGAACTCGGGTATCCGGACAGGGTCGGATAACCGTGAAGGATCGGGAATTCGGACTGAATAAGAGCTGGATATCTGGATTTGACTAGATTCACCGGGGTTGGGATTTAAACAGCTTGGATTCTCCTCTTTCATCTGGATTTCTAAAAATATAAAATCGATCATAAAGTCATCCCACCGGCGCGGCCCTTTCTTAAAAAATCATCTTTCCTTAGATTTGGAAAAACTAAATAATTTCCTAGGGAAAAAACTTGCTAGTCAAGTTCAAATTGTTCCTAAAAACATTTCACCGCTAAAGGGTTGGAGTCTTTGACACAAACTCTGATTTTCTAATCCTCATATATATACAGCCTAATGTCATATACCTTTGATATTTCAAACTATGGAATATGGTGGATAAAATAATCTTAGTTTGAAATATCAAAGGTTTACACCAAGAGGTTGCATAGATATAGGGATTGGAAAATTTGAGCTTGTGGCAAAAAGTCAATTCCTTTGAAATTAATTTAACCATCAGAATATAATAAGATTAATATTCTCAAATCTCTAAACTGACCTGGAATGTTGAATTGTTTATGTTTGTATCCCGGAGTATTAGGTAGAGAAGAACAATCGTTAAAATTAAAATCTGAACTAGAAACTGACAGGTTCCGTAGTTTCTCCTGTTGCTCCGCACTACACGAGTCCAGAAATTGTCGAAACCGTTCCTCTGTGATACGAGAGTCTGGGGATGGGATCAAAGGAGTTCGAGGAGTTTTAGTTTTAGTTGCCGGATCCTCCGGACCTGGGAGACCTGTCAGAGGCCTAGGTTTCTTGATCCGAGGCTGAGAGTCGAGGTCAGATTCTCCGACAGGAGTATGGTCAGATTCTCCGACAGGAGTAGAGTCAGATTCAACAGATGATTTAGACCCACTGGATAACCTAGAAAGGATGCTCGATAACTTTAAACTTTAAAAACCAAAAACTGAAATTTAAAAAAATAGTAACTCAAACACCAGTTAAAAAATAACTATTTGACTTAGCAAAAGGTTAGTAGAAAAAGAAGTTGGAGGAGTAGCAAATAAAAGGGGAGAAGAAAAAGATGTAGAAAACGATTAAGAGAAACAGAACAAAAATAGTAGGAGAGTAAGAAAAGGAATAGAAAAGTTAAAAAGAGTAGTTGGGAGTTTTAAAAGTTTATAAAAGGAATTAATCCTAACCTGGAAAGAGCCTCAGATATCTTACTGAGGGAGGCTAATCTCTTTACAACCCTAGGTTCTGCACTTTTCTCGAGACTTCTAGATAAATATATTTATTTTAATATTCAACAAAATAAAAACACTGAGATAGTGGACACTAAGAAACAGGATTACCAACAAAAGATAAGACATCAATGAAAATGGTTTTTAGTCTTTGAAACTGATTTAAGAATAAAACCCTAGAATTAAAGCTGTAAAGAATCATTAATTTAAGAATAAAAACAATAGGTTTAAAGCTGTAAAGAATCATTAATTTAAGAATAAAAACAATAGGATTAAAGCTGTAAAGAATAAAAACAATAGGTTTAATGCTGTAAAGAATCATTAATTTAAGAATAAAAACAATAGGATTAAAGCTGTAAAGGATAAAAACAATAGGATTAAAGCTGTAAAGAATCATTAATTTAAGGATAAAAACAATAGGATTAAAGCTGTAAAGAATAAAAACAATAGGATTAAAGCTGTAAAGGATAAAAACAATAGGATTAAAGCTGTAAAGGATAAAAACAATAGGTTTGAAGCTGTAAAGAATCATCAATTTAAGAAGAAGACTGAGTCAAATGCGTTAAAGTTGTCTCTAAACTCTCATCCTTGGTGAGATTAAAATTAATTTCCATAATACCTGTTAGCAGATGATAGATCTACAGCATTATCATCCACAAACACATCATCTGCTCCTTCTTCATCCTCATCCATAGGAGGGACAGCAGGAGGAGAGAATGGATCGGGATAAGTGGGAATTGTCTTCTCTGGAGAAACTTGCGGCTTACAATCAACAGGAACGCGCAATGAAGCGAGAATTCCGTTAATTTGTAGGCAGCGTGCAACCAACAGTAGTTCAGGTATCTCAGTTTCGTGTATTCTGCTCACGTGACCAGTGTACATAAACTCCACGAGGTGGCGACACTACTCTTTCAACACAATATCATCAGGTTTTTACCAAGGCGTATAAATAACAACATTTAAAATTAATGCATCTGTAAAAAAAAGAAAAACAAACTTAAGTTGATTGAGATGCACATGCACTGCAATATTAAAATTTGCTCGTTATAAGTAAAAAAATTCAATCTGAGACTCAAAAATTAATATAAAATATGCTTTCTAGCCATATTTCGAGTCAAATTTAAATTTATGTCAAAATACTTGTTATTTCAAGAATGATAATTTAGTTTCCTGTTTTTCAGAAACTCCTTCAAGAATGATCTTATCTGTGCTTGAGTTGGAGAGTAGACCAGAGAGTAGAGGACTAGAGGATATCAGGATAATACTGTTTACAGGGATATCCATACCCTAGATATATTATATGATTATATATATATATATATATTGTGATATCTTTTATCGTACTGCAGTTCTAGTGCACAGATACTCCCTCCCCATCCTTTCTTCCTTTGTATATTACTTGCTATACTCAAACCAGTTTTGTGTTGATAAATATTAATATAGGTTCAGACTTAAGTACATTCAAGTTTGACAAATAGTCAGTAGAGCCAACAACAGAGGAACTATCAGAGCTTCACTGAACGTATTGGGATGACATTTTTTATTATTGTTATTTTTGACTTTTAAATGTTTTTTTTTTTTATATTTCATTGTTTGTAATATGTATTATATCATATCTGTTCGGTTCCATAGTAGTAAACCTATCGTGTAAGAATTCCCATTATTACACGGTTCAAGAGGAACAATTTTATTATTGTTCGCTTCCTTGCGTTTAAGAATGCTTATTCTTACACTGTATGTGTAGAATTTTCATTCTTTAACGCTCAGACCGTGTAAGAATGGAAATTATTACACGGTCAGAGCGTGAAAGAATGTATATTCTTACACGCTCCAAGCATTAAAGAATGGAAATTATTACACTAGTTGAAGAATATTCATTCTTACACGCTCCTTATATTGATCTTTTCAGTATAGATCAATATTGATATTAACTTAATTATTTTGTACTGACAACATGCACACTCACCTTTTTCTTTTACATTAACACATGCAAACTTACCTTTTTATACTTAAAATAACATGCTCACTTACCTTATTCTTAAATATTAAAACATGCAAACTTACCTTTTTTACTTTAGTAAAACATGCTCACTTACCTTTTTCGTTTATTGAAGTGTTGATATATCTTAATTCAGGAATTTCTATTTAAATCTTAACCTTAGTCCTGACAGAAGAGTGGAACCCCCCGTGTTTAATTACCATTTTCTTACCTTTCCAAAAAAACTTAAACATGTACTTAAAACTTTAAGCCTTCCATTGGCCATTTTCATCAAACTACCGAGTCTCAAAGCATACTTTTTTCAATTTGTTTTTAGTTTTTCTTCATTGCAAACCGAGTTTGGTGAGATTTTTCAAATCTCTGCATACTTGTAATAATACGGTCAGAGCGTTTCAAAAATGGAAAGGTTTGTCATGTCTTCACAATTTCAATTAATTGTTTTTTTTTACTTTATAAAGTTTTAAAGTACCTCAGCCTGAATCAGCAGTCACCATATCTCGCATAGCTCGAGATGATGAAGTGAAACCACAATCAAAACCAAAAATGTTAGTTTATAAAAACTTATCATTGAAATATTAGTGTAACAAACTTTTAGTGGGGTCTTAGCAATCCATAGGAATGAAAACAAACCAGACAATCTTGCTTCATGAATAAAAGACAAAGGTCTTCATCAGTTCATGTCGAACTGATTCTTGGTGGATAACCTGCTTTCTCATCTTTTTGGAAAATTTAGGATTTAACATCCAGGAAATGATTTGTTCTGTAAATGATTTAACGATTTTGTTTAGTAGATTAAGACAACCCACTACAATACCTTCTCCCCATCTAAAAAACTCAGGGCACATTCAACATGCTGTATCTAAATGTAGTATCAACTTGAAAAACAAGCAAATTCATTAGAAATTGGTAAACAAACAAACTAAACTAAGGAAACAATCACACCACATGCATCACTTTCAAATTAAGAACCAATTTTTACTTACAAAATGGTTTTTAACATTTTAAAACATTTAAAAAATAAAAAAACAGTGATAGTCAGAACAAGAGCATAAAACTTATTTGCAACCTTTCATAATGTGAACTGTTCCAACTTAGAATAGTCGGATTTTACCAGAATTATTTTTTACCATAATTTCTTGGGTATGTGCCCATGGAACTTCACTAATATGATATAATAATAATCTTATGAGGAAAAAATGTAATAATGGAATTCTTAAACTCTTTCTTTCTGCGGCCTTCGTTAAAGAATACATCAAGATTATTTCATCTCGTTTAAGAATTTCCATTATTACATTTTTTTCCTCATAAGATTATCATATTATATTTTAGCATATAAGTAACAGAGGAGAATAAATGTGTTCCTTCGACCCGTTAATATCTGCGCTCGTGTACCTGCTGAGTTTTTTATATAAAGATAAAGCCCCCCCCCATTCATCACTTAAAGTCTTAGCTATGATCAGATTTCAAGGGTTTGCAGATGGGTTTTTAGGGGGAGTAAAAAGTGGGAGGGATAGAGGGGTTAAAGGTAGTTAATTTATTATTATTGTTTTTAAATCAAGTCTATGGATAGTATCATCTACAGTGTTAATAGTACAACAATATAAATACAATTAAAATCTGAAATTTAAGCACTGTGAGAGGGTGGGCACTGCCAGCAGAAAAGTGGACAAAAAACAAAATAGAAATACGTAAAAATATGTTCAGCAAGTTATTTAATACTGCACTCAGGTAATATGTTCTCTCCGCTCCTTGTTCTAAACTCTTTCACTTCTGTTTTGTGTGAAAGAGTCTAAACTAACTTTCTTGATCTTGATATCCACTTTGACGATTTTTGAATTTCAGAAATTTGTGCTTAATGAGGGGTATCAAGAACTAAGTTAATCCGTAGGACTGCCCAAGATAGGATTAACTGGTTGATCCAATGGATTCACAGTACAAAAGTGTTGAGCTCTGACTCCTTGCCTTTTCTCTTTAAAAGCACTTTTACGGAAAAGCTTCCTTACTTTTCAAATTTTAATGAATCTTTTCTCAAAACTACTTGTTATAAAATTATCATTATTTCCGAACGACTTGTTATAAAATTATCATTATCTCCGCACTACTTGTTAATAAATTATCATTATTTCCGCACTATACTTGTTAATAAATTACAATTATTTCCGCACTACTTGTTATTAAATTATCATTATTTCCGCACTACTTGATAATAAATTATCATTATTTCCAAACTACTTGTTATAAAATTATCATTATTTCCGAACTACTTGATAATAAATTATCATTATTTCCCAACTACTTGTTATAAAATTATCATTATTTCCGAACTACTTGATAATAAATTATCATTATTTCCCAACTACTTGTTATAAAATTATCATTATCTACGCACTACTTGTTATTAAACTATCATTATTTCCGAACTACTTGTTATAAAATTATCATTATTTCCGCACTATACTTGATAATAAATTATCATTATTTCCGCACTACTTGTTATTAAAATATCATTATTTCCGAACTATTTGATAATAAATTATCATTATTTCCCAATTACTTATTATAAAATTATCATTATTTCCGAACTACTTGATAATAAATTATCATTATTTCCCAATTACTTATTATAAAATTATCATTATTTCCGAACTACTTGATAATAAATTATCATTATTTCCCATCTACTTGTTGATAATAAATTATCATTATTTCCCAATTACTTATTATAAAATTATCATTATTTCCGAACTACTTGATAATAAATTATCATTATTTCCCATCTACTTGTTATTAAATTTTCATTATTTCCCAACTATTTGTTATTAAATTATCATTATTTCCCAACTACTTGTAATTAAATTATCATTATTTCCCAACTACTTGTTATAAAATTATCATTATCTACGCACTACTTGATAATAAATTATCATTATTTCCCAACTACTTGTTATAAAATTATCATTATCTACGCACTACTTGTTATTAAATTATCATTATTTCCGAACTACTTGTTATAAAATTATCATTATCTCCGCACTACTTGATATTAATTTCCGAACTCCTTGTTAATAGATTATCATTATTTTTGAACTACTTGTTATTAAATTATAATTATTTCGGACTTCCCGACATCCAGAGCGAAGTTATATTTACAGAGTCAGCAGTTTTACTTTGTTGATCCTGATGAATTAGACCCATTAAAGTGCTACAAACTCCTACAGAGCAATTGTAAACCTTAATATTAAGTAAAAGATAAATTAACAAATCATATAAGTAACTCGTACACAACCTTAATTGAAAACTAATACAGGAGATAACTTCGGTTTTCAAATCTTGCTCAATCTTTTCCTCGTCGTGACGTCACTGCTGTATAAATCATCGAAACGTTCAACAGAGCTGTCGTCTTAATTTTCAGTGACTTTCCGTTTAAAGAGGACATGCCCGATTACCAACTTTACCTCCCTCCCCCCAACCTCATTCAAACTCTAAACCTCCTGTATGACCGTCTCTGGACCCCCCTGAAGTCTAAGGCCGATCATTAAAAACAGCTATTAATGGCTTGATTGGTCCTCCAACAAATCATTATATGTCATATAAAACTTAAAATATGTATATTTGCATGTGTGTTTTTGTAGAAAAAAATAAATGATAAAAAAAATACCAATGAAACCTTAGACTGGTATAAAGATAAAGATAGTGCTTAATTCTAAGAATTTCTATATTTTATCTGAAGCAAGTCCCAGAGAAACCACAAATGAAAATAGAAAGTTTTCTAAAACAAAAACATGAATATCTAATTCATAGCTTGAAGGTGTACCGCTGAGAACCGGACATGTCAATTTATCAATGGAAGGTCACTTGAAATTACGTTTACAGTCCCTTAAACCCTTCTAAACCTGAACCAGATAAAGATATATTGAATTGGTGGGTTTCTGTCCGTTGATAATCCATGTTTCGTATTTCTTTTATAGTCCACAGATGAAGATTAAAAACATCTACATAGTTGGTAGATCCTAGATCAAGGTTTAAAGGGTGAATCGTTGGCGGCACTCTCTTTAAAGTTATGGATCAAGTAAGTTATACTCACAATCAAAATCTCTGAAAACTATTCTCCACCTGCAATCTACATACTGTCTGTTCTAACCTGTGCTGAGAGGATTGTATCTGCATGAATATCCTTGTTCTCCTGGATACAGGAGACAAGATCAGAACCGTGCCCGGTCCAGACCAGATTCCGTTCTATCTTCCGTCCGCACTCCAGCCTTACTGGAGACCCGGAGACAAGATCAGGAACCTGTCCCATTCGTCTTGGTTCAAACATAACCCGGCCCAAGCAGGACCCGGAGTAAGGTTCACATCTCTCCAGGGGGCCGAGAACCTGCTTCTCTGGATGGTGACCCCGACCATCCATCCTACCTCCACCATGCCAACTCCATTCTGGTCTGAAATACGGTCGGAACATGTCAGCTCAGGGTACACAAGTAGACTGACAAGCTAATCTCGTTATAATACAATAAAATAAGTGTCAGTTTTCAATCATAGTTTGATTTAATGGATACATTCATAAAATCTTGCAAAAGTCGTTGCTTCAACCTTTTAACTATGCTTAAATATCCATTAAATTTAATCGGTTTATTATTAATCATAAAAAGATAAAGTGTCCAGGGCAGGAGCTAGGGGAGAATATTCAAAACAATAACTATTATTTAACAATCAAAATACAGAAATATATACAAACATTTAAAATCGTAAAAAAATAGAACCTGTAAGAGATAGAGAAGTTTTTGAGGTTTAAAAATACATGCGTAACGTTTGGTATTTTCTATACAAGAATCTACCGTTAAGATTTTGCTATAAACTCAAATTTTCTAATCTCCATATTTCTCCAACCTGGTGTAAACCTTTGATAACTTTAACGGAGATTATTTGCCCGTACAGAATTCATAGTTTAAAATATCAAATGTGTACGACATAATGTTGAAAAGATAAAGGGATTAGAAAATCAGAGTTTGCGGCAATGGAACTCAGTTCCTTTGATCGATTTTTATGTTCAGGGTTCGTTTCAAAACAAATAAATATAAGAAATTATTTATAATTGAAGTAATTTTTTTTTATTCCTCATCGATTGACAAAGTTTTATTGTGGAGTATGAAAAAGTAAAAAAATCAACCTGTAAAGAGACTGTATGCGTAATTTCAAGTGGTCTTAAATATAAAAATGACAATTCCTGATTTACAATAGATTTGTCTGATCAAGTATGAATTATAATATCAATATTTTTGTTTGCGGTTTCTCTGCGAAAATGACTTGCGCATTTCTTGCTTACAAGAAGTAATGGAGAAACTCACAGAAATAAACACGTTTGAGTCGGAAAAATGACGTTTATATTTACAGATCAGATTTCAAGAGTAACGTAGTAAATCAGACATGGTAATCTTTGCATGGAGGGTCCCTTAAAGTTACACTTACAGCCCCCTTAAGAAGGATTAGTTTATTAACAGTACTTTTTTGGGGATTTATTCGAACTTTAAAAAACTTGAAGAAAGATGAATTGATAATTTGGTCGCTATGCTGATAGCTGATCATTGATTGTAAATTAAGATTAAGATTAAGCGCCGCGTAGATATAAGACGAGTTCACAAATGTTTGGAAACCAATTATTGTAAACTCTACAGAATGATATCATGGCTGAGGTCTTGTATGAACTGTTTATCTAAAAAGATACTGAACTTCTGTTTTCAAGTTCATAGATAAGAGTTTCATTCATTCATGAAAACTATGTTAACATTTCTATACAAAACCTCAAAATAGCGCCATTTCAATTTGTTCAACGCAAATACCATTTATTACAGATTTTACGAAAATAAAAGAGATTGATTACTCGCCTTAATATCTAATCCCTATATATTTCCAACCTGATGGTGTTAACCTATGACTAGATATTTGATCTAGAAAAATTCATATTTCGAAATATCAAAGGTTCTACGAGGTTGCGAAGAAATAGGAACTAGATAACTAGAATTTGAAGGGTTTGTTGTTGAAAAGAATTGAGTCTTTGTCACAAACGCATCATGCATCATCTGGTTGTTGAGATTAAGGTATTATAAAATTGGGATTTGTGGCAAAAACTCAATTCTTTTCAAGTGAATCTTGATTCAAAACTGGGCCAAAGAGCATGAGCGATGTTACTCAGTACCCTTTAAACTTTAATTTGATCTATCATGTGCATGTCGTCTTATTATTATCTTATTCAGTGCATGTCGTCTTATTATTATCTTATTCAGTGCATGTCGTCTTATTATTATCTTATGCAAAACGTTCAATTCTGACAATTTCCCTGACTGTTTTTGTATAGCAGAAACTTCATAGTAAAAGCCGAATTGAAAATAGCCAAGCTAAAAATACACCATATCATTCGTTCTCGATCATGCAAAGCTGTCAAGGGTACCGTTGTGAATCGAACGTGTCACTCTATAAATGGGACTCGCTTTAAAGTACGTGTACAATCCTTTTAAAGTATTATTTTTAAGTATTAAAAAATCGCTTAAAAGAAAGCAAACGGTATTATATAACTAAATCTAGGAGCTGTTAATATTTAAGTTGGGGAGGTGGGGGGTAATAAATAAGTAATGCCATGAAAATTTTAGAACAGTTTCGTACTCCATATTTATCTTTAAAATAAACTTACAACCTATTAAAGGAATAACTATTTTAATAATCATTTCAACATTTAAATTGATTAAAAATATTTAACAATTTAATTATATTTTAATGTAATTTCTAGTTTTATTTAATTCATCTTTAAACTAATTCATGCGTTTTATATCAAATTAAACAGTGTAAATGTAAAAACAAACTTTATAACTTAGTTAAGTAAAATAATTGAAGTTGATTATAAATTATACTTGACACAAACTCCTTTACGGAAATAAACTTATACAAGTTAAATATATTTCAGTTTTGTCATCTTTAAAAACAGGAATTGAGTCTCTGCCACAAACTCAAATTTTCTTATCCCTAAATCTTTGCAACCTAATGGTGTACACACTTGATTTTTCAAACCTAGATTATTTGATAGAGTATCATCTCGTCATAGATTGTTTGATCCGACAGAAATCATAGATTGAAATATCTGAGGTCTACGCCATTGGGTTCCACAAATATATGGATTAAACAAACCAAAGTTATTGAAGACTCAATTCCTTAAGAATATAATATTGTTTTACAAAAAATTTGTGTTTAATTATTAATGTTTAAAGAAGCAGTTATTTTTTAGATAAAAAAATGGTGGGGGAGGGAGGGGTGTCATAAGGGGGAAAACTACCAGATTGCTCAGAAAACAACAAAAAAAAAAAAAATAAACTACGAAACTCAGTTTAAAAATATTTTCTTTCCAAGAAAATATTTCCAGAAAAAAAAACAAAAAAAAAACAGGAGTACAATGCAAAAAACTGTCAAGTTTCTTTGTTGTCGCAGACGAATTTCAGAAATCTCTGAAATTTGAATTTCCCCTGATTTCTCTTGCTTAGAAGTATCCCTGGTCCCCTCGACTCACCAGGGTATAGAATCCAACCAGAATATTTCCAGCAACCAGTAGAGTTCCCAATAGGGTTAATATAAACTAAAATTGGAATAATATTCATCTTTTCAATTACGCCAATCAATGTTTAAATATGAATAATTAACAACGCCGGGTTTTAGAACAATTAAAACAATTTCCTATTAATTTAATGGAAATTAAAACAATAATGAAAAGAATTAATTTTAATCAATCAAAAATTCAAATTTGGATAGAATTCGTTATTATTTGAGTTTGTAATTTAGATAAATGAGACATCATATTTTTTAAACATCCCTCCGGTTGATTATTGTTTTGTTAGCGGGCTGAATGTAAAGCAAAGGCAAAATATTAAACAATTCAAACTAAACGATGTCATGTTATTTCAACCCTAACATATTAAATTTAAAATTCAAAAACAATTGTTGCTAACATTGAAAAATGAATCGTTATTTCTGAAGAAATGTTTAAAAAACATACAATTCACATACTTTAGAACATTGAATAATAAAAGAGAGAAAAAGATACCTTTTGATAATGATGTTTTTCTCAAATAAAAAAACAATTTCAAATAAATCAAAGACCAGATTGTTAGCTAAAAATATTGCTTAGCCTTTCTCAAGCTCAAAGATGTTCATGAAAAGAGGTTTTTAACCCCGATTTTCTTAAAATGGACATACATTGGACTTTCACACTATGTGTAACAAAAGGCGTTAAATTTTGAAATAAGTTTTTCAAAACTGTTAAATATTAGATTTTTTTTAATAAACGAAAAATATTTATAAAATTCACGAAATTTACAAAAAAGGTTTTCTGGCAAAAATGCTTTGATTTTAGATTTAATTTATCTCATCGTGCCCAAGGTTATAATGCAAGGAAAGTTATTTCAGAGGTTTACGCATCTTTTGTACTGCAGTGTACCGTCTCTGTGCGGTAATGTAAACACAAGACGGATGTCGAAGCCTGACAAGGGATCCATCTTTCACATAAAAAATCAATACAATATTCTGGTCATAGGAAACTATTATGTGAATAATCAAAATTTAATACTTTTAACCTCCTCGGATACTAAACGAACACTGAAGCATCTATTCTTGTTTACAAATTCCGCCCAGAGAGAACTGGTTTCAATATGTACGCAGAGTATACGCAACTGCAACTAACTTTCCTTGCATTATAACCTTGATCGTGTCTAGTGACATCTTTTTGTATCTACCAAAATTAGCTTCTTATTGGTTTTTAATTCCAAATTGTTTAGTACTTAAGATTATTTTCAAGTACGGGAGCAATCTCTTTACAAGAGAATTAAGATGAATATTTTCCTGAAGGATTTCTCTATGTCTAGTATACTCTCCTTTCAACAGTAATTCTAAATTCAGAAAAAAAATATACAAAATTTTAAAATAACTTTTTTTTTAACAAAAAATTATTATTAACTATTACTAAAAGTAATTAGCTACTAGGACATAGTCCTAATGTGGACAGGACCAGATTGAACCCTACATCCCATTCAACACTGCTATAGTCGGCAGCTCCTGGCTCTTTCAGATTCACAACTGGTGCATTAACTAGTACTAAAAGTATACTAGGACAGAGTCCTAATGTGAACAGGACCAGATTGAACCCTACATACCATTCAACACTGCTATGGTCGGCAGCTCCTGGCTCTTTCAGATTCACAATTGGTGCGTTAAGAAACCCTTGTTACAAGCATTCAACTCCTCAAAAAAAGTTTCCTCAAATGATGATCCTAGGTTTTACGTGTCTCGTACTTTATATGGAATATATAATCAGAGAAAACACTAAATACAAAATATAAAATATTAAAAACAAAAAAAAATAATAACCAAAACAATTTTGTAAAAATTAAGTTATAAATGAGCCAGTGCTTTGCCATGAAATATTCATTAAATTCTCGATTGCTTCCAGATGGGTAAAAAATACATCATGACTGGTTGAAACTGATCCACATATACAAATTGCATTAGTTTTTTTCCCTTTCCAAAAGTCCAAAAAAGTGCCTTTGTTATAACACTGTTATTTTGGTCCGCAGTGTTATAAAGTTTTTGAAAAGAATTTTTTTTCTCTTTTTTCACTTATTTTTATGCAACAACTTGATAAACCATTCAGAGATAAGGTCATTTTTAATAATCTCTCTTTTTTCAACAGTTCAGATTTGAGTTTTGAGAACAAACCATTTTATTTTGCAGTTGTTGGTTGATATTTTGCCCTTGGATCCGTGGATCATATTTTTCATATTTTTCATATTTTTCATATTTTTTATATTTTTTATATTTTTCATATTTTTCATATTTTTCATATTTTTCATATTGTTCATATTGTTCATATTGTTCATATTTTTCATATTTTTCATATTTTGAGTTTAAAGTTACTGAAATAAGAAATTTATGTCTTATTTTCATATAATTCAAGATAATAAGGCAGTTTGAAAAAATGAAATAATTAAGATAATTATTCGAAAGATTTAAGTATTGTAAAATTGAGATAATTAGTTAACATTAACTGAAAATTCAGCTGTTAGACCTCTTACGTTTTAACAAAGGAATATTTTCATATATGTTTTTTAACGAATCTGTGAATTGTGAAATGCCTCTGTTTTCTTATCCTTTAGTTTTGCAACCTGATGGTTTAAACCTTTGATATTTTAAACTTTGTCTATTTTATCCAGAGATAAGAGAGTACATAGATCTATTTAAGGCTAGAATCTGCGATATTTTCTCCAATAGATCCTAGTTATGTATACAAATGAAGTACACAACCAATTAGAAAACATCTATCTTCAGGGATATTTAAGGATCCTTTGGATATGAAATACAAAACCTTCAAAAATGGACTAATTTACGTTTACGTTAAAAGTTAAAAGTTAGAGTGTTTCTTTTAAAATGGGAAAACTTAACCACTGAAAGGGTATTCTATGCAAAAAGAGGCCGTTAGATGGCAGTCAAAAACCTGTTGTAGGAACGTAGCATGTCGTTCAGGTACGACTATAGGCCTAGTTAGCCCAGCCCGTGAAAGTCGATTAGCAGTCTGTATATATCTAGTCTGTGATTTGATTCATAAACAATTCCAATTTTAAAATATCTAACGTCTAAACTACATCGTGTTTAAAAAATATTAAGAAGAGAAAATCATAATTAGAGACGAGTTTTCCTTTGGAAAACCAAACATTAGGTCCAGTCTAACGTAAACGAATTATCTCTGTAAGATTACAAAAAATGGATCCAGACTGGGTCAACTTTGAAGTGTCGCAAAGCCTTGGCATTTGATTTTGCGCACTAATTTTGTAGTCCTAGACAGTTTTATGTTAAACCACTTTAAATTTTATTATTGTTGTAGTTTTTAAGAAGTAATTGGCAAAATTCTAATCCATTTCTGCGTGGGAGTTTGAAACCCTATAGTTTCAAGTGCAAACTAGATTAGAACCATGGGAGCTAAACCCACTTTTTTAAAAACTGTCCGAAACAGTGTAATTTTTGGTTTTACTTTCAAAGAAAAGTAAATTCCATCTAAATAAACAATTGACAGGGCTAAACCCAAATGTTCTAATCCCTTTATCTTTGCAACCTGATGGTGTAAACCTGTGATATTCCAAACTATTTTATCCATAGGAGAATTAGTTTAAAATATCAACGGTCTTTGACATTAATAGGAAAAACTATGAAATTACTAGACCCAAAACAAAAATTGTTTAAGTTGCTGCAGCATCTTGTTATATGTTCAAGTTTTTAAATATAAAATGCGGGATAACTCCCTTTCAGAAGATTTAAACCATTTTTTTCTTTTTCCAATAAATCTTATTGCGCTCTTAAATATTTCATGTCCCATGAATCATGAATATCTATTGCATGTTTTAAGACTTTTGAACCCCTGAACTATTGTTGTAACAGCAGTATCATGTTGATTATTATTCATCTGAAGGGTTTATAGCGTTTTATATAGCGTTTATAGCGTTTATAGCGTATACTGATTATGAAACCTATTTAAAACCCCGGAACCGAATTTGTTAGACCTTTAAATCCTGATACAGAATAAGAAAACAGATTCTGTACTACTCTTTCCATCCCTGTTTTCAAAAATGTCACTATTAAAGAAAGCCTTTGCCAAATATGAAAAACGAGGTCAACATCTTCAATCAGAGCTGGGAACTTTGGAATGGGATACCAACCTTTAATCCTGACTTCTTAATCCGAATATACAATATGGTCACTTTTAATTTCTTGCCTAATCCACTCTTTTTTGGATATATTACAGAAAAATCAAAAACCGGTTTTTTAAAGTTAAAGAGTCCCTCTCGTTTCAGTAAATTCATCTTAAATGGCGCGCGAAATTTCAAGTTTCCCGGTTTCTGATACGCGACTCTGATTGGCTGAATTTTATACACTTTTCAAGATACAAAACAAGATTAGGTTAGTCTTGAGATTAAGAAAAAGAGAGGATCAAGCATTGATCTCGATATCCAACATTCTAAAGTTTTCAGCTCAGTTAATGAATAAAAGTTTTAGACTCACCGTTGTGAATCTGTCAGGACACTTTAACATGAAATGAAGTAAGTGCACAATCCCTTTAGTTAGTTTCCTACCTAGGAGAACCTGCATCATGTGCTGACCGTCAAGGAGCATGGAGGGAATTACATTAAGGACTGCTAAGGCGCTGGAGAAGGATATTATATAATTACACATCTTCTCAACCTTATTCACGGAGTAGTTAAATATATTAAGATGGAATATAGACAATATTCTGGCATAAAACCACCATTTAAATATTTAGAAAGGAACTTAAGACTTGCCTCAAACTCTTCGCAACCTGGTGTCGAAGACCTTAGATATTTCTAATTATTAAGCCTGAAAGTTTTAAATATTAAAGGTTTACACCAACAGGTTGCAAAGCTATAAGGATTCGAATATTTTTAGTCCCTTTAATATTCTAAAAAGAAAAAAGTGGCTGGATATTATATAGAGCCCGGACATTACACGATACCAGTTCAATTCCAAATAGAACTTCTCCGTGACCTGATCAGGAAGGGAACTGGGAGCCACTCCATACTTAGGACAGTACTCGGATACTTGTATAGACGAGTAGATTAAAGCAGGGTTACCGACGAATAGAAAATCCTTATCGTCCTGTCGGCTCACTTGGACGAATTTAGTGTGATTCGTCCCGAAAATGTGCGTTACCAATGATTCGTCTTTATCACAGTGGGTAGAGTTGGAGTGAGTTCGGTTTGCTAAACTTAGAAAATCTCTGACATGGAGGCAACTTAACCCACTTCCGGTCCGCAAACTGGTATCACTTCCGGTCCGCAAACTAGTATCACCTCCGGTGCGGAAACACAGAGAATTGGCAACATTTTCACAGCACTCGTTGTTCTGATTGATTTGAGCAGAGGATAATTTAACTTTATCGAGACTCCAGGTTTGAATACAGTAGGCAGGATTAGGGTTCTGCATCGAGTGAACTATCCAGTCTCTAAAAATGAACAATTTTAGCATTTTTTCCAGGAGTAGGTAGTTCGAAACCGGTAATCATGACCAATACAGGACATTCCCGAGACACTGGAAACGTAATTTTAAGTGACATGTCCGGTTCACATCGGTAACATTCAAATCCTTTAAAGTCACAAATGTAGAAAAACCAAAATTATAAATAATCAATTTTTTATGTTGAAAAAACTGATATCGCATTTGATTTGAGTTAACGTTAAATTAAACTTTAAAAACTTTAAATTTTAAATGAAGTGAAAAGTTGTGTAGTACAAACCTGAATTCATTTTTAGATCTGATTATTTCTCCAGATACAGCAGTTAAAGCATCTCCTAGAGATACAATTTTAAATAATATGCTTTAAAGAATATTCTTTTCTTTATTTCATTTATTTCTTTTCATATTTTATCTTATTATGCTTTCATTTATTTTACTAAATATCAAGAAAGGTGCTTTTATATTTAATTTCATCCAATTCTCATTATTTTTATATAAGTAGTTATTCATATTCTTATATTTTTTTTAACATTTTATCATTGATTTATTTTTAAAATTTAAACTCAAATTTTGATTTTTTTAAATCTAATCTTTTCACGTTTTTAATCGAATATATTTATATTTGAATTTAATTTATTTTTTCTTCATTAATTTTCATCCATTTTTAAAAATATTTTTGTCAACCATTTTTATAATTTTCAGAACATTTAGTATATTCTTTAGTTTATATTTAATATTTTTTTTCAGTTTATGACCTTATTTATTAAATAAATGTAAGATAACATTACCTTGTTTTAACCCACTGGGCCCGGTAACCGATGACTCCGGGTTGACGTATGTAACACAAAGACTAGTTCTGTATGTATACAAGGGCCCGGAGAAGAATGGTAAGGTTTGCAGAACCAGATATCCAGCAAACACTAGAATTATATTATGCCAGACTCCGGCAGAAAACACTCTAGAATTAAGGAGTATTTAAAAGAGAAGGGAATAACAAATATTATCTACTTGACTTTTGGAGCACTTCGTACTAACAACTTTAGCCTTTAACTGTTGCTAGTGGCCATTTAAATCAGTCTCAATTTTTTTGCGGATTTTCTATTTAAATTGGCGCATTTTCAAAAATAGTGATTGTCTACATTTTTTCAGGGCCAAATTGTTCAATTTTGACGGTCCAAAACCGTTTTGGCGTTTATTGGATACAAACAGACAAACTAACATGCCAAATTTATATAAAGATAATATTGGATCAGTTTTTACTATCTCATGAGTTTAACATTATTCTTACAGGCATTGCTTAAAATAATAACGTTTCAATATTTTCCTCTTGTTTTTGTATAAAATTTAAAACTAGGAATTCTAATACATTAAATAATCTAAATTTGAAATATCAAAGACTTACACCATCAGGTTGCAAAGATATAGTGATATGAAAATTTACGTATGTGACAAGAACTCATGTTCTTTGCAAACTGATTTTTCTTCATGTTTTCATATAGACTTCGAAAAGATTTCCATATTAAAACTCCGTCCCTTAGTCGTTGGAGACTAGTTTTATTCCTAAGCTGGTCAGTGGGTAGGTCAACGTAAGCTGCAGGAAGGATAAAGAGAATGAATACTCCAAACCCTAGAACTCGAACATCCTCGCTCACAGCAGATACTGCATGTCCGATCTCATGGTATACAGAACATACTAGTAAACTGAAATATGGTATACAGAACATACTAGTAAACTGAAATATGGTATACAGAAAATACTAGTAAACTGAAATATGGTATACAGAACATACTAGTAAACTGAAATATAGTATAGAAAACATACTAGTAAACTGAAATATGGTATACAGAACATATTGTAAACTGAAATATGATATACAGAACATACTAGTAAGCTGAATGGTATACAGAACATACTAGTAAGCTAAAATATGGTATACAGAACATACTAGTAAACTGAAATATAGTATAGAAAACATACTAGTAAACTGAAATATGGTATACAGAACATACTAGTAAGCTGAATGGTATACAGAACATACTAGTAAACTTAAATATGGTATACAGAACATACTAGTAAACTGAAATATGGTATACAGAACATACTAGTAAACTGAAATGTGGTATACAGAACATACTAGTAAACTGAAATATAGTATACAGAACATACTAGTAAACTGAATGGTGTACAGAAAATACTAGTAAACTGAAATAAGGTATACAGAACATACTAGTAAATTGAAATATGGTATACAGAACATACTAGTAAACTGAAATATGGTATACAGAACATACTAGTAAACTGAAATATGGTATACAGAACATACTAGTAAACTGAAATACGGTATATGGACCAAAAAATTAATTTCAGAGAAAAAAACTTGATATCTCATTCATTTATGATCAAACAAAGCTTTTAGGGGTACCATTGTGAATTGAACATGTCATAAAAATGAGGGGTCACATTGAAGTTTACAATCCGTTTCAAAGTGGCATATGTATACTTTGAGAGTAAAAATATAAGAAGTTCTAAGCATAAAAAGATCTAATCCGCTCAACTACAGATGTATAACTAAAGAACAAGAATCTGCTAGCTTAAGATTCTAATCTGAAGAGTACTGTAGCGTTGTCTCATTATCTATATCTACGAGGTTGGTATATTTACTCCAGGTAGGACGGGTTGGATTACAACTCTATACCTGATAAACTAGTATCCTAGCTCCGAGGTTGGTATATTTACTCCAGGTAGGACGGGTTGGATTACATCTCAATACCTGATAAAGTAGTATCCTAACTCCGAGCTTGGTATATTTACTCCAGGTAGGACGGGTTGGATTACATCTCAATACCTGATAAAGTAGTATCCTAGCTCCGAGGTTTGTATATTTACTCCTGGTAGGACGGGTTGGATTACAACTCAATACCTGATAAAGTAGTATCCTAGCTCCGAGGTTGGTATATTTACTCCAGGTAGGACGGGTTGGATCACAACTCTATCTTCTCCACTCTCTGATTCAAACTGTCCAACCAAAGTCCGGATCTAATTATATCTCAGTTAAAGGTTTATGTATAAAATATATATACTAACATCCTCATTCGAGCTTGAAAAGTGTTTAATTCAAAAAATCTTCTTCATTGTTTCTGTAGCAAGAACCCCACAAGTCACTTTGATAGGTTTCTCTATAAAAGTGATTTGCGGGGTTCTTGCTACAGAAACAATTAATGAAAGAAGAACAGGGATAATACGCTATTTTGAATCAGACAAAGGTTTAAAGAGAACCATGACATGCCGTACTAAATATGGAGGGTCATTAATAATTACGGCTGCCGTCCTATTAAAGGTTTATAATCTACACTGACAGTGACATCATCATCATCATTCGAGATTATAGATGATACTGTTTGAAGTATCATGATAAATACAGAAATAAATCGCCTTCACTCATTTCAGAAACGATTACTTAATCCCTAATAAAATAAATATCATATAATTAAACAATCAAATCAAATCAAATGATGCTTTCAGGGAGGTCCTACTTTCAAACAAAACAGTGCAACGGTGACATTCGAAGGAAATTTTTCAGCAATCGAGTTGTCCAACCATGGAATAATTTACTTGCAACAATTCAGAATGGCAAGAATGTAGACAGTTTCAAAAGAATGTACGCGTGAAAATGTGAATGATGTGAACAATGATGGCCAGAACTATAGCTGAACTAAAATCATTTACAGTGAAATCAAGAAATTCCCATTATACTTCAATTGGAGTCCTGAGAATCAACACCACATATACATAAACAAAACTCGAGATGACTTAACTAAATCAAGACTGAAGCAAGGCCCTATTGTTTGTAAACTGTATGACTACCCCGCTTTTTAATTAATAATAATACATAATAACGGTGTTTGTTTTGCAGATTGTAAAATCAGTTTATGGTTGATTCTTTAAAATCTTTTAAGATTTTCCCGTCATAACAGTCAAGTGGACATCCGACATCGTGCCAGAGTACTTTTAACTTATAATAAAAGACCTGCGAGCACATTTCCTTATGCAGATCAGTAATTGAAGGTTGCCCCACAGATTTTTTATTATTATTTAGATTAAAACTGAGAATAGCGATTAGCATAGAATGAGTCAGCTAATATTGTCTGAATTATCTTATATAATAATAATAATTTGCAAAACATAAATCTAAATATTGTTTATGCTAAAACTAGTAAAAAATATTTGCCAAATATGGTGTAAAACATGATTAACTGTACATTTAAAAAAAGGTCTTTGACCATGCAATTCCCAATATGCAAAATTATTTGAAAAATTTTTGTCAACTGAAATATGGTAATCAAGAAGAATTGAAAATGTGCAAATTAACTTTGAAGGAGTGAATGCAAAAAAAAACTTCTTTGCAAAACTTGAGAAATCTACATCCTTTGTAAAATTTTTTACAAAAATGAATAAATTACAACTGGGAAATGGATAAATACTTAATATATATTTAGTTTGGCATAGAAAAGTTGAAGAGGCAAAAACAAGAATTTAACCATAAAACATAAAAACATAAAATGATTTTTCATCGTTTTATGGAGGCTCAGCCTTGATTTCAGGGAATAAGAATAAAGGGAAGGAAAATGGAAGCGCCATATAGTTAATATTTCATAATATTTTTGATTTTGTTTTTTAAAATAATTTTCGCTGGCGCTGGATTTTCGAACATTCCTGGTAAATATGAAAATGTCGTCTTCATTATCAAAATCCTCGAAACATGAATATATGTTTTCAAACGTAACTCTCAGATCATGAAAAATACAAAATGTTATTAAATATCAACTATTTACGAATGCGTCGAAAAATACTCGATGACTATTGTTTGTAATATCTGAATGATTTGTTTGGAATTAAATTGATTTGTTTACGATCTGAGTTGAATGTTGCATCTTTCTGTTTTGTATGGACACTACGTTCTTCGGTATTAGTCGTTTTTAACAGTTTTCTCCTTATAGACGCAACAGATAGAAGTAATATTAGTAGCAATCAAAAGTACTTATTTTTCGCCGCAAGCCTATACCCCCTTTCATTTTTCGCGAACACTCCCTTTAAGTAAACAATTAACAATAAACAAATGTACTCTCCTAGACTTACAAATACCGAGGTTCTTATGTACTGTATATACCTACAGTACACGCCTTCGGTTCGTTATCACTTACACACTCTTTTGGCACAGACACACATACATGACGTTTCCGCCCCCTGGTTGATTTCCACAAAATGATCATGGACAGTTTATTCAATTATATGTATTCATCTATTTGAGTGTTTTAACGAAAAGTAAAAATATGTTAACAAACAAAGATCAATACTTCTCTAATTTTGTAAGTTCTGTTAGAGAATTTATAAAATTTACCAGAATATAAACCGAAGGTATGATGAGTAGAGATGAGAGCAGAGCACCCAACCCGAACCAAGCGGAGAGAAAACCGGGACAGCTCCGTCCAAACCTGATCAAGACTCGGTTAAACCTCTCCGTAAACCAGCGAATCTGCAGGATACCAATATCAACACCTGAAATAAAATTTCATTCAAACTTAAAAAGATCCAGAAAAGTTTCAAAATACAAATTACAATGATAAATTTTAAATCAAAGAGTGGAATTTGCTCGATTCACAACGGTACACTACTAGACTAGTTTTCCTTTAAGTAATTGATTGCGTGTAAGACCAAATCTAGAACAATTCTGTAAATATAGTTCATGAACTATTGTGTACTTTATTTCATCGTGAATTTAATAATCATCGTGCTATAGAATTAAATTAGCTGTACATTATAGCACGTGTGATATAAAGTTTTGATTGGTTCCCGGATTTTCTCCAAAAAAATTTTATGATACTTCCAAAAAAAAAATTTTCAATTGAAATGAAAATAAATTCAAATTAACTTTATTTTTGACTCTTATTTGATCTAGAAATAGCCAAACAAGGCTTGAACATTCTCAATAAAGAGAAAAGTCCAAAAACTTTATAATACTGCGAACCAAAATAACAGTGTTAAAATTAGTTAATTACATATTGACAGATAGGAAAATGCTTATAAAGCTATTGGATTGAAGACAACTTCTCAAAATTGTCTACAAATTTCCATAGTTATTATTCTACCGGAATTTCTAATTAGAATCTAGAACTAACCTATTCCTCTCATAGCTCGTATATACTTGATGGTAAACCAGTATCTAGCAACTGTATCCAGTAGGTAGAGAATACAGTAGACCAGGCCTAGTATTCCTAGACAGCTCCAAACACTCATCCTACACCTTCAACTTATACCAGGAGAACCAGGAATTCACGTTTAAACCGGTTTTAAACAATATCAAGTCCGACAAACTTTTCCTAGACTGATTGCCATTTTCTTTTTTAGTTGGAACTGCTTCCATTGCTGAAAACTTTGCTACTGTGCTGCTTTTGTTCTTTTGAAAAGGAAGCTACCTGTTTCATAATTATGGCAGTTTTCACTATTTTCAAAACGTATGCAGCTTTTTTATGCTACTTTCACTCAACTTTCAAAGAAAATAAAAATGTTCAACTTATTCTTTTTTACACATTTTTGTCCTTAGAAATCAGAATTTTCGCCTCGCCCTGGACTAATTCTTCACTTGACTTTAAGTTTGTCACATGAAAGTTCAATGTAGACAGTTTTCTTAGCTTTTCACAGGTCACAGTTATACTGATTTCGGTATTCACTGAAACAATAGATATTTATTTAAATCAAATGTGATATCTGTAAATATCATGAAAATGGGCTGTACATGAAATTTTAAAGAGACATAAGGTATAACAAACCATTTGACAATTTTTTTTCCAGATTCTTAGTGAGTATTTGTGTAAACACTACTACAACAGATCTAAAGATGTGGAACGGTCTAAACCTGTTTTTCTTACATGTTATAGATCCGTTGCGGATGTTTTTTCAAATACTTTTACAGAAACATTGGGTTTAAATAAAAGTTTTCCAAATAAGCTGCCAAATCAAATTATATGTATTTACACGGACCTCCATTTTTAGAATACTTCAATAAATATTTTGTTGAGAAAATTACCCGGACATGGTTTAATGAACTTGGCTTGAAGAGAAGATACAACTGAACCTGGTCCTGGTAGCCTAGAAAACATACTAGTAAACTGAAATATGGTATACAGAACATATTGTNTGGTAGCCTGGTTCCTGAATACAATAATACAATAATTATCTTCTATTGGTTCCTGGTAACCTGGTTCCTGAATACAATAATACAATAAGTATCTTCTATTGGTTCCTGGTAGCCTGGTTCCTGGATACAATATTACAAAAATTCTCTTCTATTGGTCCTGGTAGCCTGGTTCCTGGATACAATATTACAAAAATTATCTTCTATTGGTCCTGGTAGCCTGGTTCCTGGATACAATAATACAATAATTCTCTTCTATTGGTCCTGGTAATCTGGTTCCTGGATACAATAATACAATAATTATCTTCTATTGGTCCTGGTAGCCTGGTTCCTGAATAAAATAATACAATAATTATCTTCTATTGGTTCCTGGTAACCTGGCTCCTGAATGCAATTATAAAATAATTCTCTTCTATTGGTCCTGGTAATCTGGTTCCTGATTACAATAATACAATAATTCTCTTTTATTGGTCCTATTAGCCTGGTTCCTTTAAAATAGTAAAATAATTCTCTTTTATTAAAAAAGTGAACTGCGCATTTTTTGCTTGTAAGAAGTAATGGAGAAATGTTCAGAATTAAACACTTTTTGAGTCAGGAAAAGGACTTCAAAATTTTAATAAGGGTTCAAGGGTACCATTGTAAATCAGATTAAGGTTTCAAGGGTACCATTGTAAATCAGGGATTGTCATGTTCGCACGGAGGGTCACTCAAAATTACGCTTACAGTCAATTTAAGTATGAATTGTGATTATCCGACTATGAGAGGCTGAAATTTGAAATTCAGGCTGTTAAAGATATTGATATGGCAACATGGGATAAACATCATCAGAATATTTCTTTATTATTAAAATTAACAATCAACCTACAGACAAAGTACCCTGACCTGTAGGTTATAATATAATTAAAGCTCCCAAGTCTATATGGAATCTAGTGTATCATATCTTTACCTAGCACTCCACTGACAATTCCAAGAATATAGGTTCCATGAACTATACTATCTGCTCCGCTCAGATGTATAGGATTCTTATCACCTAATAAACAAAGTTAAAGGGATTCTTTACATGGTTATAAATTTTCAGGGATTCAAGGCCAAAATATTTGCAGATGCAAATTGTTATTTTCATGAAAATAATCTAAACAATTTTATAGTCATGGTAGTTTTGCAAACGCAGGAAAAGTCAGGCGGACACGAGCAACAACTAGTTTCCCTTTCATGCCATATACTAGCTTTTTTGTTATCCGGTCTATACGGGCTTCCATACCACAACATTTTAGTCTTCCATAATATGTAGGTTTTTATAAATTGCGATTGTCAAAAATTCCGTCATGCCATGCAATAAATATATAAAAAAATCTTTATAATTTAGTAAATCCCATTTACCTGTTAGATCAGCGTATTTCTGTACATCTTGTTGAGAGATGAATCTAGTGAGGGTTAACGTATGCTTGGATCTGGTTTGGCAATATCTAGTTGCTAGACAGTACAGTCTTAGCATTCCTTTCTCCATGTACATCCTAACATACTATCTGAATCAACAGTGCGTGCGTGAGAAGTGCGTGATGACCATCCTGTTGAACATGGTTAATGGTGAGACCTGAGCACCTTTCTGATGTCCAAAAAAAAAATTCCTACTATGGTCCCCATGCAACGCAAGGAATCAATAACCAAGTAACCCAAGTAAGAAAGTAACATGGTATCCATGAGCAAAGAGCATGAAGAAAGCAAACTACGCTCTGATATGTTGAATATGCACAATCAAAAATGTATCCAAAGTTATCCTAAGAAGAATTTACGAAAAAATTGTAAAATTAAGAAGAAAAGAATCAAGATAAATTAACTATGCATAAAAAAATTAAAATAGTAAAAAATCCAAAAATCCGACTGTAAATAATTTTATGATTTAACACATAAATAGTTTTCGGAAATATGGAATTTTTATAAGAAATTTTCTTTAAATCGTTTTTTTGAAAAAAACACACATTATCACTATTTTAATATGTTAAATAAATTATTAAATAAATAATTTTACTTAAAAAAATCATACTAATTCAATGGTGACAATCTACAACAAAATTATACTTAGTAATAAAATCAATTTCGGCTTTAATCGAATACATCCGAAAGCCATTTTAATTAATTAACAAATAGATAGATCACAGTTTAATTTAATAATCACGAAGAAAACCCTTTATTTGAATTTTCAATGGGAGCCAATTAAAAAAATTCCACGGAAATAATTACATATTTTTCGGGAAACCTTAGGTCAAGTATTCTCGATGGATTGTTATCATCTCGACATGTGTTAATTTAAATTGATTTTATGATAGAACTGTTTAAGCCTGGATGGATAATCCGTCATAATCCCAGAAGCTCCGGAGCTTAGACCCTGCTCAAACTCCTCCTCGGAGTTTAGAACCCAGAGATAGGTTGGGATACCTCGCTCCTCCAGGTGCTTGATTAAACTACGGTTTAAGAGAAGGTAGTTGCAAACCTTGAGAAGGAAATGAGGTAGTTTACCAAAGCTGACAGTACTCTCACCTGCAGAAAATATTTATCATGTTTTTATAAAACATAGCTTCTCAAAATTACAATTTACAACGAGAAAACTAAAAAAATGGAAAGGTTTTAATGTTTTTTACTTTACAACATTATCAAAAAAAAGGCTTGCTATGTTAAAAATCTTTTATTTTTCGTTAAAGGGACTGTAAGCGTAATTTCAAGTGACCGTACAAGCAAGGATGGCTATATCGGTATAATGGTACCCTTGAAAGCTTCGTCAGATCAAGTATGAATTACATCAATGTTTATAATCTTAAAAACTGATTATCTTTAATTTTGGTTTCTCTACAATGACTTGCGGATTTCTATTGCAAGAAAACATAAAGAAATTATTAGAATTAACCACATTATTGATCAGATAGAAGTTGACACTGTCATCTTTGACTGAAGGGTGACTTGAATTCAAGCTTACAGCATTTAAAGTCTTACAAATAATCTTTTTACTTGAAGCATATTTAGGAGAGAGGAATAGTGAGAGCATTGGAATCTCTAGGTGGGTTTCCCTCAGAGATATGAACGGGAGTAACCCAGTATAAAACAAGATCATGAGAAGAAGAAGACGCGGCGCTGAGAAGAAAAGCCCGACTTCTGGATTCTTTCTGTTCATGAAAACAATTCAAATAATTAATTAATCAAGTTCTAAAGTCCCACTCCATTAATTTTTTTTAATTAATAAAAAAGCTGAATTCTGATTTTTATGTTTTTTCCTAAAGCACAAATCAGTTGTTTCTCCGTCAAAACTACCCCACACACATCTTTCTAAACAAAATACAGTTTACCCCGGAGATTTTGAGTCATCGAAAGAATTAATGAAATGCCATCTTCACAATTTTCCATTGGGTTTTATACTTTAATACGTAAATTTTAGTAATTTCAAATATGAATAAATAGCCATACAGAGCTCCATATAATCATTTAATTAAAAAACTAAATATCTGCAACATTCCATTATCAGAAAGTAAGGAATGCGACAGTTTATAAATTCTTCCGATTTCTCTTTTTATTTGAGCTTAACAGTAGGAAAAATTAAATCAAGATTTTAAAACATTTAAATTCCAGATGCGGCCTCATAAAAAACGTTGAAAACCTTGTGCCCCGTATCTCCTGATGAGCCTATCCACCTCCTCCACCAACCTCTCCTTCTTCTCCTTAATGTCGATATTGATCTGACACTTGAACCTGTCCAGGACCTCCTCCAGGCTACAGAACCTTCTCTCCTCTGGGTTTATTCCAGAACTTACGTAGATCTCTCCAGGAAGAAAATCTATCGGAACCTAAAACAATCATTTGTCTTCAATAAAAATATTCAAATTGAACTTTCAATGGTCATGAGTTTTGAAACCACAAAAGTAAAATGTACCTTAGTTTTTCGAAGTTCTATTTAATTTTATTCTATATTTGTTGTAAATTATCTTCAGTAATAATCAGAAAGACCCGGAATTAATTTATAATTCATCAGACGACTATACAATATAATTTTACAAATATGATTGATGAAACGATAATCACTAGTCCTGCCAGTTTCAAAATGTGGTCTGCTTTTAAAGTGAGTTTAAAATTACCAGAGATATATATGTAAAGTCGTCTGATTAACTGTCAATTAATTCCAGGTCTTTCTGGTTCTGACTGTATGTCACGTGATGTCCCACAAAAAATTTGGGCCCGATCCGTTCAGCCGTTTTGACGTTTATTGGATACAAACAAACAGACAGACAAGCCAAATTTATATATAGATGAATAAATAGCTATGAATATGCGAGAACAGTTTTACAGAGCTCCATATAATCATTTAATTAAAAAAACTAAATATCTGCCACATTCCATTATCAGAAAGTAAGGAATGCGACAGTTTATTCCGATTTCTCTTTACATTTGAACTTAACATAAGGAAAAATTAAATCAAGACTTTAAAACATTTAAATTCCACATGCGGCCTCAGTAAAAAACGTTAAAACCTTGTGCTCCGTATCTCCTGATGAGCCTATCCACCTCCTCCACCAACCTCTCCTTCTTCTCCTTAATGTCGATATTGATCTGACACTTGAACCTGTCCAGGACCTCCTCCAGGCTACAGAACCTTCTCTCCTCTGGGTTTATTCCAGAACTTACGTAGATCTCTCCAGGAAGGAAATCTATCGGAAACCTAAAACAATCATTTGTCTTCAATAAAAATATTCAAATTGAACTTTCAATGGTCATGAGTTTTGAAACCACAAAAGTAAAATGTACCTTAGTTTTTCGAAGTTCTATTTAATTTTATTCTATATTTGTTGTAAAATCTACAGTCATAATCAGAAAGACCCGGAAATAATTTTTAATTAATCAGACGACTTTATAATATAATTTTACAAATATGATTGATGAAACGATAATCACTAGTCCTGCCAGTTCCAAAATGTGGTCTGCCTTTATAGTGAGTTTAAAATTACCAGAGATATATATGTAAAGTCGTCTGATTAACTGTCAATTAATTCCAGGTCTTTCTGGTTCTGACTGTATATAGAAAAATTTAGTACAAAAACATTATACCGAAATAATAAAATTAATATTTTTTATCATATAATTAAATTTCATATTGAAAAAAAAAACAATTTCAAAAATGACCTTATCTTGTATTTGAGGTAGATTGTTAAAATCTGTTTCTGTGATGAAGGATTGTTTTCCCGTTAATCGTCGCAGATTATTGTCATGAGCAACCACAGCTTGTCCATCCTAAGAGTTGATCAATCAAGAATAATCTCAGAAATTCTTCTTTGCAAAAAAAAGCCATCTTGAGACCAGGGGCGTAAAATGAAATTTGTCCATGTGGGCGGTCTTAACTTTTATTCTTTCTCGGGGGGCTAAGAACCCGTTGAGGTCTGAAAATTCCCTAGAAACCATTGACTTCACTGATCCAAGGCGGGGGCTGTGTCCCAATATGCCCCCCTCTGTAAATACGCCTCTGTTTGGGACTTGTCTCAAATGTTTTGTCTAGGAACAGCTCGTACTATTACAATTTTCAGCAGGCACAATTTCATTTAAAAAAATTTAAGTTGCACTCTTAGTCTAAAGATTATAAAAAATGCCCTAACTTTACCTTCGTTAGATTAACATCTAACTCTAACATATCACAGCCGAGCTCTACAGCTTGTCTGAAAGCTGTCAGTGTATTCTCAGTCCTAAAATAATTAAACTTTATAAAATGAAAAAAAATGCTAAGCTTTATAATTGACACTTACCCCTCCCCAGCCCCTCCCCGATGAGCAATTATCCTGGCAGGACGAAATTTCTTCTTCAGATGAAGGATTGTTGGGTTTTTGAGAAGGATATAAGAAGTTACAGCATACCCACCGACTGTCAAACCAATGTAGTTCATTCTTAGTGCAGAGAGTAATTAACCGAATTTGTATAAGAAATAATTGTCAGCTTAACAAATAATCATCTGAAAAATAAACAATATTGTATCTAAAATGAATTAAAAATAAAACTGTTTAATATTGCAGATATATGCAGTGTTTTTAATATAAAAAACTGTGGAGTTATTTCTACAAATAGATGAACACTGAACACTCTTTAACTCTGTATTTAATACAAATAGCCTAGGTTAACACTCCCTTTAACTCTGTACCAAATACAAATAGGTGAACACTCCCTTTAACTCTGTATCAAATACAAATAGGGGAACACTCCCTTTAACTCTGTATTAAATACTGCTCCGCTAGTAGAATAAAACCACGCTGGTCAACCCAGGTGAGTGGAGAGAGGAGTAACTGTACCCGACCTATATCAGAAATATTTAGTTCTTTCGCTGTCACGCTTAGCTCTGCAGTTGAGTCTTGGATAAGAGATTCTAGATGTTCATCTGGATCATATACTCCAACCCGAAAAGTGATTCTGTCGGCGTGGCGTTGCATCTGGAGGAGTAGAACGTATCCAGAAAACCAGCTGCTGGGATATACATCAGGACTCAGTTTTAAAACGGAAAGTATGTCTCCATTGACTAGATTCAACAGATGAAGGTTTAATGTTGTTTTATGAAAGCACATAAGTCGGTCTGAGCACCCAGCTTCTATAATGAGAATATTATCATCTTCTGTTGATTCATAGTCATAAGGCCACATTACTGAATCTATCACTGAATAGAAGCTGTATGAAGTAGACAGAGAACCAGGCTTCCTCCTGTACACCTGCAGGCCTATACTATTGTACTGGATACCAAGGTATTCAATTACCAGGTACTTGGAGTTCAGGTGGATAAATCCTGTATCATCATACGCAGACGCTGCATCTATCTTGGCGCTATTTTTAAGAGTGAAGAATAATTCAATTTCCTCGTCACACCTCGGGGGCTCGGTAGAATTGATATTGAAGAGAAGTGTAATATTTGAGTATTCCTGACATTCATGCTCCTCTGCGTATGCCGGAGAGGAACAAAAAAAATGAATAGCAAGAGTATCCTTTGTTAAACAGACGTCGGTGATGATACTGTCGGGAAGAGAAGGCAGAAAGCGATCGTAGTTAAACCAAAAACCTGAAGGATCAGACAAACTGGTTGAGTCCCTTGTGTCTAATATATAAATCATGAACCTTGACATCGTTGCTGGATTACTGGAGTCATCTAAAGTTAGAAGCAATAGAAGGGTGTTTTCAGCACTGTACAAATGGATAGAAGTGGCCTTTAATATTCCCGCCTTTTTTTCCTCATTCAACCTCTTATTCAGACTCTCATCCAGCCTCGCATTTAGCCTCTCATCAAACCTCGCATTTAGCCTCTCATCAAACCTCTCATTTAGCCTCTCATCAAACCTCTCATTTAACCTCTCATCAAACCTCTCATTTAGCTGGGTCGTCTGTGAACTGAGACTAGGAGAACCCAGAGAATTGGACAAGTCGCTATTTTCTATCTTTGCTTTGATGTCTCTGTTTAGTGTTCTTAGACTAACTTTATCCTTGAAAGATGCAAAGAACAACTTGTTTCCAGTAATGGTAAATGTCTCCATAAATAATTTATCCTTGAACAAGTTTGGAGTTATAACTAAAGTATCTTGAAGGGTCCCTGGACCATCCTCTTGAAGGGTACCTGGACCATCCTTTTCCTCTCCACAGAGAAATGGTTTGTACTTGCAGTATATTTGTATACAGGAGCATAAGGATATATCATGACTTTCTTCCTTCCATCCAATCTCTTGCAGGGAGTGCTTCTGAACAGCTCCCTGACGGAGAAGAAGGCGGAGATGAGCGCTCACAACTCTGTGCACGGCTTCCTCAAATATGCAACCTAGTGTTGATATTGCATAAAGATCTGACTTGTGAAGAAATATTAGAATTTTATCAATCAGTTCTTCTGGCAACTTTTTCAACATGACTAGTTAATTGGCTTATAGTCTAAGTGAATTAAGCGTAGTTTTAATTAATTGATATTCACATAAACTATGTAATCATGCCATCTTGTTCACCCCTATCTCCAAGGTTCTCTGTTGAGTGATAGCACCATTGATGTCTAAAAATAAAATATCCTGAAGTTTTAGCGTAAAAAAAAATCAAGCAAAAATTTTAAAAGCAACTTTAGCGTAACATTAGTTATCACATATTTTAAGCTTGAGTAAGCTATCAAAAACGATTTTTGGCAATCACAATGGTTTTGTTTACTAAAACATTTTTTTGTGGTTTTCTATTTTTTGGTAATTTCCTAGTATACGATTTTTGTACCTAACTAACCCTTAAATAATACAAAAATTAACAGCTGGCGTAGGTCCGATATTGCAGTAGGTCAGAAGTTCAGTAGGGGGATGTTGCGTATAGGAGGGGGGGGGGGGTCCAAAAATCGTATACTAGGACAGACCCTAGTTTTTACCATTTTGTTTGTACTTTTTGCATTTTTTTTAAAACCCAGAATTATCTTTCGCATAAATATTACGTTTCTCTAGTATACGCCTAATTATTCAGGATTCAAGGTCTGTATTGTAAAATCATAAGATAAACATAAGATTGATAGTTTTGCAGAACTGTTCAGAATATGGCAAATAGTTGTCGAAGATCAATTCAAAAAAAGGGTTATTATTCTTGTAAATGAGCTCAATAACAATTATTAATTTATTATGGTCCGCGGTCTCCAAAACAGCGCCGGATATTATTTAATGAGAAGATTTTTATTGAACAAATATTATTTCTTTTATTCACGAAAATTAATGTAAATTGTTTCAGTTGTTAAGGTGAATCTTTAAAAGTTTAACAATTAAAAAAAAGTATTTTAGTGTTCCATTTTTCTTATTTTTTTAAACATAAATTATTTATTCTCAATTTAAAGCCTCGTTAAAGTATAGCCGATAATTTGTTTAAAAGTATCGCGGGATTATTTTAATATTGCGCGCGCATGTCTAGTAGTCAAAGTTTCGTAGTAGTGGTCAGTCAGTGACTGACATTTACGTTTAAATATTGCAAATCTTATAAAGCCAACTTAATACTCATATTGGGTCTGTGCTAGTGAACGATTTTTGGAAGCCCCCAGCCCCCCCCCCTCCTATCAATTTTGTATATGACCAGGCCAAATTAGTATTTATTTAGCATTATTTAGGGTTAGGTTAGGTTAAGACACTTTCTGGGCCGAGCGCTGCGGCTAGGATGGGCTAGGGGGCTTTTTTTTGCTGAAAAATGAAAAATAAATGGTCATGTACTAAATTGATTTGGGTTCAAAAATTGTTCTCTAGAAGGGACCCCCAAATTTTTGTTAAAAGCCTGTTTTTTCCTATTGTTAATTTTTAGACCCGATGTAATAAATATCGTGATGAGTGACTGCAGACATGTTTTGGAGGGTGTAGGGGTTCTGAGAACCACTGAACTAGAGAAGATTCTTCACAATTCTTCTTGTAAACTTTGCAGGTTCGTCTATTAAAGAAGTTTTCTCTGATATTTGTTTTGTCATTCGTAGGTTATAAATCTAGTAAAGTCAATTCCCCTCCGTAGACTACGTGCAATTCCTAATTTTTATCGTTCTTAGAGGTCGTTTTTTGAACCTTCCCCGACCCCAACCCCCCTCCCATCAATATTGTACACAGAGCTTATATAGAACTTTTGTCAACATATTCAGGAATTTGTCGGGNTTGGGGCCTGAAACCCCCCTGAAATCAATAGATTTCACTGGTCCAGGGGGACTGAGTCTCCATAGCCCCCCTGAATACGCCTCCTATAGTGACATTTTGACGTAAGGCCGCAGCGCGCTGCCCCGTAGAGTAATATTGTTTTTCTAGGAAGAACCATGGTAAATCTATCCTATGGCTCTGTCTCTACCCTGACTGCTATGCTCTGGGTTGTGGTGAGGAACGAGATGATCACTCTACTCTGCACAACCAGGAGAATCCGTCCCACTGTATCCAGTTGAATATATCTACCTGGAGATCCTGGTGTTATGCTTGTAATAACGAACTCCTCCTCACCAGGAATACGCCCCCTGTCAAGGGGGTTCTAGGAAGGAAACCTAAGCTAAAGATTTTGGAGCCCAAGGTATTTATTAGGATCTTAGGATCCATTTCATTTTAATGCGGGTTCGGATCTTGATTTTAAACTTATTTTCTCCTTTTTTTGTTTATTATATATTAAATCTTTTTGAACCATTTTAAAATTGCGAAATTTTTAACAATCTCTCTTTTGTCGACTGCTTCAGATTTAAGTTTTTAAAGCAAAAAGTTTTTTTTACAGTGTTGATATTTTGCCTCTTGGATCTGGGCATATTTTTGTGGATCCGGATCCTATGCACTGGTCTAGGGTACTCTTTTCTCAATTATTCACCCCCTCAAAGTTAATTTTACACCCACTTTTTTGAAAGTTATATCGTTAAACTTTCTCTTTTATTTCGTAAAATGATAATGTAAAATTTAAAAAAAAGCATTGTTTATATTAAAACATATATATCCCTAGATGTGAGGATGGATTTTTATCTAGGAATGTCTCGATTGAATATTAGGGTTTCCTGCGAACGAAACGTTTCGCGAGAAAATGCGAAAATTTTCGTAATAGTGGTCAGTCAGTGACTGACATTTACAACTGTACCCGACCTATATCAGAAATATTTAGTTCTTTCGCTGTCACGCTTAGCTCTGCTGTTGAGTCTTGGATAAGAGTTTCTAGATGTTCATCTGGATCATATACTCCAACCCGAAAAGTGATTCTGTCGGCGTGGCGTTGCATCTGGAGGAGTAGAACGTATCCAGAAAACCTAAGTTAATTTTACACCCACTTTTTTGAAAGTTATATCGTTAAACTTTCTCTTTTATTTCGTAAAATGATAATGTAAAATTTAAAAAAAAGCATTGTTTATATTAAAACATATATATCCCTAGATGTGAGGATGGATTTTTATCTAGGAATGTCTCGATTGAATATTAGGGTTTCCTGCGAACGAAACGTTTCGCGAGAAAATGCGAAAATTTTCGTTAGTATTTTGCAAACTTTTTTGCTAAATTTCGCATTTTTCGCGAAAATGTCTTTTTTTTTTTAAATTCTACATATGTTTGCGACATTTTCACTCATTTTCCGTGGAATTTTCGCATTCATTTCGCGAAAATTTTGCTGTCGAACGAAATGCGAAATTTGTCGCGAAATTTTTTTCTTGGAAAATGCGAAATTTTTCGCGAAACGATTTTTTTTCTCGCTGGAAACCCTATTGATTATGCAATTTAAACAGATGATTTTGATTTAACTTTGTTAAGGTTGATGAGAACGATGATTATGACCGAGGATTGGTTGGATTGAGTAACCTGGGGAACACCTGTTATATGAACGCTGCTTTACAATGCTTGTCAAATGTTCCAGCGCTGACCAATTATTTCCTGGAGTGTCCAGATCTTGTTCCCAGGGATATTAAACCTAACCTCAGCCTTGCATACAGGTTAAACTACTTTTCCTTAAAACATAGCAGGAGCAACATAGACGACAATCATTCATATGTTTTATGGTTTCCATATTTATAAAGTAGTATTTCTTTTTGTTTTTACCTCCAATCATAACTCAGAGACCCCATGACTGATATGCCTAAAGTTCTGATTGGGAAACTCGATAGAACCCCGGAACCGGGAATGTTCTTAACTTGGTTTAACAATTCTAAGTTGAGTGTTTGCTATTGTAGAAAAAAGTAGTTTCCAGACAAAGCTGAGTTCCCAAGCAAGTTTATTTACAACTAGCTCGGGAACCCGGTGCTCCTCAGGTTACTCATATTTACTCCCGCCGTTTACCCGCACTTGGACGATTTTACCGGGAAACTAAAGGAACTGAGTTTTTGCCACAAACTCAAATATTCGTATCCCTATATCTTGGCAACCCAATGTCGTAGACCTTAGATATTTCAAACTATTAATTCTGTTAGATCAAATAATCTAAGTTTGAAATATCAAAGGTTTATTCTCACTGGTTGCAGAGATACAGTAATTAGAAAATTTGAGGTTGTGGCAAAAACTCAATTCCTTTTTAAATAAATCAAAGTCGACCCAACTAAGAAGCTCTCCCGAGTTCCCCAATCAAATTTGAGGGAAATAGGTCAAGGGGTTCCTGAGTTATGATCGGAAAAACGAACAGAGATTACAACATATAGATACTAGGCCATTCGCGCCCATCTTCAATTTTAACTTATAATTGTAACTCTTTATCGATTTTTTTCCGTGAATTAAAAAAGTAGAATTTTTTAAAGCATTTTTTTTAAATTCTGACCTTCCCTCGGGTTATTTGAGTTGCCACAAAAAATGTGGGCCCGATCGGTTCAGCTTTTTTTGGATACTAAAAAACAAAGATTTCGTTCCGCGCAGACATACCTACCATCTGGGGGTGGATGGTGATAAAAAAATTAGAAAATATATACCCCGTGTAGTGTGTAAAGATGAAAATGATCTATGTTCAGGAACCTGATGTTGAACATGTGGAACAATGGGAACCAGTCCTCCAGGGGATACATTGAACCATCAGCTGTTCTTCATGCAATAAAATCAGCATTTCCGGCATTCAGGGGTTTCCAACAGCATGATTCACAGGTTAGTGTGTATTCAGGGGTTTCCAACAGCAAGATTCACAGGTTAGTGTGTATTCAGGGGTTTCCAACAGCATGATTCACAGGTTAGTGTGTATTCAGGGGTTTCCAACAGCATGATTCACAGGTTAGTGTGTATTCATGGGTTTCCAACAGCATGATTCACAGGTTAGTGTGTATTCAGGGGTTTCCAACAGCATGATTCACAGGTTAGTGTGTATTCAGGGGTTTCCAACAGCATGATTCACAGGTTACTGTGTATTCAGGGGTTTCCAACAGCATGATTCACAGGTTACTGTGTATTCAGGGGTTTCCAACAGCATGATTCACAGGTTAGTGTGTATTCAGGGGTTTCCAACAGCATGATTCACAGGTTACTGTGTATTCAGGGGTTTCCAACAGCATGATTCACAGGTTAGTGTATATTTTAAAAACTATCACAATCCCTTTTTTAGTTTAATTGTAGTATTGTTAGCTAGGATGAAACTTTTTGATCAAAAATGCTAATTAACATTTTAAAATCATTATTTTATTTTCCATTCACAAAAAGTTCATAATCTCTGAATGGTTCATTAAGTTTCAGCATAAAAATAAGCAACACAAAAATGAAAACTATTCCTTTTTAGTTTTGATTGTAAGCTATTTCATCAAATATCTTAAATCAATCTTTACTAGGAAAAACATTCATAATTTAGAAAATAATAATTACATTCTGTAATTTACGAATAAATAAAACATATATCATTAAGGAGGTCGATTTTTTAATTTTATTGAAACGCTGCATTAATTTTTGACCTTTTTGTATTTATCGCTTGCGTTAGTAAAATAATTATTACAACATCAAGTTTAACCATAAGTTATATTTTTTTATTGTATTAAAGAAGATTTTAAGACTGAAGCATTTTTATCTAAAAGGTTTGAAAAATAAATATTTAAAATATGCAGGAGTTCCTACGCTGTCTGATGGACCAGCTCCACAAGGAGATGTCGGAGCCAGTGGTCTGCGAGGATGGGGATGAGGAGGAGACCAAGACAGAGGAGAGTGATAATATCGAATCCTTGTCGGAGCTTGAGTCTAACGGGTCCGTTGGATCGGAGGAACCGGGAGAAGAATATGAAACTGCCTCGGATACTTCAAGTAAACTTAATAATAGGTAACATACATATCTTTGACCTATATTTTGTTCACAAACACTAGCGTTGAAAGCTTGAAAAGATGTAAATTATTCATGTTAAATGATTGAATATGTTTAACAGAACTTTTTTCCAGGAAAAGAAAGCATGAAGATCACCCAGATAAAGACAGTGGACTTGGTTCCTCTTCCGGTACAATTAGGATACAGGATTCCGATACAGGAACCCTCAGTTCTAGACAAGGTAGGATACAGGAACCCTCAGTTCTAGACAAGGTAGGATACAGGAACACTCAGTTCTAGACAAGGTAGGATACAGGAACCCTCAGATCTAGACAAGGTAGGATACAGGAACCCTCAGTTCTAGACAAGGTAGAATACAGGAACCCTCAGTTCTAGACAAGGTAGGATACAGGAACACTCAGTTCTAGACAAGGTAGGATACAGTAACCCTCAGTTCTAGACAAGGTAGGATACAGGAACCCTCAGTTCTAGACAAGGTAGGATACAGGAACCCTCAGACAGCACAGAAACTTTTGAGGATCTTTTTAAATGTCACATGTTTCCGATGACGGTCTGGGTTTCTAAAGATAGCATTTGGATTTTGGTTTAGATGTATTTGTTATTAGTTACTCAATTAGGCTATTTTTTGTGTGATTTGGACGATAGGTCGTGCGAGATATTTCAGTTTATTAAATTATACTTTTAATATCATTAATATCATTATTATTATCATTATTATTATCATTATTATTATCATTATTATTATTATTATTATTATTATTAACATTGGTATCATTCATATCAGGAGGATATCAGGTATCTGGTTCTCCATCTAGTTTATCAGATCAGGAATACCTTGATGCAAGATCAGATCCTGGGATTTCTTCAGGTATACTATATCTGCTATCTAGTTGAGGGGTAAGGGGGGGGGGGATTGGTCACTTTATGGTGTTCTGGGGAATTGAAAAGAATTGAAAAGAATTGAAAAGAATTGAAAAGAATTGAAAAGAATTGAAAAGAATTGAAAAGAATTGAAAAGAATTGAAAAGAATTGAAAAGAATTGAAAAGAATTGAAAAGAATTGAAAAGAATTGAAAAGAATTGAAAAGAATGGAAAAGAATTGAAAAGATTCTTTGAATAATTTTTATCCTGTTAGGTTCTGCGTCCCCTTTGTTGAAGAATGAAAACTTAGAAATCCGTCATCATAAACCTAGAACGTATCGGAGCATTGTAACAGATATTTTCGACGGGAAACTTGTCTCCTCTGTTAAATGTTTGACCTGCGACAGGTAAATAAATATTTTTTTACTAAAATTTGTCTTCTTGGTCAACGATTAAAAACTAGAGTGTATATTTTTTAAAATTATGATGCTATGGAAAAATGTAAAATTGGACTTGAAGGCAAGTGTTTTCATCCTTTATGACAGTTTATACCAATAAATTATTTTTTTCCCATTAAATCAATTATTTTCCCCGCTTGAACAAATAAACAACAAAAAAACATGTTTGTGCTCCGCGAACAAATAAATATAAAATAAATGAGTTAGATTTGTTTGAAAAAAATTATATTTTAAGATGGGAGGGTATACCCAGGCGCACAACTAATATGGGCAAGGCCCCTCCCCCCTAGCCTGATAAAGGGGGGCAAGCCCCCCCCCCCGCCTAAGAAGGCTCACTCCCTCTTTAGGGGGGGCAAGAAGTCCTTAACAGGGGTCCATATAGTTCCAAAAATCGTTAATTTTCTCGAAAATTTGACAAATATATGCCCCTACAGTGATTTTTTTAAACCCTACTCTCTTAAAGCAAATTCAAAATTCCATTATAACATTATTCAATACAAGATAAGATTCTTTTTGTTTTAGCCCCTTTCTTGAAAAAATGTCCCCAAATTTTGATTTTTAAAATTACACTCACACATTCTTATTCAAATTGCCCTCCAAACTTAAATTTTCCTCCTAACATTTATTTACATTTTTATGATTTTTTTAAATTTGCACATAAATTAAATTTTTTATCCCCAAATTTTTTATAAATACACCCAACTTTAAAATGTACAGCCCTCTTATTTAAAAAAATGCCCCTAATTTTTTAGATAACAGTCTCTTAATTAAATTTTAATAACTTTAATGGACCAAACAGAAATGTCATTTAAAAACCTGGATTTTACGCGTTGCTAAACTTGTTTTCTAAAATGTCCAAATATCAGCCGTTTTTAAAAGATTACCAACTTGTTTTTATATGTTGTATCAACGTGTCGCACATCGGGGAATTTTTTGGGGTGGTGTGATGAAAACATTCGGTTTTTACCTTATTCAATATAAAATAAATATTTCCTACGTAAAGGTTGAATTTAACTGTCTAATATTATTTCTCCTGCAGGATTTCTAAAACTACAGAAAGCTTCCAGGATCTCTCCTTGCCTATACCTTCACAGGATGCTTTAGCGAGTATTAGGTCAGTCTAAACAAAATATATAATTTAATGAAACTGGATTTTTTACTTTAAAGGGATTGTTTTTGTGATTTCAATTGATATTCCATTTTAACAGGTACCCTCTAAACCTCTATTTGATCAAAAATGTGGAAGATATTGTCATTACTCTTGCTTTAAGTGTTTAATACTGACAACTTCCACCCTCTAAACCTCTATTTGATCAATAATGTGGAAGATATTGTCATTATTCTAGCTTTAAGTGTTTAATACTGACAATTTCCACCCTCTAAACCTCTATTTGATCAATAATGTGGAAGATATTGTCATTTAGCTTTAAGTGTTTAATACATAGAGAATAGAATATATAGAGAGGAATTAAAAGAATCTCTCGGTATGAATTTTTTCAGTCCCTTTCAGCCTGAAAGGGAGTTCAAAGTGTACAAATCATGTAAATGTTCACAAATTATATGCTATAGAGTACATTAATGCAATATGTTCCCTAGACTATTCATTTCAATTTCGAATTTTTTAAACTGTTAAATAAACATCATTTGATTTATAGTTCTAACGGAAAATCATCGTTTGTAAAGTGGAAGGCATAGCGTCTATGTGAAATGATCATTGGTCAATTATGAAACCAGCCTATTTCATAATTTGGTTTTCTTTTAACAATAATTTTAGATTTTCTTTATAATGATATTCCAGGGCCCAACAGGTTATATAGCATAAATATCTGAAGTACACCTGCAGTATGGAAACAGTACAACAAAATGGCCGTTTTACACTTTTTTCCATTAAATTCCTCTCTATATATTCTATTCTCTATGGTTTAATACTGACAACTTCCTTCATTATTTATGAAGCAGAAATGCGGAAGTCACTTAATTAACAAATCACATTTGAAAATTAACAATTTTCAAAGAGAAGAATATGAATATATATAATGCATTCTTAATTAGAAATAGATTTCAAGGGTACTGTTGTGAAGTGGACATGCCACTTTATGAAATGGAAGATCACTTTAAATTACACTTACAGTCCCTTTGGTGCTAAGATCTCTAACTAAATCATAAGTTCCCATTCCGGTTCACATTTCCTAATTGAACTGCTGTTCTATAGTTCTGGTTCACATTTTCTAATTGAACTGCTGTTCTATAGTTCTGGTTCACATTTTCTAACTGAACTGCTGTTCTATAGTTCTGGTTCACATTTTCTAATTGAACTGCTGTTCTATAGTTCTGGTTCACATTTTCTAATTGAACTGCTGTTCTATAGTTCTGGTTCACATTTTCTAACTGAACTGCTGTTTTATAGTTCTGGTTTACATTTTTTAATTGAACTGCTGTTCTATAGTTCTGGTTCGCATTTTCTAATTGAACTGCTGTTCTTTAGTTCTGGTTCACATTTTCTAATTGAACTGCTGTTTTGTAGTTCTGGTTCACATTTTCTAATGTATAATACATTTTATCAAGGCAACGGCCTGTAACAACTGGAAATGATGAGGAGGATGGCTGGGTTGTTTGGATGTGGAAATGGGTGTCAAGTAAGTTCATTTCTTTAATTAGTTGAAAGTTAGTTCTGGTAAAAGCAGTTAGAGCATCAACAATTTGCTCTTGCTACATCCGACAGTTATAACGATGCTTTAACAATATCCTTTTCTCTTTCTTAACATTCCTATTTTTTTTAAATCGGATTTCTTATTCCTCTTTTTATATTTTCTGCTTCTACCGTCCTGAGATTACTCTTTACTCTCCAAGACTGCTTGGCCTTCTTCTTCTCTGAGGATGAGTTGAAGGGTGATAATATGTACAGCTGTGAGAAATGTGAGAAGCTTAGGAACGGACTCAAGTTTTCTCAGGTAGCATTTAATATGATACTTCTTCTCTCAAAGGGACTGTAAAGGTAATTTCAAGTAACCCTCCATCAAATGATGCCCATATGCCTGATTCACAACGGTACCCTTGTAGCTGGTAAAGTCTTTAATTTTTATAGTAGTATAAATGCACACGTATTTAAGTGAAACCACAATTGAATAAAATCTGTTTTCAAAATTATAAAAATCGGTCATATGGAGAGACACTAAAAGTTACGTTAAAATTACTTTTTGTTCTTTATTTATTTTCTTTTTTTATGATGTTCCTGATTCAGAGTTTGTAGTGGGGGATTGAGATCACTCAAGTCAATCCTTTTAATTATAATTCTAATTTTTTTTAAATTTAATATCTCAACGATATTTCTATGAAGAGGATTTTAGATATGTAATATCTGTGTGTGTGTAGGTTACCCATTTACCGGATACTCTGTGTGTTCACTTGAAGAGGTTTCGTCATGATTTCGCCTTCTCTAGTAAAATCAGTACAAGGTATATTGGAAAACTAAAGAATGCGCAAGTTATGAATTAGTTTAAGCTACAGCTTAAAATTTCTGTAAAATCTACTTAAATCTAAGCTTTCTCAATTAAGCCCTGAAGGGAAATTTGAATTTCCTGGGAGATATCTGGACCAATCAGAGAAAAGGATTTACGTAACCAACGCTCGTCAGCTGTTTTGTAATTTAAAATTATTTACGTAACAGAATTTGATGGTGTATCTTTCGACCTACGCAAATCCGCTATACTCCACTTCTGACCTACGCCAAATCCGCTTTACTACACATCCGACCTACTAGCACGTGGTTTTATATTTGTTATTTGTTATTTGTTATTTGTTATTTGTTATTTGTTATTTGTTATTGTTACATTAAAAATATGTTCAGGGTTGTGTTTCCTCTTACCGGGTTAGATCTAGCTCCTTGGGTTCATAAGGACTGTGTTTCATCCCAGGTAATGATAGAGTTGAAATCAGGGGTCCATATAATTCCATTCACTCCCATCCCAAATGTTGATTTATTGATCTGCGAGGCAAAAATTCACCATGAGCGGAAGTTAGATATCAAGTTGTAGATTTTGTACGTCAGAATTATTTGTTTTTATTTTATTTCATAATTTATCTCTTATATTAACAGTACACATTTCTGAAGTGTATTAGTACATGTGCACATAAAAAAAGTTCACAATGACACCGAAATCGTATTATCCCCGCAAAATGTACTTTCAAGTCCATTAGGATCAGAGATGGAATTATATTGACTCCTGGCTTGGCTCTTATGAAATGTTAATTATGACTAATTGATAAATTGAAAATGTAGTTACTAGTAACCTCCATTACTTTTTTTTATAAGCATTTTTTCAATCATGACTTAATTATGACAATGATTGCTCACGGGGGTCCATTGTTAGGATACTTTTTTAGAATCAATCCCCTTATGCTCCATATTTAAAGTATTTATGATTTGACCGGAGTATCTTCCCATTGTAAGTATGGGAGCCGGGGGGTGCCGGAGCTCATGGGAGTTAGCCCCGATGGCGGTCTGGGCTCTCCAAGGTGGGGTGGTCTTCAGATCCTCCCTTATCTTATCTCACTATTTAGACTATTTATAATCTGACTGGAGTAATCTGTCATGGAACAGCTGGTGGAGGTCACTATACTAGCTACTATTTAGACTATTTATAATTTGACTGGAGTAATCTGTCATCATGGAACAGCTGGTGGAGGTCACTATACTAGCTACTATTTAGACTTTTTATAATCTGACTGGAGTAATCTGTCATCATGGAACAGCTGGTGGAGGTCACTATACTAGCTACTATTTAGACTATTTATAATCTGACTGGAGTAATCTGTCATCATGGAACAGCTGGTGGAGGTCACTATACTAGCTACTGCTACAATTACCTCACTAGGACATGGTATCATTTCGACGATAGTATAGTTTCGCAGGTAATATAATTGTTTTTTTTTTTATTATCTAGAAACCATTATTTTATTCAACCTTTTTTATTTAAAAGATTATATATATGTTGTTAAACCTTAAAGTTGAATAATAATAATAACCATGTAAACTGATAATCAATACAGTAATAACCAGTAACAATAGAATAGGAAGTCGACATTATATAGTTTTACTAAACTCTTTTTAAATCACTGATTAAGTAAAATGGGCCTGTGTACACTACACAACTTTTGTTCTCATGATCATAAAACTTTAACTTGATTCTAAAAGTCGTCTTCCTATATTAGAGTTTTCTGGTTATCACTAGATTTAAACCAGTTTATTTTGCAATTGTTTATTTTTGAGGTTGACCCCGCCACTGTAATGAATGCTGAGGCCTATGTACTATTCTATCGGAAGAATACTGATCAGGTTCAAGGAATACTTCGGGAACTCTCTCTAGCAGGGAGGGAGACCAACATAAGCCTAGGTAAGCATATAAGTGTGTGTGGAAGGGGGGGGGGAGTCCGAAATATATTTTAACATAGAATTTTTTTCATATTTAATACCTAGTCATTACCCATGAATACAGTGAGATTTAGCAAATTTTGTAATGATTGTAGTCTTTGTATTTTTTTTTTTTTTAATGTTGCTTCTTGGATATTGTAATTTACAACTGTTGCAACCGAATTTCTTTAAAAAAAATGTAGAAAAAATCAGTTGTATTTACAAAATATAAGGTTTACAAACTACTAAATACTAAATACTAAATACTGTATATATTTTTAGTAAACTACTACGTATCCAACCCTTGGTTGGTTAAACTGCATAATATGGCTGAACCTGGTCCTATTGACAATACTAGTGTTCTGTGTCGTCACGGTGGTGTTCTACCCCAGAGAGTTGATTGTGCTGACCGACTCTGTACTCCGCTTCCTCCAACAGCGTGGAGAATACTACATGAAAGGTAAATCTAGTTTTATTACAATTATGGAGGTTTAAGAGCTTAGTTTTATTTCAAGGGTTTATCCAGTCTCCATTGAAGGGAGGGCTGTTCACGACAGTACCCGTTAAAACATTGCCTGATCAATAATGTGGAAGATATAATCGTTTCCCTATCTTGAAAAGTGTTTAATTCTGACAATTTCCAACAGATTATTTCTCAACCAGAAATCTGCAAGACACTTTGTTAAAATAATCAATTTTTCGGATCTTGTTATTATGTTTTTTTTTAACCCTGTAGTAAGAAGAAAAAAGCATCATTTTATGCGGAACAGTTATTTGTCTCATCACCCCTATCCGCCCTGTCTCCTCGGATACAATCAATTCATCTTTCTAGATTTGGCGGTTCTGCTGCGGTAACGTGCCTGAAACCTTGCCAGATTTGCCTAGCTACTGCTCGCGCGGAGGAGCGTCAGCGTCAATTTGAGCTGAGTGAGTTTCAGTTGCTCCGAGAGAATGACAAGATAGATATAAGCAGCTCTGGAGATTGTTATCTGCTGGTCACGTCCTGGTTCAGTACATGGGAGTCCTGGGTTCTAGGAAAAGCAAGAGAACCTCCGGGTAAATGTTTAATACTTCAGATCTTATCAATGAGTTGAAATTAACTTGCTTGGCCTTCCTTAATTTGCAATTGAAACTTTGATTAAAACATTGAATAATTGTTAATGGATAATTTCAACAAAGTGGGGTGGGTCTGACGGCGTTTTTTTCTCCTACTTGAACGTCTGAATCATATTACTTAACTTGATATATTCTTTTTTAGGACCAATAAATAACCGGAGTTTATTTATCCAGCGTGGTAATTCTTTTTCACTTCGTCCCAACATTGATCACTTCAAGCTCAGCGAGGACATCTGGTCTCTGTTTCTCTCCCTCTACTCCGGAGGTCCTGAGGTTGTCCTCCGACCCGGAGGAGGGATTAAAGTCAACACTCCTCGTCCTGCACAAGTTGCTAGTATTGCTGCGAGACTACGCGCAAGATGTAATGAGAAAGGCCGCGTATCAGAATCAAATTAACCCGCGAAATTTAAATTTTAAATGTATTTTCACTTTTTTATAAAATCGGAATATTTTATCTAATGTCAGATATTTAAGTGATACATTTTTGTGATTGTATTTCAGCTAGTTTTAAATTTATTGTGTTCATATTTATTGTTATATAAGATTCTGGCTTTTTAAGATCATTCATATAGATATAACAGGTTATGTATAGATTATAAGTAATCCAATCTAATCATGTCAATGTATTGATAATTTATCATGTTTAGAAGTACGAATTGATAGTCGATTTTTTATGTATTTCAATTTTAAACTTTTCCTAGTCCGTGTTTCTAAGTTTAACCTTTGCATTCTTAAGCATTTATGCACAATTACAGAAAATATAAATTCCACCGTATGAGCAAAATTTCACTTAATTTTATTTTAGTAAATAATTGATATAAGTATTATGATCAGCATTGTGATTATTATTTCAGAAACTGATAAAAAGATGGAGCTGTGTTGACTGCTCCTTTTTGTTTGTGTCCTTTGGATTGTGAAGATTTATCTTTAAATTACGACTATTTGAAAGTAGCACCTTTTGAAAAACTTGCTTTTTAAAAATTCGGAGTTTCATTTCATTTGGAAGTTTTTTGTTTGTTAAAAGATTGATTGATCATAATGTCGATTCAAATTTGGTAGCTGGAGGTCAAAATAGATTAAGATTAATTAATTTTAAAATGTTATTTAAGAGGGATCTTTTAATATTAACGCTAAATTCTATTTAAATTTTTAAATAAATGAAAATGCTCAGATCTGGCGAAGAAAATGCGGGAAAATATTAACAAAAAGTCGCAATAATATCAGTTATTACTACGAATAGTATTTGAATCTTTCAGAATATCTCGCTAATAATGGAAATGGAGGAGGATGGAAGTGGATGTGCACGGTAAGTTTTTTATTGCAATTATTTTTCAGGATTCGGAGATGGGAGGCTTAGGAGCAGAAGAATTCTGGGTTGAATTGGTTTATTTTTGAAATTTTGTTACAGAAATTAACATTGTGAAATATAATTACTTTAGTTCTAATGTGGTTTAAGTTATAAGATCTTACTTCATCCTCGAACTAGTAATTTCATTTCGAGTTTTGGGGGTGGATAGTTGGACTCCCTAACAGCATGATTTGATATGATTTTTATTGTTCTAAGATGTAAAAATAGACAATTAGCGTTTAAGAGAGTATTATGGTTCAACCACCCCCATCACTCTTTATAAGATTTTAGTTTTGGAATTTCCATTAGTTTAGGCAAATTCTAAACATTATTTTTCCTGCGATCTAACCACCGGGGAGAAGATCTTTTCTCATCTTAATTTATTTAAGGTAAGATATTTTTTCATGTAAAATTGATATAGATATTTATTTTAACACTTTCTCAGTGATTTAATTCTCATAATTTTCTCCATTGATTTTGACGTAAGAATTTTCACCTCTATAGAGAAACTACTAAAAACATTGGGCATGTCACACAGTAAATGAAAGAAAATTGGGTTTGTCACACAATAATTGAAAGAAAATCGGGCATGTCACACAATAATTGAAAGAAAATCGGGCATGTCACACAATAATTGAAAGGTCACTTTAAATTAAACGTCTACAGTCCCTTCAAAATCTAATTTAAAAACCTTTTTTTTAAATATAAGAATCGATTTTGGTCAAACTTTTTTATTATTTAATAATCATCAACGTGTGTTTTCGTCAATAATTCTAAATATTTAAAAAATTAGAAATATAGAAAATTAGTCTACTTTCCATCTGAAAGAAATTGAAATCATCTTTTTAAAGTTTAAACTACCTTGTGAATCTCTTCTATACATTTATATATTTTAGACCTATTCACCAACTTACTTCATCCAGTTACAGGGATTTCTGTTGGAATACAAAGATGTTCAGGTATTAACACTAATTATACTCCTGACACCTTTATTAGAGCCCTGACATGTCAGGTCCTGCAAATAATTTGGGCCCGATCCGTTCTGCTGTTTTGACGTTTATCGGTTACAAACAAACAGACAACAGACCGACATCAAGCAAAGATTAAACTTGTGGCATGTTCTAATACACTCCAAGTAAAGCGAGACACTTATTAATCCTAGTGAAGAAAAGAAATGATTTTTGATGATTGAGTGAATTGGATTTTTGATCTGCCAGATTTGAGCTTTGAAAAGATCTGGATGTATTGTTTGAATTAATCCTGTCAAACTATAAGACCAAGTTCTATTTACTGTTTACTAATAGTTTTAATTCTAATTAAATTCTAGTTTGCGGAGACGAGCTTAATGGGAGATATCCACAGTATGGTGGATATAGAGGGAAACTTCAAGATAATTCAGTTCATCCCTGGAACCATTCTTCCCCTGGTGGTCACTCTTCTTACTTCTACTCAGATTATCGGAAAATATAATAAAGTTTTCGAGGTACCTTTACTAATTCAGGGTTCTAAATTCTACTCCTTTATTATTTTATTTATTATTATAATAATACATTTGACCACTGCGTGAAACCCATTTTAATTAATTTATATTGAGTTAGTCTTGATTTGTAAAATTTTCATATGTTAATGGCGCCCAGTTTTCAAACCCCCGCCTGCAGCTGAGTGCAGAGGGAAAAAAAAATTTTATTCGTTTTTTATGATTTTATAAAATGGCGCTCGATGATAATTAATTAATAGTAAGCATGATTGGAGCCGGAATATGATGATTCATTCATTCAGCCTTTCAAAACTTGATTGATTGATGATAATGTTAAGGTTGTTGTGCAGAAAGATCTATCCCCCGGTTGTTGCTGGGAGGAGATATCTGTTAGTCAGGAGATAACTGTTCAAGTTAAAGAACTCTGCCAAACAGCTAACTAGTAATATTCCTATTTAAAATTAAAAATTTAATAATTTTTAGACTTTTAGATCAATAATTGGTACTTATTATACTTTATGGCATTCATATGTCAATTTTATTTTACAAATATGATTGATTAAACGATGATCCTTCCATTTCCAAATTGTGGTCTGCCTTTTTTTTGTGCGTTAGATTTCATTTCATTTAAAAAAAGTAATTGTCAAAGAACATTCATGTGGTTCTACTGAGTTCCCCAATCAAAATTTATGGCAAGTCGGTAAAGGGGTTCATGAGTTATGATAGGACATACAAACAAACAGAGATTACAACTTAATACAATAAATTTGATAAATAATATATTGAATTATTTAGTAAATTCTGCGTGAAAGCTAAACTTGTCGCTGTCGGGGAGAAGAAGGTTGTCGGCGTTCCTTCTTTTCCAAGGTAAACAATAATCTAAACATATTTTTCAATCGGGAAAATAATTCAAATTTTTCTTTTGTCCTTTTTTCTGTGGATAGTTTAAACATGCAAATTCTAATTTTAAAGAAAGCCTTGTGGGATAAATGTTTAAAAACTCTCAAACCTTATTTTTTGTGAAAGTTAATGCATCAACGTAACTGTTTTTTGATAGTTTTTGTGTAATCCTGGAAAAATATTTATTTATTCGTAAATAACTCAGATGTTTAATTATCTCTCCCTTTAATCATGAAATAAAAATCATCAAATATTACAACTTTTTTATTTAGTGAATTTGAATCTCAACCTTCTCTCAGCACATTGTCTTCCTTATCCTCTGGACCCTGCCTACCCTCGTCCTCAGATTTGTTTCTCCGAACTGCTCCAAGTCCTAAACCTAGGTCTGGTTCTCTGCTAGCTACCGGAGATAAGATCAGTATACTTAAGGAGAACAAGGAGCAGGAGAAAAATATCAAGAACAAGGCGGACTCAGCGACTGCACCGATCAACGACCTGGAGAATATAAATACGGAGACGGGTTCGGAGATCTTTGAGACGGAGGAAGGTTCTGCTCAGAATGATACTGATAACAGGGTTGAGAAGGTTAATGATGCTACTGAGGAAACTTCTGCTGAAAATATTACTGACAGGATTGAAAAGGTTGATGATGCTAGTATGGAGCAGCAAAAAATTGAGAAACCAAGACATTCAGTCTCTATAGACAAAGATGTTTCCGATAAATCCAAGAAAAAGATAAAGATTGCGGATGCCAAGGGTAAGAAAGCTGATGATACTTGTGCTAAACAGGAAACTGAGAAACAGAAACATTTAGACCAGGATGTTTTTGATAAATCCAAGAAGAAGAAAAATATTAAGAAACCTGCTGATGAAAGCTCTGAAGATGAAGATGTTTCTGATAAATCCATGAAGAAGAAAAATATTAAGAAGAAACCTGCAGATGAAGATGTTTCTGATAAATCCATGAAGAAGAAAAATATTAAGAAGAAACCTGCAAATGAAAGCTCTGAAGATGAAGATGTTTCTGACAAATCCATGAAGAAGAAAAATATTAAGAAGAAACCTGCAGATGAAAGCTCTGAAGATGAAGATGTTTCTGACAAATCCAAGAAGAAGAAAAATATTAAGAAGAAACCTGCAGATGAAAGCTCTGAAGATGAAGATGTTTCTGACAAATTGAAAAAAAAGAAGATGAATATGAAGAAGAAGAATTTTGATGATAGCTCTGAAGATTCAGATTCTGTAGGTGATGAAGATGATTTAAAACCTGAAATAAAGGTAGAGAAAATTATTACTTAAAGTATTTTATAAACTCCACTCCCCTTTCCTTTTCAGAGATTTTCAATTTTTTTATCCAATTTTTTTTCTTTTTGATGCAGAATCTTTTTTTACATTTGGTGTTCTTTTATTGCTTTAAAGTTTTATTCCGCAAATAAAGTATGATTCCATGAAATAATTTTATTTTTGATATTATAGACGAGCTCCAGATCCAAGGTTGAAATAAAACCTGCTGCAGTTACTGCAATAAAGAGAGGAGAACCCTCTAAACCTGCTTCTCCTGCTCCTCCTCCTCGAACCCCTGCGAGGTTTCAGCTCCCTGAAGGGTTTATAGCCGTGCAGAATGGTACCACACGTAAAAAAAAGTATTTTTACCCGGACACATCTGGTGTAAAGTTTACCAGCGTTAAATCCTGTTGGGAGTATTACGATGCAGTGATAAAACAAAACATTTCTAAACAAGTAAATGATGCAGTTCTGGAAGTTACAAGCAGCGCTGGGAAAGGGATGAAACCGGCACAGAAACCTGAGATTTACACTAAAGCCGAGAATACTTCCAAGAAGCGCAAACATGGTGAATCTGAGAACAGTCCAAGGAAAACAGAAAGTTTAGAAACTCCAGGGTTTAAAGCTATGAAGTATGGAGAGGATGAGGATGAACCTAGTGTGGAGGAAAGAGCCAAACGAAGGTTGGATTTATTAAAATCAAATATCAAGGCACCGGTTGGTAAACGGCTACCCAAAGACTCGACTTCTGAATCTGAATCTGAGGATTTACCAGGTCTGCTCACCATTAGGAAACCTGTGTCCGGTAAGAATTCAGCAGAACATGTCCCTAAAGTAAGTTCTGATAAGTCGAGTTCCCATTCTGAACCGGAGCAAGCGCAACCCGTCTTTGCTTGGGTAACTAAAGACTCTAGTTCTGAATCTGAAGATATTCCTCCACCTGCAATTAAAACTGGTAAACAGAAGGATGATTCAAGTTCCGGGTTCGGTTCAGATCATTTGGAGGATAAGAATGATGATAATGAAACCACTAAATCTATGAAACTTTCAGATACCCTCCAAGTTGAGAATGATATTAATGATTCTGATTCAGAATCAAGTTCTGATAATGATCAAGAAACCCTTAAATCTGGTCAAATGAGCCCAATCCAACCAGAAGTGAACGAGCCGATTGAATCAGGTTCTGATGGTTCGATTGAAGGTTCGAGTGAAAGTTCTGGTTCTGAAGAGAGTAGCTCTGAAGAAGACGAACCTAAGCCTGAAGTTGATAAAGCTAAATTTAATTATTCTCAAACCCCCAAGCTTGCCAAGAAAATACTCCTTGAAAAGATGAACAATACTCTCTCCACCCTAAATACTTCTGGATCCAAGAAGATCGGTAAAGAGCTAAGTCCTAAGTCTACCAAGAAGATCGGTAAAGAGCTAAGTCCTAAGTCTACCAAGAAGATCGGTAAAGAGCTAAGTCCTAAGTCTATCAAGAAGAGTGTTGTACAGTTAAGTCCAAAGAAGATTATCAAACAGAAGAAAATATGTTTGGAAACCAAATCCAGGTGATAAATAATATCTGAACAACATTTTGGAAGATATAGTTTTCTTTAGACTGGAAAAGTTTTTAATTCTGACAATTATCTTCTTTCTTTCTTTTTGCGGCGGATACATCCACATGTGACTCTTTTAAAGAACCGGTGTGGCGTTACATTTTGGTCATCGTCAAAAAATGGTCATAGTCTCTACGCAACAGAATTTCCGCGTCAACCCTCTCATCTTTTTCCATCTTTTCATCGAGTCAAATTAAAATCGAAATATCTTAAGTTAAAAATATATGAATGAGATTTAAATTAACGAACAATGCTTTATTTATGATAATATATCTAACTTTTCTCCTGTCATCTGTAGACCAACAAATGAATGCTTACATATATCGTAATTTGTAAACCAACTTTAACAAACTAGATCAGAATAATTTGTTTTATCAGAATTATAAAAGGAGGTCTGTCCTATAAATGATGTTTGCAACATGACCCTGATTTTTAAGGATAAAGAAATCCTGGAAAAAGTACAGAAAAGAGCTATTTCCATGACTTCTGGACTCTCAGGATCTACCTATGAAGAGAAACGGAGAGAGGTTGGACTCACTAGTCTGGAGGAAAGAAGGAAGAGGGGAGATATGATTCAAGTCTGGAAAATCCTTCATGGACATGATCATGTGGATAAAAACTAATGGTTTAGCTCAGCCTATGTACCTGGTGAAAATGAAAGACAAACCTGCGGCCTTCGTTAAAGAATACATCAAGATTATATCCTTTGAATCTGAAGTTACCTGTTGTGCACACCGGAATACGAAGAAACTTTTGTAGTGCAAGAGTTATCAATATATGAAATCAAAAGTGCTGGAAACAGTTTTTGAACTGTTTCAAAAACAAGCTCGATAACTGGCTGAATTCCTGAACGGCCAATGAAGTTGGAAAAGAGATGTTTTAAATTATGATATATAAACATAATCACACCAATTAAACCAATTAACCCTATTTTTCAACACGAACTAATAATTTTTATTTTACATTATTTCAGGGTTAGGTAGGAAATTTACATGAAATAAATCTAAGATATTAAATAGATTTAGAACACAACACGCTTTTTCGCGGGGGGTTGGGGCTTTAGATTTGATAACTCATTTTATAGTTGCATCAACGTTGTCATGACACTGGGTTTGGTTTGGGGAGAACTGAAGGTTTTAAGTGAAGAAGTTGATGGGCTCTGTGTCTATTCCCTCGGCTCCCCCCCCCCCTCCCTTCCTCCTTCCTCTCCCGTTTCCTTCCCTCCCCCTCTGATCTTATTTATTGTTAACATTCAGAAAAATTTGCGCAGTTGCCGCGGAAATCCTGTTGCGTAGAGACTTTGACCATTTTTTAACGCTAACCATAAAGTAAAGCCACGCCTGATTAAAAATAATCACTTTCAAGTTGTAAAAAAATGGATTTGATTTTTTACTCAATTTAATTGGTCTAACTGATGTAGGTTTGAATCTGAACCGTTGAGAACTCCGGAAACCTTTGCCTTGTCATCCCCGAATACTCTTCTCTCTTCAACCATGAAACCGTCCAGTACAGTCCTACAGGATACTATCAGAGTTTCCCCTATAGAGCCTCCTCTTAAGAAGAAGAAGAAGAAGAAAAGAGAAGACGGGTTTTAGTAATGATTTGACTTGATCGGGCTAGATTTGGCTATATTGGGATAGATTGGGCTAGATTGGGCCATTTTAATCTAAATCCTGATCTAAATTGAGAAACCGATTGTTGCCGATATGAAAACTGACAAATTCCAATGAAAATATTGCATGTTAAGATTTTTATAAGTTACGAGTCGTGGTTTTTCATTTTTGTGCCTCAACTTTCTGTTTTCAAAGTTTTTGTATTTGAAAATAGAATTTTTATTGTACGTATGCCTGCGTAACCGGTTTGAATCGAATTTATGTAAAATCATTAATTGCATGATTCTTGATTCTTGTGATCTAAATTTTTTTTATTGTTGAAGCATTATTTCAATTATAATTTTTTTTCAGAATTATAAATGTTTTAACACCTGTTGACGGGAATGAATGTGGAAGGAGAAGTACTGAGCATGTAACAGAGAATATAAAATTGGATCTCTGCCAACCTTTACACCTGTTTTAACAAACATACTAAACATTAAACTAGAATGGGAAGCCTGGGACGGAATCTAAAGATAATGCGCTGCTTGGCCCCGCTAGAGTTTTTAGGGAAGATACCTGGGTGTCGCAGGTTGGTGATTTCAACGTGGTTTTAAAGGGATTGTTTACAGTTCAGCGCTCAGTAACATCGTTGAGAAGTAACATTGGCTCTGTTGTCATCCTAAACTTAAAGTTTAGGTATTATGTGTGTTTTGAATTAGAAAACAATCTCAACAGGGTTTTAGTTATAACAGATGATGGACATAATGGTTTTAGCATGGGTTTTAACGGTGGAGTAGATTCCTCCAAATTAATTATCAAATGCAAAGTCTACAATTAAAATAACTTGTTAAACAAACAAAAAAATAAAACGCACACTACTTGAACTGCATTTTTTATCTTTGTCAATAACTCTTTTTTGTTGTCGCAATTTTCGCAATTACAATTTCCAAGCAGTGCTCAGGGTTCAGGGTATTATGATACCATATCCTTGATTCGAAAAATAAAATCTAGTAAATAATTTTAGATGCAGCAGCATGAGTTCCTGGAACACCAATGAGTTCAAACCGAAGAAGGTTGTCGTCCTTACCAAGGTTTCCAGGTAGATTGAATTATTTCAAGAATTTTACTCTTACATCATTGTCTGTAAATCCAAAAGTCACTTTAATAGATGAACCACAATTGGAAATGATCAATTTTCTAAGAGAAAGAATAAGAATAAGATTATCTCATTTATCCTTGATCAGAGAAAGGTTTAAAGGGTACCGTTGTGAATCAGGGATGCAACTCTAATATAAGAAGATTACTTGAAATTACGTCTACAGTCACTTAAATGATGCTTTTTAGTTCTGTAAACTACTTTTTGTAGTATCTATATACTGTTGTAAAGTAGTATCTATACTGTTGTAAAGTAGTCTATACTGTTGTAAAGTAGTATCTATACTGTTGTAAAGTATCTTTATACTGTTGTAAAGTAGTATCTATACTGTTGTAAAGTAGTATCTATACTGTTGTAAAGTAGTATCTATACTCTTGTAAAGTAGTATCTATACTGTTGTAAAGTAGTATCTATACTGTTGTAAAGTAGTTTCTAAACTGTTGTAAAGTAGTTTCTAATGTAAAGTAGTATCTATACTGTTGTAAAGTAGTTTCTAAACTGTTGTAAAGTAGTTTCTAAACTGTTGTAAAGTAGTATCTATACTGTTGTAAAGTAGTATCTATACTGTTGTAAAGTAGTATCTAAACTGTTGTAAAGTAGTATCTATACTATTGTATATTTAAGATATGAGTTTGAGAAACTGCAGAATGAGACGTGTACATCAGAACGCCAGCTGGAAGAACTGCTTACAAAGGTTCAACTCAGAACAGAAAATATTTTAGAATTTCTTTCAATTTTGCTATTCTGCCTAACCACCTTTCACTTGAAGGTTTATAATTCTATTAAGTACATTAAGTTAAATTCTTAGTGTATGTACAGTGTACACTGTACAGTCAAAAATCAAACCAAATCAGGCTTTTAGAGAGGTCCTACTATCAACGATTCAATCTCGAGATGACTTTACTAAATCACTTTATTTTCTAACATAAGGAAGAGGTTAATGTTATGCGGTATTATTGGTACGACTTTGCGACATCGTAACTTCTAGTTTTCATTTTAAAATGAAAATGAAATTAACTTTAGTTTCTAGTTGTACAGTACATGAATAACATGTTATTCTGAGGTTGTTACCAGCGTGGGAGTGATTATAACATGATTAGATATCATCACAACGTACACAAGGTAATTAACAGTTACTAGCTAATGTGACCGGCGTTGCCCATGTAATTAAAAAAATCAAATAAAAAAACACGATTTTTTAAAAACATGTTACCCCCAGGACCCGGGTTTCCTCAAAAATTTCAGCCAATTTGGTCCAGCCGTTTGGCCAGCTATAGCTAACATATTAAAAATATATGTAACTGAGCAAGGAGATTTATTATATTGATTAAGGAGAAGATAAATGTGAAATAAATAAGAATTTTGATCAAGAAACCGTTTTTTTTTTGAAGAAAAAATAGGAATTTTACATTTAGTCCAACAGTATGTCCAACAGTATGTCCAATAGTAATCCCACAGTGAGTCCAACAGTATGTCCAACATTATGTTCAACAGTCGTCTTACTATTTCACAGTTTATGGGTCCCCCTGTAGTTAATCTTTAAATAAATTTCATAAATTTCATAAATAAATTGGACCTTTTTGTGGTAACTCACATGTTTATCGGAAAGGTTTATGAGCGGTCGAAATAGAAAAATTTTGCCTAAAAATTTTTGTTTAAAAACCTCAATTATTGTTATTGTTTATTAAATTACAATGCCAAAAATGGCGACTAAAAGTTTGTATAAATCTGAAATTATATTTGTCTGTCAGGCGATGGAGCAGGAGGTAGTTCGAACCCTGGAGGATAAAGGGATAGAGACTAAAATTGTGAAAAGGTTCCAGTACAATGACGAGGTTGTCAAGTGGGCAGATCTTATACTTACCACAGGTGCAGTAGATCACTTTATCAACCAATAGATAGGGGGAAATACAGGAATAAGGAGGGGAGGGGGGGGGGGATTTTATGAAATTTTCATGCCTTCAACGAATATTTTCGAGTTAAATTGTTTCATGTTTGTTAATAAACCGTTTAAAAACTATTTTCCAAAACCATGAAAATAAAACTTAAGGAAATTTTGAGCGAGTTATTTTCTCCATGTGGGAGTTAAACTCAAACCCTTTTCCCGCAGAGGAGATCAACTTATCCCTCAGTGTTGAATAGTTCGAAGCAGTAATTAGGATTCCTTTCATTTTCATCCGGATACGGATACAATTGTGTTGCTAATTTAAATTACCAAAAACGATGTCAGAAGCTGTGATTTTATGATTTCTACATCTTTTCAACCAGATATCATAGACCTTTGATATTTCAAACTATGAATTCTGTTATATCAAGAAGTTTGAGTTTGAAATATCAAAGGTTTATACACCATCAGGTTGAAAAGATATAGGGATTAAAAAATTAAAAATTGTGGCAAAAACTCCTAAACTAAATTTTCTTTTTTCTCTTTTATAATTCTTATCTAGAAACTTGATTTATCATTCATTTCTCTTTAGTTGCCACTCAAATATGTGCTTTGAATGCAGAAAGGTCCTTTTCTGATATTTTGGTTAATTTTTTACAATTTGGATCCGGACCCCAGGATCTAAAATGTTGCGAATGTTTTGGATCCGGAACCTTTGCATCGACAATTTATCTAAAAATATGCAATTGCGCAGGTGGATTCAATTCCTAAGCACTGGCATTAAGGTTCAATTTTTGAGATCTGTTTTTTAACAATATATCTCAATATATGTAAATGCGTAGGTGGAGACGGAACCTTCCTGATGGGTTCAAGTAAAATCCTGAACAGATATAAACCTATCCTTGGGATAAATACAGATCCAACCAGATCAGAAGGACATCTCTGCTTACCCAAGCATTACTCATTCAATATCAAGGAGGCCATTGATACCATCCTGGAGGGTAGGTTCAGATGGTTCTTCAGGAGAAGGTTGAGGATCACGTTGATCGGAGATAAGGAGAAGATCAATAAGACTCCATATGAACTTCATGATCAACAACTTCAGGTACTGAACAATTATTCAGTTATATAAACATCCGCTTGATTTGATCCATGTTTAAAAGATCCAGGATCTTGATTTGATTTGATTCGATTCGATTCGATTCGATTCGATTCGATTTGATTTGATTTGATTTGATTTGATTTGATTTGATTTGATTTGATTTGATTTGATTTGATTTGAATCGAATGGAATCGAATCGAATCTAATTCAATTCAATTCAATTCAATTCAATTCAATTCAATTCAATTCAATTCAATTGATTTGATTTGATTTGATTTAGTATCCTGAATACCGGTATATGGACCTGATGACTGAATCCTCTGAGGCCGGAGATCATCCGTTCAAGGAGCCCGGGAACCCGGAGAACTCGGTTCAATCTAGTAAAGTTCTCCCAGTTCTAGCACTCAATGAAATATATATCGGAGAGAGCTTGTCCAGTCGAGTCTCGTACCTAGAGCTGAAGGTAACACCAAAAAAAGACGCTTTCCTAATAACACATGTAATTACTAATTATAAATCAAAACAACAAATTAAGTTAGTTTAAAGGAATGGGACCTCTATACTTCACCTAAAGGATCGACAGATACCAACCAACCAAAGGGTTAATTGGTTAGCCAACTGACTGTAATGTATCTACTTTATCTCTCTAAATGATGGGGATTTAAAGGTCTAGTTAGAACAGGGGCGGGGCAGTGCACCCTGCTGCCTGGGCGGTCTAAGGGGTCCACAATGGGGCCCTATGCAGATTTCACTTCCTTATGATTCCTTACCTAATACATAACAATAAATTGTAATTATTTTGACGTTATTGTGTTTATTCACTGAGTTAGTTCCTAGTCTTATTCTCCGACTAGGTTCTCCATCTGGATGGTGGGTGGGGGGGGGGGGTACTCCTGAAACAATGAATCTCTTATGTTTTCAAATTGTTTTGACACTTTAGTAATCTTCATCTTGTTACAATTTTATATGTTAATTGTTATCTCTAAGAGTGTATTTATGAATAGATTGACCAGGGACCAGTGTTTAAAACTAGAAACAGTGGACTCTGTATTTCAACAGGAACAGGTACTAAACTTATCTTAGAGAATACAGTTGTACGGAGTATTACTTTTCACTGGATTTAAAAAAAAGAAAATTCAGATTTTAAGAGTATTTATAAGAATTTTTCTGAGAGAATTAAGTTATTAAAAGAGTATTAATGAGTTTTTCATAGAGGAATCAGATGTACAGATTACTCATTATAGTTTTCCCGAGAGGATTGATATTGACAGAGTATTCAGAAGACTTTTTTAGAGAGGATTCAGATTTAAATAGTATTAATGAGAGTTTTTTAGAGAGAATTAATATTAATATTAACATGAGAGTTTTTCAGTGGGGATTAAGATTGACAAAGAGTATTCACGAGAGTTTTCCAGAAAGGATTCAGATTTACAGAGAATTCATGCGAATATTCTTGACAGGATTTTAATTTGCAGAGCATTCTGGAGACTTTTCCAGTGGGATTAATATTAGCAGAAAAATTTTGATAGAGATTAACAGATTATTATGAAAGTCTCTTAGAGGATTAAGATTTACAAAGAATATTTCAGAGAGGATCAACATTTTTAGAGATAAGATAGGGATTGAAAATTGAGAGTATCAAGATTTTCAGAGACTAGATAGGGATTGAAAAATGAGAGGATCAAGATTTTCAGAGATAAGGATAAGGATTGAAAATTGAGAGGATCAAGATTTTCAGAGATAAGATGGGGATTGAAATTTTATTTTGAGTATTTATATTCCCGATACTATTTAAATGTTCACAATTGTGTTACATAACTGAAAATTATACATATTATGAAGGTGAAATGAATATAAAAAGGAAGTTATTTATTCTTGTAAAATTTAAAAATTAATTCATAATGTCTAGAAAACTTTTAAAAATAAAATCAGATAAAAATCCCTGTTATCCAGGTTCAACAAGCTGGACGTTTAACATAAACAAGTTGACCCATCATGCTGTAGAAAACCTCCTCAAGATTGCATACGAGACAACAAGATTTCCTCTAAATTGGAAGGTAGGTTCACAAGATAACAAGATTTACTCTAAACCTGAAGGTAGGTTCACAAGACAACCAGATTTACCTAAACTGGAAGATAGGTTCACGAGATTACCAGATTTACTCTAAACTGGAAGGTAGGTTCGCGAGACAACAAGATTTCCTCTAAACTGGAAGGTAGGTTCACGAGACAATCAGATGTCCTCTAAACTGGAAGGTAGGTTCACGAGACAACCAGATTTCCTCTAAACTGGAAGGTAGGTTTACGAGACAACCAGATTTCCTCTAAAATGGAAGGTATGTTCACGAGACAATCAGATTTCCTCTAAATTGGAAGGTAGGTTCACAAGACAACAAGATTTACTCTAAACCGGAAGGTAGGTTCACAAGACAACCAGATTTACCTAAACTGGAAGATAGGTTCACGAGACAACCAGATTTACTCTAAACTGGAAGGTAGGTTCGCGAGACAACAAGATTTCCTATAAACTGGAAGGTAGGTTCACGAGACAACCAGATGTCCTCTAAACTGGAAGGTAGGTTCACGAGACAACCAGATTTCCTCTAAACTGGAAGGTAGGTTCACGAGACAACCAGATTTCCTCTAAACTGGAAGGTAGGTTCACGAGACAACCAGATTTCATGCTTTTCATTCCATTTCTTAAATCAGTATATTTACCGACATATATATATAAAATAACAATTTATATAAAGCTGACTTTTACTTTTATCTAAGAGTTTTGGCGAAGATAAAAAAGTTTTTGGTTAAAGCGTCAGTCAGTGCATAAAAAACTTCTCATTTACGTCCAAATTGTCCCGTGGTACCTTCTCTGGGTATATCAGAACGTTTAAAATCAAAGGATTCAGGTCTTCTATAACTGTCAGTGTCGGCGGTCTTGTGATTTGTTTGGTATTCTCAATTAACCATGTCGGTTTTAACGTTAATTTATACAAATGATTAAACAAGTTGTATTTCAGGATCCCAAGCTAGTGGAAGCTATCGCTCAGAAGTTTAATAACGAGCTAGTTTATGATCCTGAAGCTGAAAAAATGTGCTATACACTCAGGTAGGAGCTCAGGAGGTTCTTCAGGGTTATTTAGGGATCATGGAAGGATCTTTAACTATCTTCAAGAATCTTGAAGGTTTTTATAAGGAGCCTAGAGTTTCTTGAAGGTTCTAGAAGGGATTTGAAGGTTTTTGAAGGATCTTGAAGGTTCTTGAAGGTTCTTGAAGGTTCTTGAAGGTTCTTGAAGGTTCTTGAAGGTTCTTGAAGGTTCTTGAAGGTTCTTGACTTGAAGGGTTTTCAAGGTTCTTGAAGGTTCTTGAATGTTTTTTAAAATGATTCTTGAAGGTTCTTGAAGGTTCTTGAAGGATCATGAAGAATCATGAAGGATCTTAAAGGTTCTTAAAGGTTCTAGAAGATATTTGAAGATATTTGATGATATTTGAAGATATTTGAAAATATTTGAAGATATTTGAAGATATTTGAAGATATTTGAAGATATTTGAAGATATTTGAAGATATTTGAAGATATTTGAAGATATTTGAAGATATTTGAAGGGACCTTCAGAGATTCTTAAAGAATCTGAAAGGTTCTGGAAGGATCTGAAAGTTTTTTAAGGAACTGGAAGGTTTTTAAAGGATCTGAAAGGTTCTTAAAATATATGAGGTTTTAGGTTCTTTGGTTCTTTGGGTATCTTTAAGGTTTCTGAAAGTTTTTTAGGGATCTATGAGGGTTTTTATGGTTCTTAAGGAATCTAAGGGCTGGGTTTAAGGTTCTGACGGATTTAAAGAATGTTTAAAAATATCTTTAGAGGGCTGAAAGGTTTAATAGGGATCTTGAATAATCTTTCGAAAGATTTTGAAGGATCTCAGAGTTTATTTTTAATTGTGTCTTAACTGAGTAAAACTTCATCAATTTATTTAATTTAAGCAATGAAATTCCTCAAATTATTAATTTTCAAATGAAGCTCTGGACAAAAAAAATAATAAACAAAATCTTTTCATTTAAGGGATCCTATATCAGTTGGGACCTTTCCTACATCCACTGAGAGTAGACCACGTGGGAGCGCTAAGCGCATTGCCGTCAGATCTAAATGTTTCGACGCCAGTCTCGTGATAGACGGGAGTCTCAGTTTTAAGTTCAACGACGGGACGAAGGCGATCATTGAGATTTTGGAGGAGGACGCATTGAGAACATTTCAGCTGTATTCTGGGATCTAGATTCAGGAGGACGCATTGAGAACATTTCAGCTGTATTCTGGGATCTAGATTCAGGAGGACGCATTGAGAACATTTCAGCTGTATTCTGGGATCTAGATTCAGGAGGACGCATTGAGAACATTGCAGCTGTATTCTGGGATCTAGATTCAGGAGGACGCATTGAGAACATTTCAGCTGTATTCTGGGATCTAGATTCAGGAGGACGTAACGAATTTGTAAAGAATATTTTTTTAGCAGTGAGAAACCGTATTTATATTTTGTAGTAATCAACATGGGATGAATTATTTTTTTGACTCATGCATGACAATTTTAAGTTCTTTCTACCCCCCTACCATAATACATCCAGGTTTCCGATGCAAAAATAATTTGGCTTTCAGTTCCTTCCTTGCTCCTAAGTTGGAAATTAATAAAGTAAACCGCGTTGATCAGATTCAAAACAATCAAAGTGTATGTGAACATGAAAACACAGAGTTAAAAAACGTTCCTTGAATGCGAACCAAAGAAAATGTGCAAGCAATGCAATTATTATTTCAAGAGCTTTTTTATGTTGTATATAATCTATTTAATCTATTTAATCTATTTAATCTATCTAATCTATTTAATCTATTAATCTATTTAATTTATTTTATCTATTTAATCTGTACCCTTTATAAACAGAAAATTTGTTACACAGTCGCAAACTAATCGCCTCAGAGATGGAAATGTCTAAACCCATGAACGAGCTCAAACTTATCAACATTGAAGTTAAATTATAAGATTTAAAAATTCTGATTTCAGTCAGCCAACGACAGACGGTTAATCTCTCGGGGTTAAGGTAAACTTCTAGGGGGGGGGGCTCTATTAAACTAATTTCAATAAATTTCTTCTATTCAAAAGTTCCAAGCTAATGTAAATTTTAAATACATTATAGATGCCAATTCTCTTCTACCAATTCACTTTTTGGAAATTTCTTTTGATTTGTCGTCTTCAAACAACAATGTATTGTGTAGCGGCATTTATAAAGTGTAAACGTACAGTACACATTGAAAGCAATTGTACAATGTGTACAGTACTCTACACACAGACTGTACACTGTCCACTGTGAAGTGTACATATTACGGGCTGGAATAACTGATCTGGTAGATGTCTGTAACTAAAAATGATTTCACTCTGCAGACAAATTGCCAAAAATCAATTTCCAACAAATTCATAATTTTTTTTGCATAATTAGCTTTATGCTTCATATCCTCAACTATTTAAAGACGGCGTGTAATATTATCAGTAGTACAACATATTTAATAACTTGTTTGTTACCAATTTATATATTTTTAGAATTAGTTATATATTTCTTTCTAAACATTCTTGAGTGCCAAATAAATTTTAAATGATTGTTATTTAAATACTTCGCTTAAAGGAAGTGTAAGGGTAAAGGAAATGTAATCTATTGACCTAAGCTTTAGATGATTACCAAACCAATATTAATGATATCTCAAGTTAGAACTTTTGTATTGTGAATCTCGAGGATCAAGATTTTGTTGTGGTCCTACCATGCAGGGATAACTGGAATTGATGGATCAAGAATTTACCCTCAAACTTGAGAAATGTTTCTTTTAAGATTAAATTAAAGAAACCGTTTACCGGATCTAGATATCCGAAATGTCTGATATTGGTAAGGTTAGGAGTTAAATCAGAGAAGAGAAGTAATCTTAGGGTTAGGAGTAAAAGCAAATAAGAGAAACTATTTCAGGGTTAGGAGTAAAAGCAGATAAGAGAAGCAAGCTCAGGGTTAGGAATTATAGCAGAGAAGAGAATCGATCTCAGGGTTAAGAGTAAATGCAGAGAAGACGATCAAGCTCAGGGTTAGGAGTCTAAGCATCAAAGAGAAACTTATTCAGGGTTAGGATTAAAAGATGAGAAGAGAAGCAAGATCAGGGTTTGAAAGTAATAGCAGAGAAGAAAAATTAGCTCAGGGTTCAGAAAAGAGATACTAGCTCAGGGTTAGGAGTAAAAGCAGAGAAGAGAAACTATCCCAGGTTAGGAGTAAAAGCAGAGAAGAAAAACTAGCTCATGGCATGGGGTAAAAGCAGAAAAGAGAAACTAGCTCAGGGTTAGGAGTAAAAGCAGAGCAGAGAAAAAATCTCAGGGTAATGCGCAAAAGTAGAGATGAGGAACAATCTCAGGGTTAGGAATTAAGGCAGAGAAGAAAAACTAGCTCATGGTTAGGTGTAAAAGTAGAGAAGAGAAACAATTTTACGGTTGGGAGTTAGAGCAGAGGAGAGAAACTATATCAGAGTTTGGAGTAAAAGCAGAACATAGAAGAGAAGCAAGCTCAGGGTAAGGAGTTCTAGCGAAGAAGAGAAACTAGCTCAAGGTTAAGAATCATAACTGAGAAAAGAATCAATCTTACGGTTAGGAGTAAAAGTAGATGAGGAACAATCTCAGGGTTAGGAGTAAAAGGAGAGAAGAGAAACAATCTCAGGGTTAGGAGTAAAAGCAGAGAAGAGAAAAAATCTCAGGGTAAGGAGTAAAAGGAGAGAAGAGAAACAATCTCAGGGTTAGGAGTAAAAGCTGAGAAGGGAAACAATCTCAGCGTTAGGAGTAAAAGCTGAGATGAGAAACAATCTCAGGGTAAGGAGTAAAAGCAGAGAAAAGAAACTAGCTCAGGGTTAGTAGTAAAAGCAGATAAGAGAAACAATCTCAGGGTTAGGAGTAAAAGCTGAGAAGAGAAACAATCTCAGGGTTAGGAGTAAAAGGAGAGAAGAGAAACAATCTCAGGGTTATGAGTAAAAGCAGAGAAGAGAAACAAGAGCAGAGGAGAGAAGCTCTCTCAGAGTTTGGAGTAAATGCAGAGAAAAAAAACTAGCTCAGGGTTAGAAGAGAAACAATCTCATAGTTGTGGAGTAAAATTAAATAAGAGAAGCAGAGAAAAGAATCTATCTTAGGGTCTGGGGTAAAAGCAGAGACGAGAAACTAGTTCAAGGTTTGGAGTGAAAGTAGAGAAGAGAGTTAGGAGATAGAGGGGAATCAGAATTTGGGGTTAGAGGAGAATTATATTAGGAAGCTAGAAAAGAATCACTGTTGGGAGTTAGAGGAGAATCAGAGTTAGGAGTTAGAAGTGAATCAGAGTTTTGAGTTAGAGGAGAATCAGAGTTAGGAATTAGAAATAAATTAGAGTTCAGTGCTAATATAGAATCATAGTTGGGAGCTAAAGGAGAATCATTGTTAGGAGTTAGGAATTAGAATAGATTTGGAGTTCATTGTTAAAGGAAAATTATGTTGGGAGCCAAAGGAGAATCATTGTTAGGAGTTAGAGGAGAATCAGAGTTAGGAATTAAAGAAGAATTAGAGTTGAATGTTAAAGGAGAATTACAGTTGGGAGCTAAAGGAGAATCATGGTTAGAAGTAAGAGGATAATCATGGTTCGGAGTTAGAGGCCAATTATAGTAAGGAGTTAGAGGAGAATTATGATTAGAAGTTAGAGAAGTTAGGAATTAGAATAGTATCATGGTAAGAGTCAGAGGAGAAAGGAGATAAAGTTTCAGAGTTAGGAGTTGGAGGAGAGAAAAGACCTAGGTTTAGGACAAGGAGTAAGCGGAGAGAGAAGATCTAAGTTTAGGGTTAGGAGTTAGCAGAGAAAGAAGATCTAGGTTCAAGGTGAGGAGCTAGAGGAGATCTAGGTTTAGGATTAGGAGTTAGCGGAGAAATAAGATATAGGTTTAGGGTTAGGAGTTAAAGGAGAGTTAAGTTCAGTGTTAGGAGTTAGAGGAGAGAGGAGATCATAGGTTCAGGGTTAGGAGTTAAAGGAAAGAGGAGATCTAGGTTCAGTGGTAGGAGTTAAAGAAGAGTTAAGTCCAGGGTCGGGAGTTAGAGGAGAGAGGAGATCATAGGTTCAGTCTTAGGAGTTAAAGGAGAGAGGAGATCATAGGTTCAGGGTTAGGAGTTAAAGGAGAGAGATCATAGGTTCAGTGGTAGGAGTTAAAGGAGAGAGTAGATCTAGGTTCAGTGGTAGGAGTTAAAGGAGAGTTAAGTTCAGGGTTGGGAGTTAGAGGAGAGAGGAGATCATAGATTCAGTGGTAGGAGTTACAGGAGAGAGGAGATCTAGGTTCAGTGGTAGGAGTTAAAGGAGAGTTAAGTTCAGGGTTGGGAGTTAAAGGAAAGAGGAGATCATAGATTCAGTGTTAGGAGTTAAAGGAGAGATGAGATCTAGGTTCAGTGGTAGGAGTTAGAGAAGAGAGGCAATTCAGGTTTAGAGTTACAAGAGAGAAGATCTAGTTCATGGATTATAAGAGTTAGAGGAGAGGGGAGAATTAGGTTCAGGGTTAGTAGTTTGAGGAGAGAAGAAATCAGGTTCAGGGATAGGAGTGAGAGGAGAGAGAAGATCTAGATTATGGGTTAGGAGTTAGAGGAGAGAAGAGATATAGGTTCAGGGATAGGAGTTAGAGGAGAGAGGAGATCTTGGTTCAGTGTCAGAAGTAGGAGAGAGAAGATGTACGAACAAGAAATATAGAAAAGTCAAAATATTTGCATCTGATATCATCTATTTATTTATAGATTATAATCTATATATATTGTTAAAATTTAAAAAAGTAAAAAAAATATATAAAAAAAAAGAGGAGAGATGAATTCTAGCTTCAGGGTTGGGAGTTAAAGGAGAGAGGAGATCTAGGTTTAGTGGTAGGAGTTAATGGAGAGTTAAGTTCAGGGTTGGGAGTTAAAGTAAAGAGGAGATCAGGTTCAGAGTTAGGGAGTTACAGAAGAGAGGCAATTTAGGTTTAGAGTTAGAAGAGAGAGGATCTAGTTCAGGGATTATAGGAGTTAGAGGAGAGGGGAGAATTAAGTTTGAGGAGAGAAGAGATCAGGTTCAGGGATAGGAGTTATGATGAGAGAAGAGATCTAGGTTCAGGGTTAGAAGTTAAAGGAGTGAGGAGATCTATCTAGGTTCAGGGTTAGGAGTTATAGAGCGAGAGAAGAGAGCAAGGTTCAGGGTTAGGAGTTTATAGGGATCGTGAACAATAGGTTCAGATTGGGACTTGGGAGTTAGAGAGGCCTAGAGCTCAAATGATGCTATGGAAACCGACCTAAAAGCTTTTTACACTCCCTGCGTGTTTAATTACGGATTTGAACCGACCCCCCTTATAACTTTGTCCAACCCCATTTTTATGCTATTAAATAACCCTCAATTTTATGATTATTATTTTTACTATTATTATTATAATAGTTAGGTCGGATGCTCATTAGTTACGTTGATAATGTGATCATTAGTTCGTTAAAATTGTTCAAACAAAGACGACAGCAGGGATTTACATTCGTTGCCACGATATTCTCTAAATCAGAGATAAATAATGCCGCGTAGTTAAAGGTAGGGTAGGACGGAGCATGGTTGTGTCTCTGTTCCAGCTCCAATAATATTCCCGACACCTTTTAGAAACCTACATTTTGAAAAAAAAAATTGCTGATTAATCAAGAAAATGTGATTTTAAATTGAGAATTTTAGTCTTTCGTAAAGTTTACAATTGGTGATGAAAGAATTGTTTTTGTAAAAACATTATTTTTAGTTTTAAATCGTCTTTCTTTGAATACAATGTGTTACAATTTTATCCGTGTGAATCATATGTCCTGGACTTATCACCTAGATTTAAGGTTTAGTATCAAGTTGAGTTTAGTCTAGTTTTGTTATCATCTGCAGAGCTGAAAACTTTAGAATGGGATATCCTTAATCCCTACCGGTTAATTAATCTGGAGATTAATAACAAGAGGAGAACAAGCATTATTTAATCTTGAGATTAAGAAAAAGAGTGGATCAAGCCTTAATCCCGATATCCACCATTTAAAAGTTCCCATCTCAGTTCACTTTTCATTAAAGTTTGAACTCTAATTTGTTAGTCCTGCTGCCTTATTATGAAATATGTTATAAAACTTGGGTCTGTCCTAGAGAACAATTTTTGGACCCCCCCCCCGAGCCCCCCCTCTCCTATCAATTTTGTACATGACAATTTATTTTTCAGCAAATTTATTATTATTTATTTTTTTGTTATTTAGGGTTAGGTTTCTAGCCGCAGCGCTCGGCCCAGAAAGTGTCTTAACTGAACCTAACCCTTAATAAAAGAAAGTGTCATAACTTAACCTGAACCGTGGCCGCAACGCTCGGCCCCCTAGTCTCTCCTAGCCGCAGCGCGCGGCCCAGAAAGTGTCTTAACCTAACCTAGCACTAAATAATAAAAAATAAATCATAAATTTGCTGAAAAATAAGTGGTCATGTACAAAATTGATAGGAGGGGCGGGGGGGTCCAAAAATCGTTCCCTAGGACAGACCCAAAGTTTTTCTTGGCCCGGTGCCGTGAATATGATAGGCTTGGGGTGTCGAGCGCTTTGGCTAACCAGAAACTTTGCCTGCATGTCTGTTTGTATTTCATAAACGTCAAAACGGCTGAACCGATCGGGTCCAAACTTTTGTTAGCAATTTACTTGACCGTAGGGAAGGTGTATGGGGTCCGTCCTAGTATTCAATTTTTGGACCCTCCCCCCCCCCCCCATCATACCAATTTTGTACATAAACATTAATTTTCATATATTTTGTATTATTTTTGGGTTAGATCAGGTTAAGACGATTTCTGTGCTGAGCGCTGCGGCTATGAAGGGCCTTCAATTTCAACAAGTTTTTTATTGAATTTTATGTATTTCAGACTGGTGTGTCTGGTTTGTGAATGAACTAGAAAATATAAAAAATGCCGCTAGCCAGCCGAGCCAGAGTATATGCAGATGTCAACTCACACAGGTTAACCAATAACCATGATGAGAAACCGTTCAGACCATTTTTGCAAATTGAAATTTTTAAACACGCCTTTGTTGACATTTGTAGATTGTGCTCACAGTTTTTGCTTGATTTTTATCTTTGGATCTCCTTTATAATTAATTGTTTCTAAATTATTTCCAGTTTTGGTAAAAGGAAAAGCATACATCTCCTATGTAGAGAAACCACAAATGAAAATATCAGTTTTTAGAAAACAAGCCTTATTTTCATACTTGATCAGACCAATATTTTAAGGGTACCACTTAAAATAAAGTTTAAGCATTTTTTATAATTTTTTTTTTCTCAACTCGGATATCTTTTACCAAAATATTTCTGATCTATTAAAATAGTTTCCTGATTTTTTGGGGAAAAAATAGATTTATTTCTTAATTTTTGAAGAAAAAAAATAGATTTTTAAAAACACAAATTTTATTATTTTTTAACCTATGATGCCCCCAGGGTACCGATGGGTTCCCTAATAAATTTCAATCCAATCAGTCCAGCCGTTTGGCCGGCTATAGGCAACATATATACGAATGTCTAGTTTTATTATATAGATTGTATTTTAGACCCCGTGAGTACTGGGATTACGAGGCCCATGTTGTAGAGTGGGGAAACCAGGTCAGTTATGATTGTTATCCCTTGAACGAATTGTCAATATTTTAAACAAGTATCTTCAAAGTCTAGAAAACATTATATAAATCCAGTTTTTGCAATAATAAAATTTTATATTTTCTCTCAATTTATATTTCTGACGGTTAATAATTTAATTTAAATTATATATTTGTGTGCAGGATGATTATCAGCTGGTTAGAAAACTTGGTAGAGGGAAGTACAGCGAAGTATTTGAGAGTATAAATATTACTTCCAGTGAGAAGTGCGTCGTTAAAACTCTGAAACCGGTAAAAAAGAAGAAGATAAAACGAGAAATTAAAATCCTGGAAAACCTGCGGGGTGGCACCAACGTGATCACACTCCACGGCGTGGTGAAGGATCCCGTGTCCCGGACCCCGGCCCTAATATTTGAACACGTGAATAACACGGATTTCAAGCAGCTGTATCAAACTCTCACCGATTACGATATCCGGGGATATCTGTACGAACTGCTCCGAGCTCTGGACTATTGTCACAGTATGGGAATTATGCATAGAGATGTTAAACCTCACAATGTAATGATTGATCATGAAAATCGTCGGCTCCGACTTATTGACTGGGGGCTAGCTGAATTTTACCATCCGGGGCAGGTGAGAAAATAACAAAATTATCCTCTTCAAAAATAATTTTTGCACGGAGGGCAAACATTTTTTATGTTTTTTTTTTCGCTAAATTTGGGACACGGGGGGGATATTATTAAAAAAAGAGAGAAATTATCGCAAATGAGTGTAATTCTACCCTGGCTTTATCAAGTTATTAAAATACTTGCAGTGGGCGAGAAGAACCATAAACGCCCAGCGAAATTATAAATATAAGGGGCTGGATTTTGATTTTGGAAAAATCTCATTTTTTAACAACCAAACTTAAACTTATAATGGTTTTGTTTAGGAATATAATGTTAGAGTTGCGTCCCGATACTTCAAGGGTCCTGAGCTGCTGGTAGATTACCAGATGTATGACTACAGTCTGGACATGTGGTCCCTGGGCTGTATGCTCGCATCAATGATCTTCAGGAAGGAACCCTTCTTCCACGGACACGACAACTACGATCAGCTGGTCAGGATTGCTAAGGTGCTGGGGACGGAGGAGCTCTACGAGTATTTGGACAAGTATCAGATAGAACTTGATCCTAGGTTCTCCGATATACTCGGGAGACACTCCAGGAAACGATGGGAGAGGTTTGTACACAGTGAGAACCAGCACCTTGTCTCTCCAGAAACCTTGGACTTCCTGGATAAATTGTTAAGGTAAGCGGTATTATGCATTTCAAGAAGAAAAAACGAAACATCAAAATATTCTCCTGAACCTAATATTTTCAATATTTCTCTGAACCTAACATCGCCTGAATTTATAAATTTCTCTATACCTAAACCCTCTTAATTTTCTTCGAGACTAACATCTTGTGAGTTTCTTCGAGACTAACATCTTGTGAGTTTCTTCGAGACTAACATCTTGTGAGTTTCTTCGCTAACATCTTGTGAGTTTCTTCGAGACTAACATCTTGTGAGTTTCTTCGAGCCTAACATCTTGTGAGTTTCTGCGAGCCTAAGATTTCCCGAGTTTCTCCAAACCTAGAATCTACCGAATTTTTCCGAACATAAAAATCTTCTGAATTTCTCCGAACATAAAAATCTCCTGAATTTCTCCGAAACTAGAATCTTAGATTGAAGTTTCTCAGAACCTGAAATACACTGAATTTTTGTGAACAAAAAATCGACTGAAATTTTCCGAAACTTACATCTTCGGAGTTCAACTGAACTTATTGTAACATTTAATCCTCTGATATCGTTACAATCCCAGGGAAATCAAGATCAATCCTTGTCCCTCATCTTTGAAGGTTAATACAAGACTTCACTTTCATTCCCAGTACCAATTCATAATTTACCCAAACCTCTCATCTTGTGTATAATATCTATCTCTCAAGGTCTTGAATAAGTGGGTTTAACAATATACATTTTATTGGTACAAAATCTATATATCTATTTATATTATATCATATTTCATATATCTGTAGAGTCCCTCAGTGGTAAAACCAGTCTCCACTAGCTCTTATATAGGAAGAGTCCCTCAGCGGTTAAGCAAGCCTCCACTAACTCTTATATGAGGAAGAGTCCCTCAGCAGTTAAGGAAGTCTCCACTAACTCTTATATGAGGAAGAGTCCATCAGCAATTAAGCAAGTCTCCACTAACTCTTATATATGAAGAGTCCCTCAGCGGTTAAGACAAGTCTCCACTAGCTCTTATATAGGAAGAGTCTCTCAGCAGTAAAGCAAGTCTCCACTAACTCCTATATAGGAAGAGTCCCTCAGTAGTTCATCTGAGCCTCCGTTCCCTGCTGGGCTAGATGTGGTCTCAGCTAATCCTTAGATAATATAACTGGTGATCTCCTGATCAATCCTAGCTATCTATCAATCTGCTACAGACCTATGATCTTCTCCTGTGATTCTTGTAACTGGTGATTTATGATCATCCTAGTTCTCTGTCAATCTGCTGTAGATCTATGATCTCATACTTGCAGTTCTCCTGTGGTTCATATAGCTGGTGATCTTTGTGATCCATCCTAGCTCTCTATCAATCTTCTCTGGATCTCTAGTCTCCACAGTATCTGCAACTTCCACAGTATCTGCAGTATCTTCCATATCTGCAGTGTCCACAATATCTGTAGTATCCTCAATATCCGCAGTATCCTCAATATCTGCAGCATCCCTAATATCTGCAGTATCCACAGTATCTGCAGTATCCTCCATATCTGCTCTGCACCTCTGTTCATCTACAGTCTGCTCTATATCTCCGTGATCTTTAGTCTGCTCTGCACCTCTGTTGATCTACAGTCTGCTCTATATCTCCGTGATCTGTAGTCTGCTCTGCATCTCTACAGTATGCTTTATATCTCCGTGATCTGTAGTCTGCTCTGCATCTCTACAGTATGCTTTATATCTCGTAGTCTGCTCTGCATCTCTACAGTATGCTTTATATCTCCGTGATATGTAGAATGCTCTGCATCTCGGTTGATCTCCCATCTACTTGATATCTCCTTGATCTGTAGGATTCTCTGCATCTCGGTTGATCTCCCATCTAATTGATATCTCCTTGATCTGTAGGATGCTCTGCATCTCGGTTGATCTCCCATCTAATTGATATCTAATTGATTGGTCCTCATGATCTCCTTTCACCTGGATTCATTGGCCTGTATTATCTTCTAAGTCCCCAGTGTTTCTAACAATAGAAACACCTGGAATATTAGAGGGTGTAGGGAGTTGAACCAGCTGTATAGAGGTGGAACTATATTGCTCTGATTCTATTATCCATTCTATAGTTCCAGCAATCCTCGGAGTCTCCAGTGTTTCTAACCATAGAAACACCTGGGATATTTGAGTGTGTAGGTAGTTGAACTAGCTGTGTTGAGGTGGAACCACATATCTCTGATTCTCTTGTCTGTTCTACAGCTCCAGTGATCCTCTGAGTCTCCAGTGTTTTTAACCATAGAAACACCAGGAATATTAGAGGGTGTAGATAGTTGAACTAGTTGTGTTGAGGTGGAACCACATATCTCTGATTCTATTGTAAACCTGAGATATCTATCTCATCAATGGTTTATTGTATTCCTGAAGATATGATCGTGTAGATACAATCATATAAGTCCACATGCAGTAAGCCTTCTGAGAGCTGTCCATGAAGTGCCTGTCCCCTAGCCTTGTTTGAACAAACGGAGCTCTGGCTCATACGTCTGTTCGGTTCAAAGGTCTAGGGTGCATTGTTGAATCTTAATGAATCCGTTCAGGTTAACTACTCCGCATTCATTAAAAGAACAAAGATATGAAGGTGTGAGGCCAGGGGAGGGTTTTCTTAGCATGAGTCATTCGTACTTTAAATATTACACTATAATCTACTGATCTTTTTCGAACATAAAATCTCCTGAATTTCCCCGAAATTAACATCTTCTGAATTTCTTCCTACCTAACCTTATTTGAATTTCTCCGAACCAAACAGCTCTTGAGTTGTTCCGAACCAGACATATCTAGAATTTCTTCATACCGGACGTGACCCATTTTATCCTGAATTTCTCCATGCAAAGCTAATATTTTTAGAATTTCGGCGAACTTCAATGCTACTTCAAAATTTCTTTATTCCTAATAGTTTACCCCCTGATCTTTGTGTAGAAACAATCTCAAGAACTGACAAGGGTCAACCCAGACCGAAATATATTTTTACTCAGCAGAGGTTTGGTCCATCACCATCACCGAATTTTAAATATTAACAATAGTTCCATGTTCTTATTAATTTATCACAATTTTGTTGTTGCTTTTTTATGTTTTTGTTATTACATTTTTATATTTATTTTCAGATATGATCATCAGGAGAGGTTGACTGCAATGGAGGCTATGGAGCACGCTTACTTCTATCCTGTTGTTAAAGATCACGGTCGTATCTCTAACATCTCTAGTTCTCCTACTGGAGGAGCAGGTGGTCTAGGAGCAGGATCCATCCCTCAACAGGTTCCATCGTCTCCTGTTCTATCTCCCAACAACACTCCTGTTCCCTCGAATCAACAACCTCAATAATCATTTGTTTTTTTTACTGCGTTTATACTTTTTTCGGTCGGTAAATAGTCAAACAAAAATCGGCCTCTGCTGCCGTTTAGGTCTCCATGTTGAATGGGTCGATTTGATTTTTTGTTTTCTAATAATAGTTTTCATGTACATTAGGGGGCTCATTGATCTGTTTCAAACTATTGAGATCAATTGTATCTGTAAGTTAAATGTACTAAAACAAATATAATTTTGTCGTTAAAGTTGCTGGCACTAATGTTCACCTTTTTTATAATTTTTCTTCCTTATTTCATGAATGTTTGGCCTTACTAAAACCTAAAATGAAATTATTTTAAGAACACTTGTAAAGTTTACTTTTAGACACAAATGGACAGACAAGTATTGTACTGGCGTATCATTGAAATTTCAAGAAAACAAGATTTCACCCGCGACTTTTTTAAGTCTTTGTCGCCGACCGCCGTGTTAGAAATTGTTTTTCTCTGAATTTATTGAACTCAGCATTCGCCAGATAAATAAACTTTTATTTCTGAACTTTTTCATTAGCAGTATATTATTAACAGAATAGAAAAGAACTGCGTATTATCAGTATGATCATCTGTGTGAGTGGTTTCTCAACTTGTTAAAAGTTAGATACAATTAATTGAAAAATCCTAGCTTAAACCTCCAAATTTCTACGGCTGAATGGTATAGGGAAGCTGGCAAATATTTTGACTGATTTCACTTAATTTCTTAGATTATTCTTGCTCCGTTACTCTAACGGTTAGAAAGCTTAAAACTTAATTTTTCATTTGTTACGTCTTCCTTATATTAAACCTTGCTGCTGTATTAGTTTGGATAAACCGGGATAGAGAATGAACGAAACAATTATGATTATATCATTATTTTTATTTCCTTACTCTTTTATTTCAGACAAAACAAAATGGCGGATGACAAATCAGCTGATGATTTTGGCGGGAAAGGGGATGATTCTGCGGATTTGTCGATAAAGAAGAGGAAACCTAAAAGAATTCTTCATTTCTCAGATGGAATCCTAGAAGAGTACAGTTCAGAGGATGAAATTCAGGTGAAAGAGTTGAATATATTTTCGACTAAAATTATTTCCCCCAACTCATATTTTTTCTTCACTGAAACCGTTCTTATATCATATGCGAGGCCGGGGCTTTCATTCTAAGGGGGAAAATTAAATTGCCCCTTTTCTGTAGAATAATTGTATGTTAGTATGATTTGAAGTTGTTAGTCCTAAGGTAGAAATCCCTGTCGGTCAGATTAAGGATATACATTATACATTAACTATTCTTATTGAAGGGACTGTCCGATTCACAACAGCATCTATAAACCTGCTGAATTCTAACAATTTACTTTTTTTCTCTGTTGCAAGAATCTTCATTCCGTAAGTTAAGGAACGTTCTATATATTAAAATTAGAAAAAAGATTGATTTGCCATTCATATTTGAGTAGACAAAGGTTAGACGGGTAGCTTTGTGAATTTCTTAAAATGGAGGGGAAAATACCTCTTCAGTTCTTGTAAAGCTTTTATCTTAGAATTCAATGTTACCGCTGTTTTGTACGCTCTTTTTGAAGAAACCTATCTCTAGGAGGATTTGAAGGCTGAGATAAAGAAGAACAGCTCTGTGTTGGACCCGAGGAGTATGACCTGGTTCCCCTGGATGGCCTGGAGGATAATGACGGCGGGGGACGGGTTCTTGTCCTACTGTGATGCTGCAGGAGAGAAGTTAGCTTGGTGGTTTGGTATTACTAGTCCTAAATATTATTATGAGATACAGGAAGCTTTAAGAATGAAGGTATTAAATATACATATATAATTTACAGGGTTACCCATTAAGGATGAGACTGTAAAGACGACCCAAAGCTCTGAAAATATGACGATTTAAAGCTTGATTTTTGGTGTCTGCATTTGAGTATTTTCATGGTTTACTAAGTTATCAAACACAAGAAACCCTAAATGCAAGAAAACGGACTAAAAATTTCCCATACAATCGTCTCATCCTTTGTGGGTAACCCTGTAAGTTATAATCGTTATGAAAATTAAAAAAATTTTTTTTTGGGTATTTTGCCTCTGCCATACTGGTTGGGGGATGGGGGGGGGGAGGGGGCTGGGATCATCATTTTTATTTTTTCATTCTACTTTTCACCTCATTTTCCAACTAAATGTTTTCATGAGTTATCTTATAAAACGGGTATTTAAGTTTGGTTCTTTCCAAGTTAGTTATTAGTTTGATCTCCTCGTGATGGATCTGGGGCCGGTTTATGGATAGCGGGAAGTATTTGAACTGCGTATACGTAGTTCAACCAAAGGGGATGTGAAGTGGAGATGTTCTATTTGATGAGGGGGGGGGGGTCTCTGCCATTATTTATAAAAAAACTAAAAAAAACTTATGACCTCTAATGACCTTTAATGACCTTGACCAATAAAAAAATTTTCAACTATGGCTTTATGCATATCAATCGAAAGCTAGTAACCCATGGAATACAGTAGCAACAAGATGTTTGGCCTTCTATTGACCTTTAACGACCTCTAACAACCTCTAATGACCTCGAAATTGACATTTAACTATGGCTTTATTACTATCAAACGAACGCGAGGAGCCCAGACAATACAGAAACAGAAACTCAAAACCAAGCTAAGAATAATACCCGTGGTTCTCTCGATTTCCACAACTAAAATGTGAGGCAAATCAAACCAGAGGTTCATGACTTATGATCGTACATCTAAACAAACAGAGATTACGACTTCATATATGCAATAAAACAAGACATTCAAATATATGTTGCCTAAAGCCGGCCAAACGGCTGGACCGATTGGACTGAAATTTGTTGTGGACATTAATGGGGGACAGGGGGGTGTTATAGGCTATTTTTCTATTTTTTTTTTCCACGGGCATCGCCGGGCCCTTTAGCTTGTATATATAAATAATTGTTTGTTAGGAGGAAGAGGAGGCTAGGAAATCTGCTGAGGATGCTGAGATGTCTGGTTGGACCAATTCATCTAACCAGGATACACCCGTTCTCTCAGAGCTTAAATCCTTAGCCGAGGACGCTCCTCCGACCTCCTCCGTCAAGCTGGAGGAGACATCTGAGAAGAAACCACATCACTTGCCTCCGCTGGAACCTCTATCGGTTTCTGAGCTCCATGCTCAATCCTTGAATAAGCTTAAAACTGATGAACAGTGAACAAACTTATTATAAATCGGCAAATTTATTCTTCGGGGTCAGGTTTTGTGCATTTTCTATAGCTCCAGGTTTTTTTTTTAATAATACCCCTACCTACCTGCACAGTTAACAGCAAGAGATATTTGATTGACAATCATAAACCCCCCGGGTAAATAATACCGATTTCCCAGATTTGTGAGTGCCTTGTCCTTAGTGTAGGGTTCAATACCTACACGATAAATTTTATTATTTTTATTGATAAATTTCGGTAAATATTAGGACAGACCCTAAATTTCTAGTCTACATATCATAAAATCATATAATATTCTATAAACCAAAGATGAAATTTATTTTAGGCATTACAAATTAGATAAATGATCTCATTTATATTTTATTGGTATTCCTATTTGGATTTTAAAATATGTTTATTTAAAATTTGTGTTTTAACTCTTTCTTGAGTGAAGCATTTTGTTGTGATAAGTTTTGTCAAAATTGTAATTTTAATATATTTATTTTATATTATTTTAATATTTGGCGTTAGGCATCATAAAATTGATTTCTTTCAACTTTGTTTCATTTTTTTCGTCTCTTTTCCAATTTATTTTCGTCTATTTTCCAATCTATTTTCGTCTATTTTCCAATCTATTTTCGTCTCTTTTCCAATCTATTTTCGTCTACTTTTGTTTTGTAATTTTTTCCCCAAGTACGTTTAAAATTTTTATTTAAATGGTTTCACGTCACAAATTCAATTAATTTTTGTGATCTTGTCAGCCTTGAAAAAATTGTCTAGCTGCACAAGGATTATATTTGGTCTACTGTTCAATATTTATAAAGCATTTAACGATACATTTATCTAGTAAACTAAATATGTTAGAAGATATATAACTGCTGACAAACGAATAATTGCTGACATACAAATATACTTTCAGAAGCATGGCTGACGTAGCAGCAGCAGTTCTAGCAGCTGCAGCAGAACAGGATAAACAGTATGCTTCCATCCTTGTAGAGAAACCTCTAGGTTAGTAGAGAACAGGATAAACATTATTTGGAGAAACCTCTAGGTTAGTAGAGTACAGGATAAACAGTATTTTATCCTTGAAGAGAAACATCTAGGTTAGTAGAGTACAGGATAAACAGTATTCCATCTTTGTAGAGAAACCTCTAGGTTAGTAGAGTACAGAATAAACAGTATTCCATTCTTGTAGAGAAACCTCTAGGTTAGTATAGAACAGTATAAACAGTATTCCATCCTTGTAGAGAAACCTCTAGGTTAGTAGAGTACAGGAATCTTTGTAGAGAAACCTCTAGGTTACTATAGAACAGGATAAACAGTATTCCATCCTTGTAGAGAAACCTCTTGGTTAGTAGAGTACAGAATAAACAGTATTCCATTCTTGTAGAGAAACCAGTATTGAACAGGATAAATAGTATGCTTTCATACTTGTAGAGAAACCTATAGGTTAGTAGAATACAGGATAAACAGTATTCCATCCTTGTAGAGAAACCTCTAGGTTAGTAGAGTACAGGATAAACAGTATTCCGTTCTTGTAGAGAAACCTCTAGGTTAGTAGAGTACAGGATAAACAGTATTCCATCTTTGTAGAGAAACCTCTAGGTTAGTAGAGTACAGAATAAACAGTATTCCATTCTTGTAGAGAAACCTCTAGGTTAGTATAGAACAGTATAAACAGTATTCCATCCTTGTAGAGAAACCTCTAGGTTAGTAGAGTACAGGAAGTATGCTTCCATCCTTGTAGAGAAACCTCTAGGTTAGTAGAGTACAGGATAAACAGTATTCCATCCTTGTAGAGAAACCTCTAGGTTAGTAGGGTACAGGATAAACAGTATTCCATCCTTGTAGAGAAACCTCTAGGTTAGTAGAGTACAGAATAAACAGTATTCCATTCTTGTAGAGAAACCTCCAGGTTAGTAGAGTACAGAATAAACAGTATTCCAATCTTGTAGAGAAACCTCTAGGTTAGTAGAGTACAGTACAGGATTAACAGTAGGTTTTTTTTTAAGTTGACAATTTTCTCGAATTGATTTCTTTATGAGCTCTAATTTTTGTCTGTTTTTAGCCTTAGAGTTGGACCTGGGTAATATGCTCGCTATTGACAACAATCAGATAGATAACTCAAAACTTCTTAACAGGTTAGTCCCCAAAAAGAGAAATGAAATGACTTTGTAAATCAGTTTTGCATTTTTATTTAAAATTTATTCAAAGGTCGTTACAAAGACTATTGACCAAGTTAAATTCTGTTTTATTTAGAGATGATCGTGAAGGGTTTCTTCGTGAATTAGCTCGAGATAATACCCAGCTTCTGATAAACTCTATCTGGGGTCTACCAACAGAACGGGTTGAAGAGGTCGTCGTTGCCAAGTTTCCTCCTCCTACTTATATACTACCCAGAGAGAAACCTGTACCTGTTCCTAAACCTCTAACCAAATGGGAGAAATATGCAAAGGACAAAGGTAATTTTAAACTTCTAGCTATTATTTTTCTCAAAAAAAAAATTCTTACTTCCCCGAATTGTAAAAATCTTTTTTCCCCAAACGTTAAATATGATAAAATCAATAAAGTTTTTGGTAAAATATCTCAAAAAGAATGTAAAAAGTTGCCTTTTTGTATCCAATTTTTCATTTTTTTGTCTCCCCAAATCATCCCCTATCCTCTCTCACAGGGTGGGGGTAATTCTGAAAAATATAAACCCCTGTCCCCTACAGTTAATATCTGTCTCGCCTTTCTTTTGATATTTTGAATTTTACTAAAAGGTTTTTGAAAGGTCATCCTTGAAAAATTTAGCTTCAATTAAATTTTATTTTTTCAAGGTTCTCAGGATGATCTCTCAGGCTGCATTAGAAAAAATGAGAAATGTTAGCTCTCGTCTTTTTAGATACTTTTCTCCTCCCTAACATATTCGGGGAACTTCTTATTTGTTGGGGGGGTTCTAGACAATATTAAAACTCCACTGCACTGGATCTTTTCAGATGATCATTTTAGGAAAGTTTTTTGAGAAGTTGAATGCTTGTAATAAATGTTCCTTAATGCACAAGTTTTGAATCTTAAAGAGCCAGGAGCTGCCGACCATAGCAGTGTTAAATGGGATGTAGGGTTCAATCTGGTCCTGTCCACATTAGGACTATGTCCTAGTAACTACTTACTTTTAGTAATAGTTAATAATAATTTGATTTAAAATCAGATCTTTGTTATGTTCCCATTCTTATTTCGATTTACATTGATAATTTACTTTTTATAGGAATTGTGAAGAAGAAGAAGAAAGATCGTCTAGTTTGGGACGATATTGTTAAGAAATGGGTTCCACAGTTTGGATTTAAGAAGAAGGAAGTTGAACGGGAGAAAAACTGGTGTATTCCCATCAAGGAGGGACCCGACCCTAACATCAACCCTCATGAGAAGATGGAGGAGGATAAGAAGGAGAGAGGAGCTAAGAATGAACTCCAGAGATTAAGAAATATTGCAAGATCGAAGAATGTCAAGGTTCCAACTGTAGGAGTAATTACACCATCTTTTAAAGGAAAACAATGCTTAATTTTAACTCTATTTTGCACATTTTATTATTGTTTTGAAATCTATAAATGCAGTGCTTAGGATCCATTTAATTTGATGCGGATCCGGATCCTGGGTCCGCACTTGGAAAAAATGGATCTGGATCCAGGTCATTTCTTTAAGATTCACTAAACTTTTTTAACAACAAATAATTTTCAAACTTTTTGTTCGTATTTTTTTCGCTTATTTTTATCATAACACTTGATGAACCATTCAGAAATGAGGAAGTAGTTTTTTTTTCAGTTTTTGGTTGATATTTTACCCCTTGGATCCGGATCCTTGGATCCGGATCCTTGGATCCGCATAATTTTGCGGATCCGGATCCAGGAAGCCAAAATCTTGCAGATCCAGCGGATCCGGATCCCGATCCTAAGCACTATATAATTGTTATTTGTTTAAACAAAACCAAAGAAGGATGAATTTTAATCCCGAAACTTTGCCTTTGTCTCGTTGATCATAAAATTTATTTTTAATTTTATTTTCCAGCTTTCTTTCTGTCGGAAACATTTATATTATACACTTCTGTCGGAAACAAGGTGAGTCAATGAAAAGTGTGTTTAGCGTCGTCTTCTTAACTAATTTTTTTGCATAAAATTTTTATTTCTGGCAATATTTTGAATATTGTCTTCATTTGTTTTAAACTCAAATGGTACCACAAAAAAATCCACGAAACTTTTTTCCCGTCAAAATTGAAATTGAAGAAAAACAAATGTGTGATAACAGATAATTACTATCCAATCCTAACATTTCATTTAGATCGGTCTGACCAATTGAGAGACATATTCATAAGAATCAACAACATTTCAATGAAATAGATCCGATTTATTGTTCAGTTGATCTTAAAAATAACACAATTAACAGTTGCACATTAATTAAAATATCCTCTATTCTTTGGTGAAATTTCACCGCTCTAATTCTCAGATCTATTTATTCTTAGACAGATACACTAGCTAAATTTCGATTTTTCCTGATACGATTTTGCAAATTTTCTCCATTTCCATGAGTCTAATTTTATGAAATATTTGGATTAGATAGAAATCATACATTAACACATTTTTCTTTTTTTCACTTTTAATTTTGAGAAAAATAAAGATACGCGGATTTTTTGTGGTACCATGTGAGTATTAAACAAATTTAAACAATATTCCAAAATATTGAAAAAATTCCACGGATAAGAATTTCACAAAAAAAAAATTGTTTTGGTAAAAACTACGCTAATTAAAGTTTGTTTGTACTCACCCTGTATTTTTCTGTCCGAAACATTCATATTAATTTTTTTACCTCTGTTTCCATTAATGCCTTATGCATTCTATTTTTGGAAAAAATCAAGTTTTGTTTTTTATAGAAACTAAAAAGTTGACCGGACACTCAGATGACCTGAAAGCGGCAGCGGAGCTTGTAAATCATTCAACTGCCAGCCTTGGTAAATTCCAGGCCAAGCTTAGTAAAAAGCTGGAGCAAGGAGCTAAACTAAAAGCTAAGAAGAGAAAGTTTGAGAGTAATACTGGAGACTCGGTTCATGAGAAGGAGAGAAACCTTGGGATCCTGGAGTCCATTAACAGCAAGAAATCCAAGCTCGACATGAACCACGCCATAGGAAAGAAGATCCATGAGGAGGATACAGAGAGATCGGAGGAGAAGAAGAATAGAAAACCAGCAAGAGGAGGAAAAGGGAAAGGAGGAAGGAAAGGAGGATCATCGTTTAGTTCCAGTGGAATGAAGGGACGAGGAGGAGGTGGAGGAAGGGGTGGTGGAGCTGGTAGAGGAGGTGCTAAGAGTAGAGGAGGAGGAGGTAGTGGAAGAGGTGGCAGAGGTTCTAAGAAATAAATTTTTTATCTTTCACAATTGTTTTATTTGTAGTTTCGAGAAACTAAATGTTTCACATTGTTCTATGTTGATTATAATAATTCGGCAGGAGAATTCTTACATAAAGTTAAATACGATATTTGATTTTTAAAAGTTCATCTTATTAAGAAACTATAAGAGGCATGGTTTAAACATAATTAATCTTAATGTGAATAGGTTTGCTATTTTATAAACGGTTCAGAATCTGTATCACACCGGGTGTGAACAATCTGTCAGTTAGGATTCGAGCGTTAGACATCTGGCGGGTGGTGTATTTTTCGACCTACACATATCCACCATACTCCACTTCTGACCTACGCCTAATCCGCTTTACTACACATCCGACCTACTAGCACGTGGTATTACAGCTGCTATATGGACTTGTGGCCGCAGCGCCCGGCCCCGTAGCCTGTCCTAGCCGCGGCGCTCGGCCCCCTAGCCGCTGCGCTCGGCCCAGAAATTGTCTTAACCTAACCTAACCCTCAAATAATACACTAAAATAAACAGCTGGCGTAGGTCCGACATTGCAGTAGGTCGGAAATTTAGTAGGTCAGAAGTTCAGTAGGGGGGATGTTGCATATAGACGATGTAACATTACCCATCTGGCGGCCTAATTATCATCCTCGTGTATTAATAAGGAGAGAACGGGCTTGGTGGATCAAATGCTGATTAATGTTTAATAGAAAGTAGATCGCCATTTGCCACAGGGAGTGTTGTACTTGAATTTGTTTCTTGTCAAGATTTTACTGGAAATAGTGTGAACTAGGAAGTCAGGTTAACTGGAACTTCGCTGAGGTTTCATTCAGACTGGCTAGGTCCGAGGCGGCGTGAAGAAGCAAGCGAAAACGCGCATATTAATTTTAAGTGAAAACAATCTAAATCGTACATTTCTGTCTCCTCAATTTTGACGTAATTTTCAGTGAATGACGCGAATTAAAAATGGCGGAACGAAGAATAGTTTGTGTATATGGTTCCGTAACGGGGAAAGCAGAAAGTATAGCTGAACAGCTGGTGGATACCGCTAAATCTAAGGGAGTCCAGGTACCCCCTTCAATTGTTCGTTATCCCTTAATAAAAGATGGTTAAGTACCCCTTTCTGTATGGTCCCTATTCCATAATTAAATCGTTGCTTACCCCAATTCTGAGTTGGGTGCAGGTACCCCATTCCAATATTAAATTTATGTCCGCAAATCGATAATTTTCTAGAGAACGATTTTTGGACCCCCCTCCACCTCCTATCAAATTTTGTATATGGTTATCATTGGTCATGTGGCCGTAGCGCCCGGCCCCCTCGCCTGTCCTAGCCGCGGTGCTCGGCTTCCTATCCTGTCCGAGCCGCAGCGCTCGGCCCCTAGTCGCTGCGCTCGGCCCAGAAATTGTCTTAAGCTAACCCCGAACTAGTTAAAAAGAAAGGTATTTAGTTAAAAAATTTGCAAGGTCTCTTTAAAACTGACCAAATAACGATTTAAAATCATGTACACAATTGATAGGAGGGGGGAGGGGGTCCAAAAATCTATACTGGACGGACCCCGCAAAAATTAAGGGGCCAGTCAAATCGGTCAATCATAAGGGGCTCAGGTACCCCCTTTCAGCGAAGTAATCTTTGTCCTTGAACCTGTAAGGGGTTCAGGTACCCTTTCTTCAATTTGAAATTTGTTGTACCGAAATCTGAAGGGCACAGAGTCCCCCTTCCAAGTATGCAATCGTTTCCCTAACTAAGCACCCCTCGGCTTTTACCCCTCCCTCGCACATCAATTTGTAAATGACTTCGGTTTTTTAAACAAGTTTGAATTTATCCATTTTCTGGTATATTCTAAGAGAACGATTTTTGGACCCCCCAGGCCCCACCCCCTCCTATCAATTTTTGTACATGGATCTTATATGTTAGACAAGGATATAATTGACCATGTGGTCGCAGCGCTCGGCCCCCTAGCCTGTCCTAGCCGCAGCGCTCGGCCCAGAAAGTGTCTTAACTAACCTAACCCGCATCCGCAGCGCTCGGCCCTCTAGCCTATCCTAGAAGCAGCGCTCGGCCCAGAAAGTATCTTAACCTAACCTTACCGTAAATAATAATATTTAAATTCTAATTTACTAATTTCGTCATGTACAAAATTGATAGGACAGACCCCATTTTCTTACATTTATCAAACAATCAATTCTTAAAAATCTCAACTTTGTTTTCAGATCGAATTATATTCGTTTGCGAAGTTCGGAACAGAATGGAGTCTAGAGAATCTTGATATTCTGATTATTGTCAGCTCAACTACAGGAGATGGAGAACAACCAGAGGTGAGTTTTCTTTATTGAAATAGATAACTTTAGCACACTTATTATTTTAATTATTTATACTTTTAATTCATCGTTTATTCACGTCTCCGAGGAATGAACTGCAAAACTTTGGAATGGGTTGTTAAATTCTAAAAAGCACTGAATCTCTTTAAACATTCGGCTTGTTTATTTGTTAGTATCCAGTCACCCTCAAAACGGTTGAATTGATCGGGCTCAAATTATGCGTGGTTTAACTCGCATGACCTTTGGGAAGGTTGCTAGTTAAAGTCCCATGTGCAATAGTGCAAGTAAACTCTGCGCTTAGGCAAATAATTAGGATTCATATTATTTTTTACTCCAGTCGTTTCCGTAAAAACTAATTTTAAATCTTTTATGAACAGATTCTAACATTTTTTTTAGACGTTAACAAAATTTTGGAGAAAACTTCGGCCGCGTACCTTGCCTTCTGATCATCTGTCTCATGTTAGTTTCTCTATTCTTGGTTTAGGAGATACTAACTATAATCAGTTCTGTAACGGACCTAAAAATCTTCACAGACGACTGCGGGAGCTAGGTAAGATAGGAAATTCTAACTATTATCAGTTCTGTAACGGACCCAAGTATCTTAACAGACGACTGCAGGAGAGGTAAGATAGGAAATTCTAACTATAATCAGTTCTGTAACGGATCAGTATCTTAACAGACAACTGCGGTAGAGGTAAGATAGGAAATTCTATCTATAATCAGTTCTGTAACGGACCTAAGTATCTCAACAGACGACTGAGGGAGAGGTAAGATAAGAAATTCTAACTAAGTAAGTAAGTAAGTAATATTTATTGCACAATAAAATGTTAACATATTAAGGTGGCAGGAGATATACAATTTGCAGGATTGCGGTTTACAACGTAGATCTCATAGTACAGTCTTTAAAACAAATTATACATTAACAAGAAAATAATCCAATGGTAATTAATATATAACTATAATCAGTTCTGTAACGGACCTAAGTATCTTACCAGACGACTGTGGGAGCTAGGTGAGATAGTAAATTCTAACTATAGTCAGTTCTGTTACGGACCTAAGTATCTTAACAGACGACTGTGGGAGAGGTAAGATAAGAAATTCTAACTAAAATCAGTTCTGTAACGGACCTAAGTATCTCAACAGACGACTGCGGGAGTAACTAAAATCAGTTCTGTAACGGACCTAAGTATCTCAACAGACGACTGCGGGAGAGGTAAGATAAGAAATTCTAACTAAAATCAGTTCTGTAACGGACCTAAGTATCTCAACAGACGACTGCGGGAGCTAGGTAAAAAAAAAATAAACTACTAATGGAAGGACTTGATTTAAATCATTTTATTCTCTTCCGATTATGAAATCTTGATACAAATTAACGAATATCTTGATACGAGTCATGGAATCATTATACAAATCATGAAGTTTTATACAAATTATGGAATCATGCAGCGAATTATAGACTGGAGCTTAAAACGAACTAAGAATATGAATAGGAATCATAATCAGTAGATTTAGATTTGAATTAAAAATCTGATTCTGATCAGCTGTCAAGAAAGTGTCATAAGTCGGTGCGCCAGCAAACTCATATTTTACTTCATAAATCCATCATTTTTAAGTTTTCAACTCTATTGAGCCTCTAGACGGACAGTTCTAATTCTTTATTATCTACAGGAGGGAAAGAGTTCTACGCAGCAGGATGGGCAGATGATGGTATTGGATTAGGAAAGACTTAGTTATAAATATTTAAAGATAAATGTTTCCTTCTAAAAAAAATAATTTAAAATCATTTTTTTATTTTATCAAAAATCAACATGAGTAATATTTTCAGTTTCAAAGGAAATTCAGAGATCAAAACATTCTGTACCGTAGATCCAGGGATTAAGCTCTTTTTTAAGTTTGATCTTTGATTGTTATAACATAGTTCCTGTATCTAGAGCTAGTCGTTGAACCTTGGCTTGAAGGTCTCTGGCCTAAACTTGATCGGCTTATTAAGGAAACTTCAGACAAATAAATAGAAACCCATAATTTATATTTTTTTTTGTCTAAAACCCGTAAACATTTTTAATTTAACGAGTCTGAAGAATTAATTGTCCAGGGTGAATCAGATCAATTGTCTGGTCAAGTATCCGGTCAAGTATCTGGTCAAGTATCCGGTCAAGTATCTGGTCAAGTATCCGGTCAAGTAACCGGTAAAGCATCCGGTCAAGTATCCGCAAATATGTCGGTCAACTTCGCCTATATGAAGGAACCGGAGGATATTAAACTAGATGTTCTAGTACTCTCCGAGCCTAGTAAATCAGATGCTCCGGAGCCGGAGCTGAATGTTCCGACCCTCCTCTTCTCGGAGAAACTATCTGGAGAAAAACTAGATCTGCCTGCGGTTCCTCCAAGGTTAGAATTTTATGTGAAATCATAATTATTTTGGTAGGATGAACAAAAGTTGTTGATAATATTAACTTTTTGTAGAGTTGATTAGTGGGATGGGGTTTTGATGGTGAAGTGTATTTTTTAAACTACAAAATAAACATCTTTTATAGTTTTTTTTTTCAAAATATGTTGGTACGTTACAAACAGAGTTCAATTAAATGAACAAAATGTAATTAATGTTTAGGTTTATTGAAGTTGAGTTTATAGATTCAGTTAACTCCGATTCATCCATTCATCAGAATAATATGAAACTTCCGTTCTCCACCCAACCATTACAATCCGCCAGGATTGTATCAAACCGTCCGCTCTCTTCTCCTAATGCTGTGAAAACCTACATGGAGCTTGAGTTGGAACCTGACAATTGGTTCGAATATCAGCCCGGAGATTCTTTGGGTTTGGTTTGTAACAACTCAGAAACAGAAGTACTTGAATTATCCCGTATCTTGGGTCTAGAGTCTAGATTAAACTCGTCTTGTTCTATATCTGTCATGAAAGAGACCAAGAAGGCCAGAGCTAAAATTCCAGAGTTTGTGTCAAGTCCAACCGGGTTCAAATCCCTGCTCGAGTCAAGTCTAGATATCCGTTCCGTTCCCAAGAAATTATTTCTCCGTTCTTTATCAGAGTTTACGTCAAACCCGGAGCATAAAAGAAGAATTGAAGAACTTTGTAGTAAACAGGTAAAGGGCATTTAATATTGCAAATTTATTATCAATGTTATAATAATTTACAAATAAATTATCTTTTTGTCAGGGATCTGAAGAATATATGAAACTTGTGGTTGAACCTAAACTTGGACTCTTAGATTTCCTTCAAGCTTTCTCCTCCTGCTGCCCGCCCCTATCCTTGCTCATAGAACACTTACCCCGCCTTCTCCCAAGATATTATTCCTTCTCCTCCTCTCCAACCAGGCAGGACAAATGGATGAGTTTTTTATACACTGTAGTTGAACGCCCCCGGCCTGGACTATCAACTAGTTGGATGAGAACCTTGAACCCAGGAGATAGTTTGCGGATTTATCCCAGAACAAGTTCCGGATTTCATCCTCCGGAGAACCAGACCCAACCCTACATCATGGTTTGCGCAGGAAGTGGTTTGGGACCTTTTCTAGGGTTTCTTGAGCAAAGAGAAACTTTAAACCCTCCGAAAAGCAAGGCTTGGTTGTTTTTTGGTTGTAGGAACAAAGAGAAGGACTTCCTCCACGGGGAGAAACTTCTCCGGTATGAGAAGGACGGGATACTATCCAACCTAACCGTCGCCTTCTCCCGGGACAGTACTGAGAACGGAGTGAAGTATGTCCAGGATGCCCTGGAGAAGAATGGATCTGTGGTTGGGAAGCTTCTGTTAGAGGAGAATGCTGTAGTTTACGTGTGCGGAGACGCCAAGGATATGGGGAAAAGTGTGTACAACGCTTTTTCACGAATTCTCGACGCTTCTGGTTCCGACGGAGCTAAGTATTTATTACAAATGACGTCAGAGAAACGATATAAACAAGATCTTTGGACGTAAACAAATATCAAAACCTAGCTAAATGGTGCTATTTTATACAATTTATAAATTTACATTTTTATACTTCACGATTTATTGTTTGAACCACTAGAGATATTCTTTTATAAATTTATATTGTTTGTTTTCAGAAATAATGTTTTAGAGATTGTAGTATTGGTGAAAGGTTAAATATGTCTCCTTATCCTCTGGAAAGTCTTCATCCAGGTCACTAAACCCTATTTTTTCCTCTTTAAAGGACTAGACGTTATTTCTAGAGACATTCCAATTGCAGAACGGCATGTCCGATGTACAACGGTGCCATTTATTCTTTGGAAACTGTTGGTGAATCCCCATGTTTTTGATTTGATTTGATTTGATTTGATTTGATTTGATTTGATTTGATTTGATTTGATTTGATTTGATTTGATTTGATTTGATTTGTTATCCTTTATTTTTACAGATTGAAATAGAGTGCTGTCTGTGTGGGTATGAAATGTGTATACTCGGTTTTGAATTTGAAAATTAAGGATAACTCTGTAATCGATGATCAGACAAAGGTTGTTGTGAATCGGACATGCCATTCAATTATGTCTGGACAGTCTACAGTCTCTCTCAACGATTTAATGTTTAATTACGTAATTAATTTTTCTCCTAATTTTCCCATGTTCTTATATTTGTACACTGTTTCCAATTATATATATAATTATAATTATATAATAATAATTATATATAATAATAATAATTATATATATAATAATAATAATAATATATATTTATAATTATAAATATTTATTTTCTGTGATTTTGATAAAGCGTAAGTTAGAAATGCACATGTAATATTATATTTGCTTGTTTTTTTATACTTTAAGTTATGTTTTTGGACTGTTTTCTATCCTTGTTTTTCATTTACTAGATAAAATGAAGGTTCTGTAGGTTTGATATTTATTTTACAAGTTCGTATCTGTCAACGAGCTCGGGTAATTATCTGAACTCCAGGACGTCCGTCAAGCATCTGGGACAAGCAGAATATGTTAGGGGAGGATATAGAGAATATGGAGATCAGGTCACACAGGAAGAACATGGAGAACATAGAGAATAATGAGAACATGGAGGACAAAGAGAACCTGGAGAACAACGATATCATTGATGAAATGGAATACAGTAAACACATGGAGCATAGAGAAATTATGGAGCTTAGGGAGAAAGTGGTGCGTAGGGAGAACATGGAGTTTATGGAGCACAAAGAAAACAGGATTAAAAGGGATAACATGGAGCTCAATAGAAACATTGAGATTGAAGATCGGAATGCTGATGTTTTTGTAAACGTAGAAAGGGATGAAGAACCTGAGTTCTGGTCTGAACAAGATCAAACTGGAGATAAAGGATTAGAAAACCAAGGAAAAGAAGCAAGTGGAGAAGAAAATACGAGAAATATATCTGTTAATACCTCTGCACTGATCAGCAAGAGATCTAACCTAGTGGATATTCTGATAGATAAACTGAACAACATTCACACCAAAAGTTTGGATTTAATCAAGGCACAAATATTCGTTATGCTTTTCTCTGTTAAAAATAATAAAATAAAAGTGAGCTAATAATTTCAATGTATTTTTTATAGCCTTTTTTAACACTAGTCAAAAAATTTAAACTTTAAGTTTTTTGGCCTTAGAAATTTAGATATTAAGAGAGACTAGATATAAAGAATTTCAAGTAAAATATGAGTTTCGAAATATAATGTTGGAGGAGTTTGGAGAGAGGAGAAATGAGGAAACTCCAATTAATGCTGTTAGACAGGAGTTTATCCGTTCTCTGAGATCCCTAAAGCATGAAGATGTTCTGGTGCAAACACGGAGAGAGATATTGCTCCAGGTGGATGATAACCCTGACTCAGTTCTAGCAGAGGACCTGGATATTCAACAGAAGAAGAGAACACTTCTCAACCTAGGCAAAGGACAGATGGGGGCGGGTTAGTTAATGTAAAGAATATTCTTTTTATATGTCTATTTTTAAAAGCAAAGTGAGTGATTGTATTGGCTGTCCCTAGCTGAGATAGAGAAAGGTCTCCTCTTGGAGAAGATAAATGAACTGGAGGAAGAACTACCGGAACTAGAGAGACGGATATTACTAGACAAGTATCAGGAAGGGAACCGACATAGCACACATTCGGTAGAAATTGACGAGCTTGAGAATATGTTCAGGAATGGCGCATTTTCTTTAATAGTTTTAACAAGAATCTATATTTTATTATCACAAACATCCTCCATAAGATTTAATATTCCGGTTTCATTGAATTTTGCAGAAAGAAAAATGTTATTCAAACTTCTGGTTAACTTATGTTTATCGTTTATTTGACAAAAACAAGATCAACACAAATATTTTCATATTTTTAAATCAAGATACATTTTGGACCGAAGGTGATTTTATGTATTACCAAAAATAAATGTAAAATTTAAAGTCAAGCCTCCGACAAAAGTTCAAGCTTGAACCGGATATTTGAGAGCGGTTTACTCCGAACCCTCGAACTCCAGAAACTGGATGAATTTGTCTCCGCTCAGTATTTAGAGCTGAGGAAGGAGAACTTGGAGCTAAGATCTCGGTTGGCTAACCTAGAGGAACAGTTGCAAGAGCAGAGTAACCTAGAGGAACAGTTGCAAGAGCAGAGTAACGAGGGAGATTTCGTAGCTCCGAAACCAGAGACATTAGGTTGATGTTAGAAATCAGAATTTTGGGAAATCAATTATTTTTAACAAACAAAAATTTGAAAAATTAAATTGGGGGGGGTATAGAAACAAAGAAATATCAAGTTTTATTCCACGCGTGTTTAAAGCTATTATCAGAAAGGGTTGTTGGCTTCGTATTATTTTTGAAGGTTTTCCATGTTATTATGAAACTCTTGATTCCTATCCTAAACAGTAGATGATAACGAGGAAGACGACTCCGAGGTTTCTGTGCTACTGGAGAAACTAGAGAACCTTGACTCCTACTACCAAACCATACTTCAAGATGCAAACCTTACTCTATCCAACCTGAAATCCTTGAGCCTGGATCTAGGTTCTACCAATGATAATACTGAACTGGAAGCCAGAACGGGAGAACTGATGAGAACCCGGAGAGAAGTTGCGGAGGAACGGATAGAACTAGAGGATTGGATTGCGCAGAAGAGGGTTTACTTGCTCCAGAGACGGAATGAACTGAGTTCTAATATCTCCGATATGAATTCAGAAATCGCAGATTTTCGTCGTTCAATTCAGAGAGATTAACTAGTTGTGCAGACAAACTTATTATAAGAATCTAGTCTAAATTATCGATGTGTTTATTGTAACCAAGGTTGTAAGATAAGGTTGGTGGATGCGCTCCAATACACTAGAAATGTCGTCTTCTGGCAATGGACTCTTAAAAATCTTCAAATGACGTAACTGATTATTTGGACTCTCACCAACTATGTTGTCACTTCATCTCCCGCCAATAATCAGTTAAGTCATATGAGGATTTGAGTGTCCATTGCTACGAAGACGATATTTCAACCAAAGTGGAGACACACCTAGATTATCTAACCTTATTATACAACCTCCATTGTAACCTTGTTGTAAACAAAACCTAAAATTATCCGTTCCATGAATTTGTATTAAATAATATTTAGGTGGAATGATGATGGAAACTCATCAGCAACCCCACCATCAACCCGGCCAGGTCTCCCTATCCGTCCTCATCGATATGTTCATCCAGAGAACCTACCACGAGCTCACTATCCTGGCGGAGCTCCTCCCCCGGAAGACTGATATGGAGCGGAAGGTTGAAATATTTAATTTCGCGAGCAGGACGCGGATGCTTTTTATTCGGCTTCTCGCGCTCGTTAAATGGGCGTCCAGTGCATCAAAGGTAAAAATTAAATTAAATAAAATTAATACCAGTGCTTAGGATCCGCAAGATTTTGGCTTCCTGGATCCGGAACCAAGGGGTAAAATATCAACCAAAAACTGCTAAAAAAACTTTTACTCCTTAAACCCAAATCTGAAATTTTGAAAAAGGAGAGATAATAAATCCGGATTCGTTCTTTTCCAGCGTGGATCCAGGATCCGGATCCGCATCAAAATTAAATGGATCCTAAGCAGTGCTTAAAACCTTGTTGTTAAACTAGGCGGTAAACTATTTGTAAACGAAAAAATATCAATTGGAAGATTTTGAACGGAATAAGTTCAACTGATTTTCTCTGCACTAGAAAAAATGTCATTCATTTAAAAGTTTCCAGCTCAATGCAAGATTTTTTCTTCATTTGTGTCGATCTTTTAAGTATATTACGATCCTAGATTGTTGGAGAAACATTAATGAAAACTTCGTTTAAACTATTAGATTATTATTTTTACTTTTTATTCTTGACTTGAAGCGTCCATCTTCGAATCAAACTTTTAATTGTTACTCTTTTTAACATTAGTGGATTTAGAAAAATCGATTTTTTCAGTGCAAATTTTTATCATCCATAAACCTTTCCTTGGGTCATGTGAGTTGCCTCAAAAATGTTGGGCTCGATTTTTTTAGCCGTTTCTGGGGTGTATATTTTTCTGAATTTCACCCCTGAAACAGCTGAATATATTTATTATTTAATAATATTTTCCCTGAAAAATCATTTATTTTCCCTAAAAAATCATTTATTTCCCTGAAAAATCATTTATTTTCCCTAAAAAATCATTTATTTCCCTGAAAAAATAATTTATTATTCTGAAAAATCATTTATTTTCCCTGAAAAACCATTTATTTTCCTTAATTCAGCGGGAACCTTGTAAACCTTCTGGGGGAAATAAATGCTTTTCCAAAAGGGAGAAGTGATTTTTAGGATAATATACACCCCTTAATCGTTTTGACATGTATTGGATATAGAGAACACTAGCGGACAAGCAAAGTACATAAATAATAATGATAAATTTTCTAATTAAGGTGGACAAATGCAACAACATCATGATGTTTCTTGAGAAACAATCCTCTATATTCCTTGACACAGCTGACCAGCTGGCTAGGATGGCGCGTGAAACCCTGGTCCGTGCTACACTTCCTAACTTTCATCTACCGGCAGCAGCAGAAATACTTACCACAGGTTTCTAAAATCATTTTTTTTTTGGACTGATCGCCAATTTTAAAATTTTTTTTTTAATGAAACCTTAAACAGACCTTAGGATCCGGATCCGCAAAAATATGTGGACCCAAGAGGCAAAATACCTCCAAAACCTGCTAAAATAAACCTTTTTTTGCTTTCAAAACAGAAATATTAACTGTTTGCTGATTAGAGATTTTTTAAACTTCCTAATCTCTAAATAGTAAAAAAAAAGTAAAAAGAAAATAATTTAAATTGTTTTCTTACAGTTTAATAATCAGTAAATCTTCTAGAAATGTTTATGATCTGGATCCGGATCCATCGTTTTTCAGGCCGGATATAGGATCCAGATTCATCGTTTTTCAGGCCGGATATAGGATCCGGATCCATCGTTTTTTGGCCGGATATAGGATCCGGATCCATCGTATTTTAGGCCGGATATGATCCGGATCTGCTTCAAAATTAAATGAATCCTATGCACTGTAAACAAAAGTTTGTTGTTGAAAGCAATGATGTTTAAGTTATTGTGTTTAGGTGGGTACACTAGATTACCCCGGTGTATTAAAGAACGTATAATTCCTCCGCCTCCAATCTCCGCCCTGGAGAAACGATTAACCCTGCTGAAACTGAACCAGGTTATTGAGTACAGACTCGTCAATTCAGCTGTACCATTACAGATGCGCAATCTAAAGGTTAGGATTTTATTCTTCAATATGGAATGATTTTTTATGTTTATGCGATTAAAATGAAAAATTTTCGATTGGCAAGAGTTTCCATCTTATTTGATACTTATTACTCATTTACAGTATAATCCAAAACTTTGATGCCAACAGAAGATTTTTTAAAATATCGTCTTGACAATTTTCTGTTGGTTTTTAATTATTATACCTGAAACTCAGTAATTGTAAAATAAATAAATAGCCATGAAATGTTTAAAAAAGCTCCATATAGCTATTCAATTAAAAAATTAAATATCTGCAGCATTTCATTATCAGTATGTTTAGAAATCGACATTTTATAAATTCTTTCGATTTCTCCGAAGTTCAGGGTTAAACTGTATTACCCAATTCATCAAACAAATCTGAAATATCTGGAGGGAAATATTTTCAAGAAAACATATACTCAAATCTTATACCTAAGGGAGGATGTGAAGTGGATAACTGATGAGCAACTATTCTATTAATTGAAATGAAGTTTTCTATCCAATTTTTTTTTAAAAAAAAAGTAGATCTAAAAAATTCAGTTTTCGTAAAAAACTTTATTAGCTTTAACTTTTATATTCTCCAGGTTGCTGATGGAACTGTAACCTTCACAGTGAAGAATGAGTTTGAGAGTCGTCTAACCCTCCTCGGAGACGGACCTAACGAGTCCTGGCATCTTCTCAATGTTGAGATGCTGGTTGAAGACCGGGAAACTGGACAGGGGAAATCCTTAGTTCATTCTCTCCAGGTTGGATATGTTCAGAACCTGCTCCAGTCTAGATTAGAGTCTAAGGAGACTCCTAAACCTCTGCATGATCTTTACAATGTTCTACACGGGTTGGCCCAGCTTCTCCAACTAGAGGTACTCTACAACCAGACCATGAGACTCTACGCAGAACGGTTGGGAGATTATATCAGGGTAGAGGAGTATATACTAGGGAGAGCGCTAACGGTTTCCTACTGGAGAGAATTATCATCCAAGGATCCGAACCTGGATCAGGGACATAGGCTGTCAGTCCAGGTTGATCCACATGATCCCGCTAAACCGCTCATCGTTGTTCATACTCCCTCTCTAACTAATAAAGAAGCTGAGACAGCGGAGAAAAGTATCAGAACTGAACATCTCTCCGTAGAGTCACTCCTTGTACACACCATATATGTGAGAACGCGAGCAAGGTTGACAGATCTCAAGAACGAGGTTCAGCAAAGATTAGGTTTGGGAGATGTAGAGGCGACGTTACATGGATCTCCTGCAGTTTTGGCAATACCAATTCTTCAACCCTGTCTCAGGGCGGAGCAGTTACTCATCTCAGTGGATACTCACACAGGAATATTCCTGGCTCATGTTCCTCAGTATCCAACCAATCCTTACTCTCCGCAGATACAAACCAGTCTTAACGGAGATAAGGTTCAGCTTGAAGCTCAGGTATCAGAACTCCGGTATTGGATTACCGCCAGAAGAATTGAAAAGACGCTTCAACAGCTCCCAGCGACTCCATTCGAACAGCTACCTTTGACCTATGACCTGAAAACTCATCCTCTCTCTAAGATGGGTCGACACAAGATGTTCGTCCGACTGCACAAACAACCCTCGGCTATCCTAGTGGTCGATTACAGTGAGAAACCTGGCAAAGAATGCGAGATCCAGTATAATTATTATTATCTTCTAACCCGTCCTTGTAGTATTGAAGACGACCCTGAGGATGAAACTGTGGTGAAGGAGATACCTAGAGTTTACATGAAAGCTCTGGGTATGATTGAGTTCAACTCTTTCCTTGTAACTCACGGAAGTACAACTAGGGTTGATGTACAAGAGCTGAGTGAGAAGATTATAGGAAAGAGAAAACCTGGAGGTAAAGTAGAAGCTCCGATAAAGAGAACCAAGTTCCCGGCATACTTCCTCTCCGACCTTGCTCACGTTGTATCGTTTGCTGACGAGAGAATACCGTTTACCGCACTGGAAGCTCACATGACCAATCATGGAATTCTTCACTCCGGGATCAGTGTTGAACCTACAGCTGTAGGTCTTTATCTCACAATTATTAGGTTTCCCAAGGTTCCAAACCTGCCTGAGAAAGATAGTTTAGAGTTTATGAAACAGTTGATATCCGCCACAGTTCGGAGGAAGGGATCAGGTTGGATGCTAGAATGGGTTTTCCACGGCTCACCCTTTGACTCCAACTTCCAGAAAGATAGATATCCCATATATTCAAACTTCGAGCTTGAAACTGTCGGAGATTCTGATAAAACTGTAAAAGGTATTCTAGCTGAGTGGAGCTCTATGGTTCATCTTTATATTCTTGCCAAGAAGTTCAATCGTTATCTCCAGATGCGACACAATGGTCTAAACAGTAGAATAGTTGTTAAACAGTACAACTATAAAACATTAACCCTTGAGTACGGTCCTCAATGTATGTATTCTGTAACAGTATCCTGGAGAAAGGTGGAGGAGAGGTTTTCGTTGATCTTTGATAGCTCCGGACCTTCTCTCTCTGTGAACCCGCACACATTGATGAAGAACCAGTACGAGATCCAACTAAACCAGGAGAAGAATCTAGCTCTTATCTGTAAGATCCTACTGGAGACTCTCAACGCTTGTCGGAGTATCAGTCGTCTGCCCTCTACTGTATTCAGGGGGATGAGTATGATACATAGGAACGCTACCCATCAAACCTTCTCCGTTCTTCCTCAATCTACAACCCACGTCAAGATATTGTTCTATGGTAAATATTGTGTAGATCTATATATGAGAGAGGAGGGGTTGGTCTCCGTCCGGGACGGAGCTTACTCCTTGTTTGATCAAACCAAAGTTCTTGAGGAACTACAACCCATTCCTGGGTTTAAAGCGTTCCTTTCTAAATATGTGGACGAAGCAGCATTCTCCCGGCGCACCTCACAGACGGAAGACGACAATCCTCCGTCTCCCCTCGCCATGGACGACATGCCTAGATCCGACGGGAAGTTTACTGCTCCAGGTTCTTCCGGAAACTCATTAAATCCTGTTTCTCCGCACTCAACCTTTCTCCAATCTCCGCCTAGTAATCTCCGACAACCGAGCCCTGCAGTTCCTTCTCCTGCCAACCCTGCTGGATCTCCTTACCCTAGTGCTGCGTCTCCGCTCGGTTCTCCAAGATCTAAACCTTCTCCGAGGTATGCCGGAGCTTCTCCTAAATCTGTTGGTCATAGTGCCAGCTTTCATCATGCTCAAACTAGAATTCTTCCTCCTAGATTATGGGCTGCTGCTATCCCCACTGTTCTAACCACCAAAGCATTCGACGACATATGTCGACCGTCAAACCTAATGTCAAACAACTTGTCGACAGTGTCGCCTCTACACAGGTTCCTAGGCTGTGTGTTTATGCGCCGACAGCTGCAGCATATAATTAAGAACGAAGATTTTCTTACTCTCATGTCTACTCCTGGAGAACCTAGTGTCATAGCGTTCAGGGTTGAGTCCCTGGTGTGTAAGGTTTCTATTAACCAGGAGAATTCATTCCAATCTCTTCATCTGAAAATACTGCCAGATGATCCGAGTTACTGGCAACCCGAGCAACTACAGATTCTACAGAAATTCTTCGATACAAAGGTAAATATTATTCAACTGTCAATTTTATTATTTTTATCAAGGATGAATTCATGTTTCTTTCTTCAACTCAACTTTTTTCCTTATCTCCACTAGTTCCTTTTGTACCCGCTTGGATATTAAATTGAAATGTTTCGATGAATAAAACAAGAAGTTTCACAGTTTTCAGTACTTCACTCATTTAAACTTTTTTAAAAATATTTTTTATTTTCTTATTAACTGATAATTTTTTTAATCTATGAATCTTGAAAATAATTTTTAGCTGAACAATATCTTTTTTCTAGATCTAATTCTTCTTAATTATTGATATTTGATGAATAAATGCTGATGTCGGAGACATATTGGAATTTGGTTTCAAATTTATTGACAATTGTTGTATCTCCTCCCTACCGTCCTAACACTATAGTCGGGTTCTAATCTCCTGAAAAAAATGTTAATTTCTAGGTTGTGTCTCCTCCCTACCGTCCTAACACTATAGTCGGGTTCTAATCTCCTGAATAAAATATTAAATTCTAGGTTGTTTCTCCTCCCTACCGTCCCAACACTATAGTCGGGTTCTTATCTCCTGAATAAAATGTTAATTTCTAGGTTGTGTCTCCTCCCTACCGTCCCAACACTATAGTCGGGTTCTTATCTCCTGAATAAAATGTTAATTTCTAGGTTGTGTCTCCTCCCTACCGTCCCAACACTATAGTCGGGTTCTAATCTGAATAAAATATTAAATTCTAGGTTGTATCTCCTCCCTACCGTCCTAACACTATAGTCGGGTTCTAATCTGAATAAAATATTAAATTCTAGGTTGTATCTCCTCCCTACCGTCCCAACACTATAGTCGGGTTCTGCCGCCTACTCCACTGTCCCTCGGATACTCTCAAGAATATCGTCCAGTTAATGAGGTTTGAGGTCCAACCAGAGCTGGTTACACAGAACAACCTCAAGTGGAGTATATCCCTCTGCTTGACAATACCTCCCCTGGCCCCTAATATGTTCCCTGTAGGTCAAGCAGGGATCATAGGGAACAAGGAGAAGATTCTTATATTCATGCATTTAACACGGGCAAACCTACCTCCGGGGCAGGTAATACATTTGATTAGTTAATTATATTCCCTCCATCAACTTTTCTTTTTCTTTTAGCTCCCCCCTTTTTCTTCACTTTTCATTTTCTCTCAACCTCCCCCTTTCTCTCTTTACTAGCTCAAATTTCCACCTTCCCTAACTTCTCTCTTTCAATTGCTTTAAATCTAAACCAAATTTCATAGTCATTGTCAAGATTGAGTCTTAGTCGTTAAACCTTGTTTTAATTACTAACGTTGAAAAAAAACCAACTTTTAAAGGGAGTGTTCGCGAAAAATAATCGCTTTCGATGGCTACTAATCTTACTTCTATCTGTTGCGTCTATAAGGAGTAAATTTTTAAAAACGATTTATACTGAAGAACGTAGCGTCCATACAAATTCAGAAAATTGCAATATAAGACTCCGTATAAAATCAATTTAATTTCAAACAAATCATTCAGATATTACAAGTTTACAACCTATAATCATCGATTATTTTTCGACGCATTTGTATGTAGTTAATATTTCATAATATTTTTTATTTGTTTTGTATACATTGCATTTAAAACGCCGAAATAGTTGGCCGCTAGGTGTCTCTGCTCTCGATGCTTTGAATGATTACACATGGCAGACACTTAGTGGAAAAAGCGACGTTTTAAATAAAACAAATAACAAATATTACAGTACAAACTTCGACAAATTAACTTTATATGAATGCTTCGAAAAATAATCGATGACTATTGGTTGTAATATCTGAATGATTTCTTCGAAATTAAATTGCTTTTTTTACGATCCGAGTCTTATATTGCAACTTTCTGAATTTGTATGGACGCCACGTTCTTCAGTATAAGTCGTTTTTAACAATTTTCTCCTTAAAGACGCAACAGTTTGAAGTAAGATTAGCAGCAATCAAAAGCCATAATTTTTCGTCGTAAGCATATACCCCCTTTCATTTTTCGCGAACACTCCCTTTAAACATTTTGTAAAAATTGTAATTTTCATAATTTTTCTATTAACTTTTAAAATGGCCGTCAATTTTATAGTAATAATACACTTATAGTTTCTATTTATATAGGAGAGTGTAAGTATTGTAGTTCCTGTAGTTTACAATATTACTGTAAACCAGACTAGCCTGGCATCTCTACAGAAGGAGCTAAACAATCCTGCTCTACACGCTGTTCAGCAACATTTATCCAGATGGGCAACTGCAAATATGGCAGTACCAGGTATACATTGTTCAGAAGGATAGTGGGGGATTTTCTTTAACTTCATAAAGAATTCATTCCCAACCTTGCAGGGTCTACAGGCAAGTTTTTGCTAGCTTTTTCCACGTGTTATTTATCAGTGATCAGTGAATGACCGGTTAAAACTATATTGACAATGATAACTGTTAAGGTCGGTGTTCTATTCTTCCCGCTATCCATGATCTGCTGGTTAACTTGACTCTACCCAACGAACCACCAGGATTTCCTATGGGAGGACCTGGAGTACCTGGAGTACCTGGAGGAGCAGGAGCTCCACCAATGATGTCAACTTCAAACAGTTTAGGACACATGCCGCTATCCTGATCCAGATTATACCACTAGATTATCTAGTGTTCCTAGTACTCCAAATAGTAATATTATACTACGAGATCTTCTAGTGTTCCTTGTACTGCAGTAGTTTAATTATACCACTAGATTATCTAGTGTTCCCAGTACTGCAGTAGTACAGTTATACTGCTAGATCCTTTAGTGTTCCTAGTACTCCAGTAGTACTATTATACTGCTAGATTATAAAATGTTCCTTGTACTGAAGACAGTATGATTTTAGTCGAGGCAATTTAGGGCCCATTTGAAGCCCTATTGTTACTTTACATTACGGAGAAACGGACTAATTGCATTAGTTGTATTTAAAGTACTATTTGTACTTTATTCTAGTGTACTTAATACTAAATAGTAGTACTGAATGGATGTACTGATAACGGGAAAAATTAGGAATTGGAAATTTTCTTTGTTAACATTCATGTTGAAGAATATTGACAACTTAAATTTCTTATTTTGAACCTGAACTATTTGTAAATATGTATATTATGATAAGCTCTATTCTTCATATATTTATTTGTTTGATTCTGTGGGTGGAAATGTTCACTTAAATATATTACAATTCTAAACCCTGTTGGAAATCGTAGAAATCTCAAAGTTTATAAACAACACAGACATGTAGGTTTTAACTTGTGTCTGCCTAAATTCAAATCTAGTTTTCCGGTTTTTTGTTACTGAATTTTTAAAGCAAGATATTTAGAAAAGTTTTAAAAAATTGAATACTTTAAAGTATTTTTTAATGTAAGTATGAGTTTTATTGAGACTGGAATAGGATGAAGAGGATCTAAGATTGGAATAGGATGGAGAGGATCTAACAATAGAATAGGATGGAGAGGATCTAAGACTGGAATAGGATGGAGAGAATCTAAGACTGGAATAGGATGGAGAGGATCTAAGACTGGAATAGGATGGAGAGGATCTAACAATAGAATAGGATGGAGAGGATCTATGACTGGAATAGGATGGAGAGAATCTAAGACTGGAATAGGATGGATAGGATCTAAGACTGGAATAGGATGGAGAGGATCTAAGACTGGAATAGGATGGAGAGGATGTAAGACGAATAGGATGGAGAGGATCTAACAATAGAATACAATGGAGAGGATCTAACACTGGAATAGGATGGAGAGGATCTAACACTTGAATAGGATGGAGAGGATCTAACACTGGAATAGGATGGAGAGGATCTAAGACTGGAATAGGATGGAGAGGATCTAAGAATGGAATAGGATGGAGAGGATCTAACAATGGAATAGGATGGAGAGGATCTAACAATGGAATAGGATGGAGAGGATCTAAGACTGGAATAGGATGGAGAGGATCTAACAATAGAATAGGATGGAGAGGATCTAAGACTGGAATAGGATGGAGAGGATCCAATACTGGAATAGGATGGAGAGGATCTAACAATAGAATAGGATCGAGAGGATCTAAGACTGGAATAGGATGGAGAGGACCTAAGACTGGAATAGGATGGAGAGGATCTAAGACTGGAATAGGATGGAGAGGACCTAAGACTAGAATATGATAAAGATTCAATTCAGCATTTTCTTTCAGGAAGAAAGTGAAAATAATCCATTTTTGTCCCCAATAGTTTTTAAAATATCAAAAGAAATACAGTTTTACTTATGTAGTTTCCAGTCAAGCTTCTGACAGCTTGGACTACAGTATCATCTCAGCTTACACCTGGTGCATTGCTTGAACTTAAAGTTAACACTGTAGACTACTCTGCTGAAAGATACGTCTTTACTGAAGAGAAAACTGTTCTCATAAACACTCAGAATCCTTTGCCGAGTCAGCTAAGCACATTCAGGTAGGTGCTCCCAATACTCTGGGCTGTAGAGCCATGACACGGGTGTTTCTTCAATCCTGACTCCAGGGTAAAGGATAAAACTGTAGACAAACCCTGATTCATCTCTACCGAAGGGAAGTGCAGGTGTTCCCAATACTCTCAACATCATGTTCACAGTGATACATTGTCTGATCATGGTGCAGTCTCTGTAAATATCCTTGATCAAATACAGCCTTAGCATCCATCGTTACTCCAGGATCTATCCTAGCTACAGTATTATCCTTTTCATTGTAGATATCAGCCTTCTGTGGCCGAATTTAAAGAATTTGAGCGGCGGTTTAAATTTGCGCCGCGGTTTCTTTATTGTTGGTTCCTTTTGTACTTTTTTCAGTTTTTTCAAGCTTTTTTCCGGGTTTTGTTGGATTTAAACCGCGGCTCAAATTCTTTAAATTCGGCCACAGGAGGCTGATCTCTACAATGAGGAGGATAATACTGTAGCTAGGATAGATCCTGGAGTAAGGATGGATGCTAAGGCTGTGTTTGGTCAAGGATATTTACAGAGACTGCACTATGATCAGACAATGTATCACTGTGAACATGATGTTGAGAGTATTGGGAACACCTGCACTTCCCTTCGGTAGAGATGAATCAGGGTTTGTCTACAGTTTTATCCTTTACCCTGGAGTCAGGATTGAAGAAACACCCGTGTCATGGCTCTACAGCCCAGAGTATTGGGAGCACCTACCTGAATGTGCTTAGCTGACTCGGCAAAGGATTCTGAGTGTTTATGAGAACAGTTTTCTCTTCAGTAAAGACGTATCTTTCAGCAGAGTAGTCTACAGTGTTAACTTTAAGTTCAAGCAATGCACCAGGTGTAAGCTGAGATGATACTGTAGTCCAAGCTGTCAGAAGCTTGACTGGAAACTACATAAGTAAAACTGTATTTCTTTTGATATTTTAAAAACTATTGGGGACAAAAATGGATTATTTTCACTTTCTTCCTGAAAGAAAATTCTGAATTGAATCTTTATCATATTCTAGTCTTAGGTCCTCTCCATCCTATTCCAGTCTTAAGATAATAATCTATCTCCTCCACGCCCTGGAGACCACATAACCCGTGAATCTTACAAATAGTAAAAGAGACTATATTAAATCAACATTATTTTCTCAGTTGAGTTTTGTTAATAGAAAGAAATACAACAAGAATATAATTCAAGTTACAAAGGGGTTTTTATTAAATTGTTAGTGAGTTGACTATGACTAGGCCCAGGACTAACTTATGTACAGTTTTACAGGTATTTATATAGTCAAGAACATCTGGCAAAAATGGTTTAACATTTATTAGAAAACTGGCATACATTCCTAGGATGAAACATTCTGACATTTACTTAGATAAGACAAGATAAAGTTTATTGCTACAAGTTGATGATTATAGTAACAGTACAAGTATAAAGCAATTGGGTGGAAAATAGCTTTTGCCTGTTTTGATTATTTTTTCCACCCAATTTTAAGAATAATTACAATACATTTCTCCAGACATTGATCACAGTGTGCTGGATATACTGGACATTTAACCACTATGGTTCATTGAATTAATTTATCAAATAACAAAGGTTCTAATCCGGTTCAGATTAAACCGCATACCATCAGCTCTAGTTTTCATTCGTGAAAAGAAGTCCGAGTAAGAAGTTGACGGTGTTTCAGTCGCCCTTCTCAGATTATGACTAGGTACAATACTATTCAAATAGTTTGATGTAAACAGCCTTAATTTCGTCGCTTAACAGGTGTAATAATGGGTCTTTCCAATGTTTCGGTGTTTCAGATTTTGTTCCCACCTTTGTTTACTGCCGTGATATCTCTTTTACACTTTGATAACGAGAGTGCTCTTTCTGGATAGACACCTTGATCGATGTAGGTTCATCTTCTGGGTATAAGAACTGTTTAATCTTATCTTTATCTACCTTGAATCCGCTAAAGAATGCAATATATCCATTCTGCACTAGGTATAGTACCTTTTTCCCGACATATGAGAAACTCATGTTAAAATAATCTTCAAGAAATCTACTCCAGGGTAAGTACAAGGTTCATTAGATTTGTACTCCTCTTTCAGAATAGAGGACATGACTTTCCTGAGCATTAGATTGAATGCAAATTCAGAATGTTCTTTCTGTGTCTTCGGTTTCTTTTCCATGAACTTTTTTACTCCCTCATTTGAAAATATGTTCCCAATGTGTTTCATAATTGTAATACAGCATGGAATACTACTATTGGAATTCTATTTTATGTACCTAGAGATACGCATAGGTATTTGATTAAAAGTATTTCACAATGTTAACATGAAAAACTATGTTAGCTAGCAGATGTATTTCTATTGAAGAAAGTTCTTAGCTGTGCATCAGAATTCTCTCCAATTTATGTAAAAATTAAATGACCTTAACACATTGCTCGGCAGAATAGAAAATTGTTTTGTATATCTGTTTGATCTAAGTTAAACGTCAGTTAAGAAACAATTGAATCATTTTGATTTTTGGTGTCCCAGTGATTCATAAAAAGTAATGAACAATTTTAATGTTGAAGGATTCAATAATGACTTAATAAATAAAATGATAACTATGTTATGTTATGAGTAATGATCGTTGATCAAATACGCCTATTTTAGTAAAACTATACTGTCTAAATAAGTAAACACCACAATTAATCTATATTATATGTATGTATAAACTATAAAGAACAGCTTTTTATAAAGGAATGCTGATATTTATAGTATATATTGAAAAATTATAGTTTTAGAATAATGAAGTACAACATTATTCTTTTCAGAATAATGATAAATTATAGGAGATAATTATTAAGTTGTGAGAAGATACAATAGCTTACCCTGAAGTTTAATAAAAGGTAAAGTGGATTTGCGTTAAATTAAATAAACTGATTATCAATATTTTTGACAAAATGTATTATCTATATTTTTGACAAAATGTATATTTTTACTTCTGAGAATCATTCAATTTTCCACTCTTTTTACTTCATTCTCCTAAAGTTAAAATTAAGCAGTTATTAACTACATCATATTTAACTTGATCAATTTATTATTGTTGTTACAAATTTTTACAGAAATAAAGAATACTTCAGAAAATTTTACTCTGAATCATACTTAGATAAAAGATAAACCAGTTTTTACCAATTATTACAGATATTTACAAAAACAGATATAAGAGATAAAACCAGTTTTTATAAATTATAATAGATATTTACAAAAACAGATCAAAGATAAAACCAGTTTTTACCAACTATAACAGATATTTACAAAAACAGATAAAAGATAAAACCAGTTTTTACCAATTTTAACAGATATTTACAAAAACAGATACAAGATAAAACTAGTTTTTACCAATTAGAACAGATATTTACAAAAACAGATAAAAGATAAAACCAGTTTTTACCAATTATAACAGATATTTACAAAATTAGATAAAACCAGTTTTTTCCAATTATAACAGATATTTACAAAATTAGATAAAAAATAAAACCAGTTTTTACCAATTAAACAGATATTTACAAAATTAGATACAAGATAAAACCAGTTTTTACCAATTACAACAGATATTTACAAGAACAGATAAAAGATAAACCAGTTATCACCAATTATAACAGATATTTACAAAATTAGGTACAAGATAAAACCAGTTTTTACCAACTATAACAGCTAGATATTTACAAAATCAGTTACAAGATAAAACCAGTTTTTACCAATTATAACAGATATTTACAAAATTAGATAAAAGATAAAACCAGTTTTTACCAATTAGAACAGATATTTACAAAATTAGATTAAAGATAAAACCAGTTTTTACCAATTAGAACAGATATTAAAGATAAAACCAGTTTTTACCAATTAGAACAGATATTTACAAAAACAGATAAAAGATAAAACTAGTTATTACCAATTAGAACAGATATTTACAAAATCAGATACAAGATAAAACCAGTTTTTACCAATTATAACAGATATTTACAAAATCAGATACAAGATAAAACTAGTTTTTACCAATTATAATAGATATTTACAAAATTAGATACAAGATAAAACCAGTTTTTACCAATTAGAACAGATATTTACAAAATCAGATACAAGATAAAACCAGTTTTTACCAATTATAATAGATATTTACAAAATTAGATACAAGATTTAGATAAAACCAGTTTTTACCAATTAGAACAGATATTTACAAAAACATTAATACAATAAATATATGTCAAATTACTTGCTAATATAGTTAAATGCTGTTTTTACAAAGCATCCTTGTAATCCTTGAGGTATAAATATTTTGTTAAGAAGGTAAGAGTTTGCAGTTTGGGAGAGTGATAAACTGTTAAACTGTATCTACATTCTACATAATTCATAAATACCACAAATTAAGATTTTTGACAATACAGTTATCAAAACTAATAAGATTTGTATTGAATTAAAATAAAAATCATCTGGTTATGATCCTTTAATTAAATAAATTCAATTTAATCAAATAATTAAATGTTTCAATACAATTAGATTTATTAGAGCTCTTTGTTAAACTGGAATTCAATGTTAAACATTCCTTATAATTTACATTTACATAATTAATATTTCTAGGTTAGACTGAGGACGTATCTAAGATGTCCAAGTCTGGAGATATCTCTGAATTACCTGGAAACCTGGCCAAGATGTCTGTATCTGTCCCCAAAGTAGAGAAAAACTATACCTTGAACCTAAAGATCAGCTACACCAAATGCTGCTCATGCAGCTATGATATTGGTTTCTCCAAGGATGCGTTGGTTTGTAACTGTAGTTTACATTGGTACTGTAGTACACAGTGCAGAGATCAAATGAAGGATGAATATTGCCTAGAAAGTCATGAACTGATTAACTGTACATCTCTAGACTCATTCTTTTTTGTGATCCTATGTTTTTATGACATGGAGACTCTGAACATGGTTAAAGAGTACATAAGTTCTCAAGAAGGAGTATCCAGGTAGGATATGAAGAAGCTGGCTGAGGCAGGGGACTGGAAAGCTGCTCTGATCATAGGTTTAACCTATGAGTTCAGGTTTGTCCTTGACTGGGATGAATGTGAGCTAGCACTCCGTCCTCCCTTCATGAAGAGCCGACCTTTCAGTCACAGGAAAGCTATAAAATACTACAATATGGCTGCAGAAGAAAACTCTGTTGAAGTATTTGCTTCAATTGGAAGGGTACTATGTATACAGTTGGATATGAGTCGGGCAACACAAGATTTTCTGATGAAGAGTTCAAACAGGTTCAAGACATATCAGATGCATCTGCGCAACCTGTGTTTTCAAGAGCTAGACCTTATACTATCATACATCAAGGAGGAGATTAAGCCAGGAGAAGAACCGAAGATTTCTGTTCCTGGGATTACAGGAGTTATGCTGTTCAGATTAAACCTTCTTGATGATTCCAGATTCTCAAATAATCTTCTCAAGGAACTGCTACTCTTCCCCAAGATAGCAGAGGTTTATTCTTTTCTGAAATCTTGTAATCCTGAACCTAGGATATTAATTGTCTCTGTAAATGGCTGTATGAATAGGATTGTTTATCCATTAAGACCAGTGGAGAACCCTATCTTTATCCAGAAGGCTGATCTCTACAATGAAAAGGATAATACTATAGCTAGGATAGATCCTGGAGTAAGGATGGATGCTAAGGCTGTATTTGATCAAGGATATTTACAGAGACTGCACCATGATCAGACAATGTATCTGTGTGAGCATGATGTTATGAGTATTGGGAACACCTGCACTCAATGTGCTCTGCTGGCTCGGGAAAGGATTCTGAGTGTTTATAAGAACCGTTTTCTCTTCAGTAAAGATGAAGCAATCTGTAGAGTTTTCTACAGTGTTATCTTTACCCTGGAGTCAGGATTGAAGAAACAAGATTACTTCCGAAACTATGGAAAATATGAGATCATAGCTGCTATCCGTGTCATGGCTCTTCAGCCCATGGATCTACATCCTCTACAGCTTGCTAAGGATCCCACCATATACTGGCCAATTATTCACTACTTTGGGTCTGTGTACTCTGCGTTGAAGGAAATCCTGGATGGAAAGACGGTTGACAGTATTTATGAGAATATCCCAGAGTTTACTCCTGTGCGAGATAGAATAAATATAGTTGATGAGGAACAGTTTGTGATCAAATGTGGACACATGTCTTGCGTTCATCTTGACTGGGAGTTTAAGTTCAAGCAATGCACCAGGTGTAAGCTGAGACGTTACTGTAGTCCAAGCTGTCAGAAGCTTAACTGGAAATTACACAAGAAGCAATGCTTTCTCCGTCCTGGAATGGAGAATACAGATTATGAGGTGGATTAGATGAAGACTGAGTCCTGTTATACCAGGTACCCTGAGTTCCTGGACTTCTTGGATCCTCCTTACTCTGAATTTATGGAATTATCTCACTCTATCCAGATATTATTCTTTGTAAATTATCTAATCATTATAATTTTCTATATTTCTAGTTATTTGTTTATCATAGTTTTCCTTGTAAGTTTGACAATAATATTCAAGAAATCTAGAATTAAAGGTGTTTTCTTTCTTTCTTAAAATTAAGTTTTGATCAGTGAGACCAAAATCTCATCCAATCCTTATTTTGTTGTATTTCTATTATCCATGGTAATTCTACAGTGAGTAAATGTCCCATTTAGGTTGAACATTACGTAATGTTTTTTTACAGAGTAAATATGTTAAAATCATTTGATTTCTAGTTTTTTTTTTTTGTCTATCATAGTTTTCCTTGTAAATTCATGTAGTTAATATTGTAATTAAGTCAAAATGTAAGAAAACAACGTTATTCAATAGTTTGTTTATTTTCAGATTTAGAATTTAAATGTAGATTTTGATAAATCAGATTACTTGATATTGAGTTTGTTACAAAGGTAAGTTGAAAACTAGATAGAACTTGTTATTCATTATAATTATAAATATCTATACATTTATTCTTGCTTATTAATGAGTTTGTTTTCCAAACTTTGATTTAATTATTATAGGTACATATGTTTATATCAAATCAAATGTTTAGTTACATAGATCGTGTTATGTGTAAATTTTAAAAAAATCGAATTTTCTTTTTAATAGTTTTTAATTAGAATATCAACTGGTATAATAAATTTAACAATTTTTTTATGAGATAAGTAATTTAAGCCTTGTGCATTACCTATTCGATGTTGTTAAAATAAGGTCTATATCTTAATAAACAAATCTAGTCATTTGAAAACTGTACATCTTCTTTTACTTCTCTCTTTACTGATGGGTCTGGTTTCCTTAAATCCTTTAGTAATCTATGTAAAGCAAACTTTTTTCTTCTGTCCATATAGAGCTCTTAAAGTCGTTGGTTTCAAACAAACAAACCTACTCTTTATGTCTTCAAAACTATTTAATATGGAAAGAATAGTTCCTTGATGATCAACAATAATACTTGGAGCAAACTTTTTTCTATATATAAAGAAATGTATTTAATATTGGATTTTACTGTGTTTTTGTCACAAACTGTGATTTTCAAATATCTTTGAAACCCAATTTAGAACTTTGCCATTTCAAACTATGAATTCTGTTAATCAAATAATCTTAGTTTGATATATCAAAGGTTTACAATATCAGGCTGCATCAGAAATAGGGATTACAAAATTTCAGTTTGTAGCACAAAACTCAGTTCATTTCTTTTCACTACTTTTGATGCCATTTTTTGACAGAGGTATAGATTTTAGAATAAATCAGAAAAACTACTCTGAATCATTCATTTTTATGTTACACTAGCTGAAGTGATAGGCATTGCCTGTACTATTTTAAAAAAGTCAAATTTTTATTTTTATTTAAAAAAAAAATCTGCTTCAAAAAAACATATTTTTGCCTTTGTTACACCCAGGGTAATCATGTGTTTCCTCAAAAGATTTCAGCCTATTAAGTTCAGCAGTTTGGCCAGCTACACCTAACATATATACATACACCCGTACGCATACACATACGCATATACACATACGTACAAATACAAATATAACTGAGCGAAGAACTTTATTATATAGATTAATAAGATAAAACAAAACTTTAACAAATATAACAGATATTAACAAAACAAAAGTACAATATTCAAAATTTGGTAATGTTGATGGACCAAACCTCTGTAGAGTAAAAAAGTAGATGTTAGTTCCACATTTAATGAAAATATATTTCGGTCTGGGTTGACCCGCGTGAGTTTTAACGATATAATAACCATTAAAATCGGTAAAAAAAAAATTAAAAAATTTTTTTTTGTTAAAATCACAAGAAAATAAAGAAACAAAAAAGATTATTCAAAATAAAAATTTGGGCTGTCAAAGGGACATAAGGGAAACGAACTCTGCTAATGAGATGGAAAAAAGATAATTTACAAATGTTCACTTTAAAAAAAATGTTTTAAGACAATTATTATTCCTTGAGATTGTTTCTTTCACAAAGGTTAACAACAAACTGTATGTGTATAAAGTGATGGTAGGGGTCGAACTAATTAACTAACTTTTGCGTAAATCGGGGGGAGGGGGAGGCAGCTTGTTTAAGGAGGGGTATTTAAACCTTATAAAATTGGACATAAACAACTCTTTTTTTTAAAAAAGTACATTAAAAATATGTAAAACTACTGGAGCAGGAGAGCTAATATAACTAAAAGATGTTTTCACAAAGTCCCCGGTAGCAGTTGGAATTTTGATAATAAAGATTTTAAAACTTTTTAGATTTTTTATTGAATCAAAATAGAAAATCCTTTAATTTGATAATTTTTACTCTTTGGTAAATGTATTAATATTATAGAGATTAATTAGATCTCTTATTTAAACTAAACCATATTAATATTACTAGGTTCGACTGAGAACATATCTAAGATATCTAAGTCTGGAGATATCTCTGATTTACCTGTAAACCTGGCCAAGATGTCCAAGTCTGAAGATATCTCTGATATACCTGGAAGCCTGGAAAATATGTCCAAGTCGGGAGATATCTCTGATTTACCTGGAAACCTAGCCAAGATGTCTGTTTCTCCCCACAACATTAAACACAAGTACACCTTGAACCTGAAGAATAACTATACTAAGTGCAGTACCTGCAGCTTTGACATTGCTTTAACCAAGAATGCATTATCATGTACTGCTTGTAGCAATCATTGGTTCTGTAGTGCTAAGTGTGTGGATCTATATCAGGGTGAGTATTGTCTCCATGTGGAATTTACCAGCTGTAATTCTCTGGAACTCTTTCATTTAGCGATCCTACGTTATTATGACATGGAGACTCTGAACATGGTTAAAGAGTACATAAGTTCTCAAGAAGGAGTATCCAGGAAGGATATGAAGAAGCTGGCTGAGGCAGGGGACTGGAAAGCTGCTCTGATCATAGGTTTAACCTATGAGTTCAGGTTTGTCCTTGACTGGGATGAATGTGAGCTAGCACTCCGTCCTCCCTTCATGAAGAGCCGACCTTTTAGTCACAGGAAAGCTATAAAATACTACAACATGGCTGCAGAAGAGAACTCTATTGAGGCAAGTGCTGGTATTGTAAGGGCTCTTGGTACACAGATTGATAATGGAAGAGCCATGATAGATCATCTTTACAAATCTTCTAAGTTCAAGTTATCTAAAGAACTTCTAAGCAGTAATAGTTTCTCTGAGCTGCGTATTACCCAAGATGAGATCAAGAAGAAATGTCAGGAAGGAGAAGTACTCTCCGTGAATGGTATATCAGGAGTAATGTTGTTTAGATTGAATCTTGTTAACTCTACATCCTCTGTAATTGATATAGCATCACTACCAACATTCGTTGTGGAGACTCTTTCTATGATGAAGGCATGTAAACAATGTTTATTACTTTGTTACTCCTATAATCTACTGATTGGGGTTCAAGATTTTCCAAGATCTGTTCACAACACAATCTTTGTGCAGAAGTCTAATGATGGAGAGAATAAGACCAAATTAGGGATTGATCCTGGAGTAAGGATGGATGCTAAGGCTGTATTTGATCAAGGATATTTACAGAGACTGCACCATGATCAGCCAATGTATCTGTGTGAGCATAATGTTCAGAGTATTGGGAACACCTGCACTCAATGTGCTCAGCTGGCTCGGGAAAGGATTCTGAGTGTTTATAAGAACAGTTTTCTCTTCAGTAGAGATGAATCAATCAGGGGAGTCAACAGTGTTATCTTTACTCTGGAGTCAGGATTGAAGAAACAAGATTACTTCTGGAATTATGGAAAATATGAGATCATAGCTGCTATCCGTGTCATGGCTCTTCAGCCCATGGATCTACATCCTCTACAGCTTGCTAAGGATCCCAGCTTATACTGGCCAATTGTTTACTACTATGGGTCTTTGTACTCTGCGTTGAAGGAAATCCTGGATGGAAAGATGGTTGACAGTATTTATGAGAATATCCCGAAGTCTACTCCTCTGCCAAAGAGAAAATAAATATAGTTGATGAGGAACAGTTTGTGATCAAATGTGGACACAACTCCTGTGTTTATCTTGACTGGGAGTTTAAGTTCAAGCAATGTACCAGGTGTAAGCTGAGACGTTACTGTAATCCAAGCTGTCAGAAGCTTGACTGGAAAGTACACAAGAAGGAATGCTTTCTCCGTCCTGGAATGGAGAATACAGATGATGAGGTGGATTAGGAGTTATAAAGAACAGACCTGTTATACCAGGTACCTTGAGTTTCTGGATCCATATCTTAACACAGAGAAAGAAATCCGGCAAATTGTTTTTCACCAATATTGGATAATATTCTTTGTAAACTATTGATCTCTTAATATTTGTATTTCAAGTTTCTTTGTAAATTCATGTTTTAAAAATGTAGGAGTACAATTCATTGTTTCATTCGTATTTCCAAAATCATTTTTATTTCAGATTCAGAAAATGTACAAATATGTTTTGTTGTATAAGGAAGATAAACATCACACTATTTAGACAGTAGGTAGTTAGTTTCATGTTTAATATCCGTCCTAATACTAATCATCAATCTCCTTGGATATTAGGTAGTTACGTTCTAGTTCTAATTTTAATATCCGTCCTAATACTAATTATTAATTTCCTTGGATATTAGGTAGTTACGTTCTAGTTCTAATTTTAATATCTGTTCTAATACTAATCATCAATTTCCTTGGATATTATTTAGTTATGTTCTAGTCCTAATTTTAATATCGGTCCTAATACTAATCATCAATTTCCTTGGATATTAGGTAGTTACGTTCTAGTTCTAATTTTAATATCCGTCCTAATACTAATCATCAATTTCCTTGGATATTAGCTAGTTTACGTTCTAGTTATAATTTTGATATCTGTTCTAATACTAATCATCAATTTCCTTGGATATTAGGTAGTTACGTTTTAGTTCTAATTTTAATATCCATCCTAATACTAATAATCAATTTCCTTGGATATTAGGTAGTCACGTTCTAGTTCTAATTTTAATTTCCATCCTAATACTAATCATCAATCTCCTTGGATATTAGGTAGTTACGTTCTAGTTCTAATTTTAATATATGTTCTAATACTAATCATCAATTTCCTTGGATATTAGGTAGTCACATTCTAAGCAACACTATCTTATCCGTCCCTGCAAGATAGGATTTTATCCCATTCTAAGCAACATTATTAACCTTATCTGTCCCTGCAAGATAGGATTTTATTCCATTCTAAGCAACATTATTGATTTTATCCGTCCCTGCAAGATAGGATTTTTATCCCATTCTAAGCAACATTATTAATCTTATCCGTCCCTGCAAGATCAGATTTTTATCCCATTCTAAGTAACATTATTAACCTTATCCCTCCCTGCAAGATAGGATTTTTATCCCATTCTAAGCAACATTATTAACCTTATCCGTCCATGCAAGATAGGATTTTATCCCATTCTAAGCAATATTATTAATCTGATCCGTCTCTGCAAGATAGAATTTTATAGATAGATATAATAGATAGATACTGTAGTCCAATCTGTCAGAAGCTTGACTGGAAAGTACATAAGAAGGAATGCTTTCTCCGTCCTGGAATGGAGAATACAGATGATGAGGTTGATTAGATGAAGACTGAGTCCTGTTATACCAGGAACCTTGAGTTCCTTGACTTCCTGGATCCTCCTTACTCTGAATTCATGGAATTATCTCACTCTATCCGAATATTATTCTTTGTAAATTATCAATATGTTTAAATCCTATTATTATTATTTGTATGTCATAGTTTTCCATGTAAATTCATGTAGTTAATATGGTTATTATGTCAAAATGTAAGAGGACAATGTAATTCAATAGTTTGTTTATTTTCAGATTTAGAATTTAAATGTAGATTTTGATAAATCAGATTACTTGATATTGAGTTTGTTACAAAGGTAAGTTGAAAACTAGATAGAACTTGTTATTCATTATAATTATAAATATCTATACATTTATTCTTGCTTATTAATGAGTTTGTTTTCCAAACTTTGATTTAATTATTATAGGTACATATGTTTATATCAAATCAAATGTTTAGTTACATAGATCGTGTTATGTGTAAATTTTAAAAAAATCGAATTTTCTTTTTAATAGTTTTTAATTAGAATATCAACTGGTATAATAAATTTAACAATTTTTTTATGAGATAAGTAATTTAAGCCTTGTGCATTACCTATTCGATGTTGTTAAAATAAGGTCTATATCTTAATAAACAAATCTAGTCATTTGAAAACTGTACATCTTCTTTTACTTCTCTCTTTACTGATGGGTCTGGTTTCCTTAAATCCTTTAGTAATCTATGTAAAGCAAACTTTTTTCTTCTGTCCATATAGAGCTCTTAAAGTCGTTGGTTTCAAACAAACAAACCTACTCTTTATGTCTTCAAAACTATTTAATATGGAAAGAATAGTTCCTTGATGATCAACAATAATACTTGGAGCAAACTTTTTTCTATATATAAAGAAATGTATTTAATATTGGATTTTACTGTGTTTTTGTCACAAACTGTGATTTTCAAATATCTTTGAAACCCAATTTAGAACTTTGCCATTTCAAACTATGAATTCTGTTAATCAAATAATCTTAGTTTGATATATCAAAGGTTTACAATATCAGGCTGCATCAGAAATAGGGATTACAAAATTTCAGTTTGTAGCACAAAACTCAGTTCATTTCTTTTCACTACTTTTGATGCCATTTTTTGACAGAGGTATAGATTTTAGAATAAATCAGAAAAACTACTCTGAATCATTCATTTTTATGTTACACTAGCTGAAGTGATAGGCATTGCCTGTACTATTTTAAAAAAGTCAAATTTTTATTTTTATTTAAAAAAAAAATCTGCTTCAAAAAAACATATTTTTGCCTTTGTTACACCCAGGGTAATCATGTGTTTCCTCAAAAGATTTCAGCCTATTAAGTTCAGCAGTTTGGCCAGCTACACCTAACATATATACATACACCCGTACGCATACACATACGCATATACACATACGTACAAATACAAATATAACTGAGCGAAGAACTTTATTATATAGATTAATAAGATAAAACAAAACTTTAACAAATATAACAGATATTAACAAAACAAAAGTACAATATTCAAAATTTGGTGATGTTGATGGACCAAACCTCTGTAGAGTAAAAAAGTAGATGTTAGTTCCACATTTAATGAAAATATATTTCGGTCTGGGTTGACCCGCGTGAGTTTTAACGATATAATAACCATTAAAATCGGTAAAAAAAAAAATTAAAATTTTTTTTTTGTTAAAAATCACAAGAAAATTAAGAAACAAAAAAGATTATTCAAAATAAAAATTTGGGCTGTCAAAGGGACATAAGGGAAACAAACTCTGCTAATGAGATGGAAAAAAGATAATTCACAAATGTTCACTTTAAAAAAAATGTTTTAAGACAATTATTATTCCTTGAGATTGTTTCTTTCACAAAGGTTAACAACAAACTGTTTAGATGTATGTGTATAAAGTGATGGTGGGGGTCGAACTAATTAACTAACTTTTGCGTAAATGGGGGGAGGGGGAGGCAGCTTGTTTAAGGAGGGGTATTTAAACCTTATAAAATTGGACATAAACAACTCTTTTTTTAAAAAAAGTACATTAAAAATATGTAAAACTACTGGAGCAGGAGAGCTAATATAGCTAAAAGATGTTTTCACAAAGTCCCCGGTAGCAGTTGGAATTTTGATAATAAAGATTTTGAAACTTTTTAGATTTTTTATTGAATCAAAATAGAAAATCCTTTAATTTGATAATTTTTACTCTTTGGTAAATGTATTAATATTATAGAGATTAATTAGATCTCTTATTTAAACTAAACCATATTAATATTACTAGGTTCGACTGAGAACATATCTAAGATATCTAAGTCTGGAGATATCTCTGATTTACCTGTAAACCTGGCCAAGATGTCCAAGTCTGAAGATATCTCTGATATACCTGGAAGCCTGGAAAATATGTCCAAGTCGGGAGATATCTCTGATTTACCTGGAAACCTAGCCAAGATGTCTGTTTCTCCCCACAACATTAAACACAAGTACACCTTGAACCTGAAGAATAACTATACTAAGTGCAGTACCTGCAGCTTTGACATTGCTTTAACCAAGAATGCATTATCATGTACTGCTTGTAGCAATCATTGGTTCTGTAGTGCTAAGTGTGTGGATCTATATCAGGGTGAGTATTGTCTCCATGTGGAATTTACCAGCTGTAATTCTCTGGAACTCTTTTATTTAGCGATCCTACGTTTTTATGACATGGAGACTCTGAACATGGTTAAAGAGTACATAAGTTCTCAAGAAGGAGTATCCAGGGAGGATATGAAGAAGCTGGCTGAGGCAGGGGACTGGAAAACTGCTCTGATCATAGGTTTAACCTATGAGTTAAGGCTTGTCCTTGACTGGGATGAATGTGAGCTAGCAATCCGTCCTCCCTTCATGAAGAGCCGACCTTTTAGTCACAGGAAAGCTATAAAATACTCTGTTGAAGTAGTTGCTTCATTAGGAAGGGTACTTATCATACAGACGAATATGAGACGGGCAATGAAAGATTATCTTATGAAGAGTTCCAACAGGTTCAAAAGTTCTCAGATTCTTCTTCACTTCTATTGTTTCGCAGATCTAGTCAGCACACTATCATACATCAAGGAGAAGTATAAAGAAGGAGTAGGACTGAAGGTACCTGTTCCCGGGATTACAGGAGTTATTCTGTTCAGATTAAACCTTCTTGATGATTCCAGATCCTCAAACAGTCTTCTCAAGGAACTGTTACTCTTCCCCAGGATAGCAGAGGTCTATTATTTTCTGAAATCTTGTAATCCTGAACCTAGGATAGTGTGTGACTCTGTGAATTTCTATATCACGAATCTTGATGGTTCATGGAGACCAGTGGAGAACTCTATCTTTATCCAGAAGGCTGATCTGTACAATGAGGAGGATAATACTGTAGCTAGGATAGATCCTGGAGTTAGGATGGATGCTAAGGCTGTATTTGATCAAGGATATTTACAGAGACTGCACCATAATCAGACAATGTATCACTGTGAGCATAATGTTCAGAGTATTGGGAATATCTGCACTCAATGTGCTTAGCTGGCTCAGGAAAGGATTCTGAGTGTTTATGAGAACAGTTTTCTCTTCAGTAAAGATGAATCTGTACCTCCAAAGTTCTACAGTGTTATCTTTACCCTGGAGTCAGGATTGAAGAAACAAGATTACTTCCGAAACTATGGAAAATATGAGATCATAACTGCTATCCGTGTCATGGCTCTTCAGCCCATGGATCTACATCCTCTACAGCTTGCTAAGGATCNCTATATATAAAGAAATGTATTTAATATTGGATTTTACTGTGTTTTTGTCACAAACTGTGATTTTCAAATATCTTTGAAACCCAATTTA